CATCTCATTGAGCGTCCCAACGAGCAACGGATAGCTCTAGTGCAGATATGTTGAGTAGGGTTAATAGAGCATGAATGTATTCCAGAACATCCAGAGTTACCACTTTGTGTTACCACATTTTAATAGTGTAAACGTGAACAGTATATTAAAAAGTCTCAACATAATGCAAGTCGATATAAAACAGACTGAAATTGAGACACTTGTGAATATATGTATATGTATATATATATATATATATATATATATATATATATAATTTCAGATTGTATACCTTTTTAAAAACACAACTAATTTATTGAAACTTTTTTTGGTAACTGAGGTTATTGAAAGTCTATTTTTAAGTATTTTTTTTATTTTACAACCAAATTCTTTCCCCCAAAGACGGTTTCTTTATAAAGATGGCGGGGCTCCTCATCTTTTCCTTGTTTGTCCTGATAATAGGTTTTTAAAAACATTTCAAATCATTTCTCTGTGGTTATACATATGAATGTTTTTTTAAATGAATTATTTTTATTGCACAAAGACCAGCTATCAGGCCGATAGTGACGGAAATTGCTGGATCATCGGATCCACTTTTATAATGAGCTGTAATTCTGCCCAACTCAATTGGCATGTAGACGATTTCTGTAGGAAGATAACACATTTAACTGCGATATAATGGCCCACTGCACGGTTTCTGTTTCCAATAATTGTTTGTTCGAGGAACGGATGTCTTTATTGGTTTAATGTTTCAGTCTCATTAGTCAGATTCGAAGTTCCCTAAAACGTCCTTCCATCTTTGTTGATGATAAGCCAACACAAAAGAAACGGATTCAGTACTTTAAAGATCCATTGGTTCATTTGTATTAGTTTGCAGATTTAATTTAAATGTAAGAAAAACTAATTTTTGACCCGTTGTATTTGCTGCTGGTTCTTTCCCTCAAATGCATCATTCTTACAGACGGCCTCTGTGCCTCAGAATGTGTCGGCCGCTCTGCTATTGTAGTATTAAATCGTATCTCCTTTAACTAAACCTGCAAAGTTACTGCGCAAGAAAACATAATCCGTATCAATCGAATACGAATACCAACAATACCCACCCCGACAGATGACACCGTATCTTTTATAGTAGTATTGTTCACAGTGTAAAAATAGCAAGTAAATCATGACCGATAAGAAGCATGAGTTAAACCTCCGCTCCCAGAAATCAGATAGGTGTGAAATTTAGCTATCGTTGCATTTTGTTAAACGCATTTTTATCTAAAGCAGTAACAGAATATAAGGTGTCAAACACATTGAGTGTTATTCTAAATGTCTTGCTTAGAGCTGTCACACACACACACACACACACGGTTTTAAGTTTGGTGTCTGTAATGACTCTGTAATATGAGCAGAATGTGCAGAATGCGTAAATACCGTAGCTTTTGATCCATAGTATGCAAATCAAACCATGCAATGCACGGGTCATAAATGTCTCTGACCTGTTGAGAACAGGAGGTATGTATGGGTAATATACTGTATGCTATATGTAGCATTTGACTTTTTGCGGTAATAAATCTATAGATGTTCCCGATTCAACGGTGGTCGCTTGTAAATGTTGTCATGACCCCTTCAGCCACGCTGAAGTCCGAAGTAAGCGAGGTTTGTGAGCATCAGAGGACGGGAGGCCTCATAAACACTGAGGAACAGTGGCCTTTAGTGCTTACCAATAAGTCGATAGAAAACCGTTCACTCGGGTTTGAGACAATCTGTATTAGTTTTTGGTGTTATCTCATCCTTTTTAACGTAGGTACTTAGTGTAGATGAACCTTCTGCCAGTTACATAACGGATGCCACTTAGTCAGCTGTGGCAGCAGTGTTCTGACTCCTACCGCTCGCTTCCAGCATCTGAACAGATGAAGAAAAAATGAATTCATGAGTGTGTCTGTACTATTACATATCCTACATTCAAAAGTATTGTGGAGCAGTTTTAGTCCAGAATAGAGGTCACAACGGTCATGGGAGAGGTCACGGAGTGCCAGAGAGAACTCTGTGTGCACGGAATCAATCAATTTTTCCACCAACAGAGGGCAAATATATAAATCTTTTTTTCTAACCTATTAAAACGTTTCTGTGGTGTTTTGGACTGCAACTCTTCAGAAGTGCCAGCATTCATACATCCAAATCCACAGGGACTGATAAATGGCTGAGTGGGTGACACAGCCCCGAAAGGAGGTGTGTGATGGCAGAAGAAAGACGATGTGTCATCGCTCCCTCTGCTCCATCCGACCTGCTGGGAACTGACTCAGCCGGACACACTGGCACCAGCAGGACTGCTGTAACTGTGGAAATGACGACCGCCACGCCGGCCTGATACTTATCAGACTGGCTGTTTGTCAGATAATTTGGAAATACAGTTCCAGTCAAAAGTTTGGACACATTTTCCCGTTCAATGCAATGAGAGCGTGTCCAAACTCTTAACCTGTACTGTACGTACACTTGATTATTCTCTGGATGTGGAATGGAGAAGCTGTCTTCTTTATCCTCGCTTCTTTTTGGGGGGGATCAGATGGCTTTGCAGCGTGCTGCTCAGTAATGATGTAATCTGTGAGGTTTCATTTTGTACCTTGCAATGATAAATCCCCGACCTATGTAATTGTTTTTAATGAGATGGCACAAATATAAAAGCCTTTTTCATGGGTTTTCTCACACATGTGAACAACACCCTTTTATACTGTATATACAATTCACTCCGAACTTGAAGTGTTGGGGACAGGCTGAGCAGACGCCCTTATAGGTCGCGTCTATGATGAGCTCAGGTAATAAAGCCAGCAGGATTTAATGACGCTGCCAGAAAAAAAAGTTATTACAGCTTTGACAACAAGTGGCCGGATCTGTCATCAAAATGAGCATTTAAATGTTTCTTTTCAACCTTCAGCTTAACATTATGCCTGCATTCCATCACTGCATTCTTATTACATTACATGCATCATTACATGCATCATTGAAAATGCAGAAGTTAATCACATTTTGCAATTTCTGAAAAGCACACACACAATAACAATAGCAAATACAATATATCAACAGGAAAGGAAAGAGGCTGTCTGTTGATGCTCGGTCAACAGGTGTAGACTGTTCTACAAACTGTCATGATCATATTTCATAGAGCACTGATTCCTCAAATGTAAAACTATCAACGGTGACTTTAAAATGTTGCTGAACTCTCACTTATTGACCTAATACCCGTTGTCACCACAGACGTGACCTTTTTGTGTGTGAGAGTCTGTATTTTAATCTCATTCTGAATGCTTACGGTTAGAAGGTCGCCTGTTCTCAGGATGTGACTCGATGATAAATGACCAAGGAGGGAGCACACAGCTCACCTTTTTAAAAAAAGAGTGTTTCCTGTGGCCTTGATGGTTGTAATATAGGTGAGGTACAAAGGCGACTGGCAGACATCTATGGAGAACAGTGAGTTGCTCCCCACAGGAGCTGGAACTCCCCCCTCAGGTCGAGGCGTTTAATGTTAGATGAGTCGGGTCACTCGCACTCATGCCTCCAACTCCCAGAATATAGTGAGGAGCGTATTTAAAAGAAGTTCTTCATGCACATAAATCCGTTGTATTTGCGCTTGAATGAAACATGCCTTACTGACATGTAAATTAAAATCTCAGCCAAAGCATCTGAATGCAATTGCTGACTTTTCTGAACTAACTACTAAAAGCAGGCGGTGTGAGCACTCGTCCTCCATGTTTCCCTCTGCGTTTTCTCTCTCCTCGTTTGATTGGGCACTCCTTCCAAAACGCTACCGCCCATCACTGACCCCTCCCTCCCACACAAGCTCAGATTTCGAATGTAATACCTCCATCACTGCAGGTTCCCTCGGTAGCCCCATTATGCCAGTCTGATACCACTTGATATCGTCTGAACGAGTGCTGCGTCTCACGGCATTCAGATGCTCCAATCTGATTATGCCCAAATTGAATCAGCCGCTCCGCTATGCTATCGCACTGCAGCTCAAACTCGTATTGATACCGGGAGCTGAAATGTGGCATCTTGTTCTGGGGGGCGGGGGTGGGGGGGCTGTTTGATGGACAGAGGCTCACAAGTTGAGGTGAAAATATGGCTTTTTTCCCGTGATTCAAAGCCACTTTTCAGGAGGCCGGCTGTTTAGTAAAATGCCCGTTAATTATGTAACAGAAGGGGCTTGGTGAGCATGACAATGATTCAGACTTGTCTAATCAGGCGCTTTTCTGTTGCATAACTAGTTGACACCTCTATGTCCACACACACACACACACAATGAAGCAAAGGAGCGCTAACAATGAACTGGTCTTCCTTCTCCCACTCTTAACCTTTTTCAAATTCTCGAGCAGTCTATCCACACGAACACACACGTGCAGGCTTGAATGTCACTGTTCACTGTTATAAAAACAGGGAAACTGGTGAATTAGGATCTAAAGTAAGCAGCTGCTGGCATAGAAAACACATTGGCACTAGTAAAGCAACAGTAGGAGCACTTAAAACTCACATTTTGAATGATTTTGTGTCTTTTGTGTGCAGTTGGATCACCCCAATGTATCCTCGCTCACACATGAGGAATGTAGAAAAGGTCTCCGGGCCGTTCAGCCTCGTGTCTCATAGACGTACGTCTATTTGTACTCTTCTAAGCATTTGTCTGTCCCTGTGGCAGTGTTCGCTCCAAATGACTTTTATTTAAATGCCACCACTACCAGCAGGTATTGCATCGTTCAACATGATGAATAGGATGTAAAGCTTGGTCGGCTCTTCCGTAATGATTAGCAAGCGTGTTAAGTCGGTGTGTAAATGTGTTGTGTGATTTTGTTTTCATTGAACTTGAAAACATATTAGTCAAGACGTCTTTTGATATCCCGGCCAAATGGCCACATGTTGATCTGGAATGGAAAACACTGTCAAATAAAGTCATCTTGTTGGATAGAACATAGAGCCATCTTCTGTACCGGTTTTAGATGTAAAACAATCGAGTTTGACGCCTTCCCGTCATACATGCTGTTTTCCAGGCGCGTTACAAACAAAGTCTGGACCCCACGGTGGACGAGGTGAAGAAGCTGTGCACGTCACTGAGACGCAACGCCAAAGAGGAGCGAGTCCTCTTCCACTACAACGGCCACGGCGTGCCACGGCCGACCGTCAACGGGGAGATCTGGGTTTTCAATAAGGTACCACAAGCGAGTAATATGCTCTTCCATTTCTACACCGTAGCCCTGGACTTCTAGAACCGCAGGCTTTTTTTAACGAGAGCCGGCTCTCTTAAACTGACTCGTGGTCATGGCTTGTGATGTGGACATGAGTAGTGTCCTCTCATTCATTCATAAACAGACGCAAGCTGTACTACTAGTATGTGAGAGCCGGCAGACTAAAATAAACTAGATTGCACTGCGGGTAGAAATGACATCTCGTCTCTCTCCCTCTTTCAGAACTATACCCAGTACATCCCGCTGTCCATCTACGACCTGCAGACATGGATGGGGAGCCCCTCCATTTTTGTCTACGACTGCTCCAACGCGGGAATCATTGTCAAGTCGTTTAAACAGTTCGCCCTGCAGAGAGAGCAGGAACTGGAGGTGGGCAACTGCAACAACACAGCAGCCACACAATTGTTGTAGGGTTGGTAATGGGAACAAAAGAAAAAACATTTTTAGACTTCTGACAAACAAGTGTTGCGTGCAGACAAACGCAGTGAAAGCAACTGCTGGTATTGAGTTATTCATGGAAGAGATAAAACTATTTATTTGTTCTTGTCTTTTGTTGTGGGGTTTATCCTGTGGTTTCTGGTTCTTTGCATCAAAGACACAATATCCGTTTTGAAATAGTATACTATCATGCTTGTACTTTTATTTTTCATCATAGGAAATTGGGTATTTCATTATTTGTTCGCCAGTGGCCTTATTTATTCATCAGGGTTATAACCATCAGTGTTCAAATGAGTCTGATTCATAACCAGTAAAAAGTAAAAAAGTGACTTTAAAAGCAAAAATGTCACGGCTTAACTTCATTTTTGATTGTTAGTTATGAAAACAGTCCCCAGATAAATGCGAGTGGGGGAGTTCCTTAAGAAATTCAACTTTTCCACCGGAGTGCTTTCACTTCTCACCGCCTCACACAGGAAGCGCACAATGGGGCGAGGTAATTGAAGATAAAGAAAGAGGCAATCCATTTTTTTTAATCATGTAAGATGTGATCCAAGCAAGGAGTCCCCCACCTCGCCCACGCCCTCCTGCTCCTGCATCCCTCTGCTGTGACACGACATACACACACACACACCCCCTCCCCAACCAACACACATTGTCAGCACACTTTTAAATAGACACACTTGCTGGGTGAACAAGATTCCCGCAGCACGACAGGCCTAATCTCAACAGGGACTATTATTTGGAGATGCAGATGAAGACCCAGAACACGTGATTGCTGAAGGGGATGATATGAAAGGAGGAGGCGGTGTTTCAACACTCCTCCACAGCACAATATCAACCTTGTCCTGCAGTCCATTCAGCCAGTTAGTGTGTGTGTGTGTGTGTGCTCTGAGTGCTCTATTATAGGGCCACCTGCTTCTTTTTAATATCTATTCACTTCCTGCGTGCACTTGCTCACTGCATTAGCTGCAGGGCTTAAAGAGATGTGTCTGTGCGTCTATACTGCACCTTGCAGCACTCACAAGGACACACTTGGACTTTTGTGCTGTTGAGCTTGGGTGTGTGCTTTGTTTTTGTGTGTGTGTGTGTGTGTGTGTGTTTTGCTGCTTCGATGTTTGTTGCTGTTGGTTCCTGGATGCTTACATCAGGCTCCTTCTATCGAACGAATGAATAATTAATGCTAATGCCGCAGAAGGCATTGGTTGATTAGAGTTGGCTTTTGGTGGCTGTCAGTTCACGTGCATGACGGCACGTGATTATTTTTCCCGTCTGGAATCCCACCTGTAAGATTAGTCTCATCCGTTGGTGTGACTTTTCAAAAAGGGAAGGAATTCTCCGTAATTAAATCGCGCCCTGGTTTTTCCGGCGGAGAAGAGAGAAAAGAAGGCTGTCGTGGTTATTCTCATGGTAATTTGTGAGATTACAGTATGCTAATAGGATAATTACAGTGGACGCTTATGAATCAGCCTCTGCTGGCAATGCTGTCGTCGTATTTTCCATTCGGATCGCTGTGGCGCCGCCACACACCAGATTCAATTGCTTTCTCTGAGGGGACGATGTTCTTCTGAGGTTTACCCAGCGAGAGGCTTTAGGAACGTACGCCGCTTTGTTTGTGTGTGTCTGCCTCTCGGCGCGAGTCAACATTTTCCTTATTAGACAGGAAGAGAGAAAAGGAATTGTGTTCCAAGAAGATTGGCAACGAGCAACAAGCCCCTGACGCCTGCAAGGCTTTCAAAGAGAAATGAAATATGCATGTTGATAGAAAAAAAGAGATATGCACAGTTGCATACGTTATCTCAATCCCCCCATTAATTAAGATTATTCTATGGGTATTTTTAATATGATTTATTCATGTCTGTGCAGTAAATACATAGGGTCTCCCATTGAGATCTGAGCCTCAGCTCCCGCTACCTTTTCCCCTCCACTTATAACATAGTCAACCAATGAGTTATTGGAGTAGCACCGAGCAGGAGGGCTGTGCAGTATATACAGCCTCAACATAAGCCAGTTTAGGCAGTTTGCTCAGCTAAACCGGAAACCTTAATGAATATTTCAATGACTGCTGTTTTCATTGCTTTTTTTGTGTGTTTCTACTTTTTGAAGTGATTTTTCACAATCTACAGTAGAAATCGTACATTCCTGTTTTGCTTTTTTATCCAGGCACCCTGCTGGATCTCTTGTTGTATTCGTTTGCTCGTCTCATCCGCTCATTGACTCGATCCATCCTGTGGACGCAGAAAGACGAGGACGTCCCCTCAGTGCTCGCCTCAACTTGCATCCGATGCCAAGCTGCGGCACCAAGCAGGCCGAAGCAGTAGTTTCCATCCAGGAGCTCTGCTTGTGGCTGTGTTCAGGCTCTTGTGTTCTCACACATGCGCATATTGCTTATATATATGATTGCGTGTGTTCTTTTGACGGTGTACATTGATTGCCGGGGCTTTTAGTGTACTCTAACTATCTGTGCCAGACGCATTGATTGTTTCTCACACTCTGCTCAGCTTTGGTACATGCAAACACAGAAAGAGTTTTAGCACTTTAAACGATATTTTCCGCTGCAGTTCTCTTTTCAAGGTGTCTTTCTCTTAGCAGTTTGCAGTATCAACGAGGTGCGAGCAACCAGGGTTTCAGACAAAGACACTGGACGACTGGGGAAAGGGTTTAAACTGCCAACCACGCCGTCAAGGGACGGCTCGAAAAATCCAGAATCATCTGGAAAATCTGAGTGTTGAAAACTGGTTCTGCCTCGGAACCGGTTGCAAATTTGACTTTTATAAATTATAATTATAAACCAGAAGTGGAAATAAAAACAATAAAGTCAAAGTAATGCCACCTATTGAGGCCAATGTCCTAAGACCAAACCCAGTAGAATACAGTGAAGAAAGGGCCTGCATTTTATCGCCTTTTATGTTTGCCTTATATGTTTGCCAACTGTGATCGTATTGACATTCAAAGTGCGTGCTCACCTCAGAGAAAACTGCTCCATATTAAACCAAGCACCTCCTAGAGGCGATCAAGATGTTGCAGCTGTAGTCTGGAGGATAGAAACTTTATATTACTTAACGTATGTACCTAACGTTTTTTGTATTCCTTTCCGATAAATAATTTCCTACTAAAACTATGCAGAGCAGCATAAAGGAGCACAAATTATTAAAGTCTCCTCAGCAAAACACAGAAGCGGTTTTGGACCCCGAGAAACGGATCAAAAAGACAGACAGCAAAATAAGCACATGAATGGACAAGGGATCCAAATATAATTAACATCAAATGCAAGCCTCCTCAATTTTCCCTTTTGCAAGTATTGACTATGCCGTCCCAGCAATAACCTCTAATTCTTTTTTTAGAAGGGGCAAGAGGATTGTTTGCCACTGAGGACCGCCTGCTCAGAGAGCAAGCGAGAGGAAAGTTCCCTCAATGGGATCAATGAAGTATCACATCATCATTATGCTCTCATAATGAGTCAGGCAGTGTCTCCATTGCAATGTTTTGACTCGCATTACAAGGAGGCAACACTCTGTTTGTATCTTCTGCATTCACATTTTTGCCTTTTTTTTGTTGCACCAGAGGGTGCATAAGTCGTATAAAACAAGGGGCAGGGGTCAATTTTCAATAAATCTTCATGATAGGCACAGCATATACCTTGTGTAAAAACAAAAATATATATTTTTTTGTCTCTGAGGTAGCCGAATGAAAAGCAGTTTAGCCTTTTGTATAAAATCTTTCTGGGAGCGATGATTTGATGCCAAATCTGAGGAGCACCAATAGCTTGCAAAATATTAATAACATGCCTTTGTAGTTAGTGCCGGGGGGCTTATACCTTCACCTGGACTTTTGCACAAACTCACACTGACATCAGGGCACTTTTCAAAGTTGTTTTTACTGCATAAAGTAAGAAGGTCCTGTGAAGAGATCTTCTCAGGGTTTGTATTTTACCTGATTAGGTTAATACATTTTTTTTTTCTTACTAACCTGGAAGTTGCTGCTCTTTAAAGTGTCCCTGACCTTTTATTCCATGTATTACCTGGTCTTTAGCTCAGGTTGATCATCTATCTGGCTCCTATAGTATCAGAGTAATCAAGAAAAAGTGTCTGTCACAGGGAAACACCTTAAACACAGCTGAGCTCCAACGCATGTGTTTTGAAAAATTAGGCTGTCACAGAGGGATGTTCCACACGTCTTTGTGTCGTCTGTCACCTCTTTCAAGTCTTATCCTCTGTCACACAGCTCCTCATTTCTTTCTGGACCTCTTTCATTCATTTCCTAAGACTACCGGTCAGGTGTCAACAGTTTAATGGTTTGGGAATGACACGCAGATTTCCGGTGTGATCACGTTTTTGTTTATATACCTGTCTCCGGTGGTCCTTGCGGTGACTGGTGAATGTGAGTGAACCCTGTGCCGTTGTGTGTATTCAGGTCGCAGCCATTAACCCCGGCCACCCGCTCGCTCAGATGCCACTGCCGCCCTCTATGAAGAACTGCATCCAGCTGGCTGCCTGCGAGGCCAGCGAGCTGCTGCCCATGAACCCCGACCTCCCAGCCGACCTCTTCACCTCCTGCCTCACCACACCCATCAAGATCGCCCTCCGGTGGTAAAGCTTCTCTCTCACTTTTATTTCCATTCTCTCTGCCAAACTGTTTCCCGCTAAGCATTAAAAGCCCCAAACACTCCAGATGGTAGATTTAGGTTATGTCTTATATTTATGCTGAAGTAAGGGATAGCTGGAATTTTGTCACCGAACTCAGTGTTTTCAAGTAATGAATCAAAACCGGCCTTTAAACAACGGGAGGAGAGACTTTAAGGGTGAGAAGGTGTCATCAAAGGTTTCTACTGTGGAAGGATTTGAATTACCTTAAGTTAGTCCGGTTCATGTGACACGTAATGCCTGTTTACACAGAAGCAGAGAGAGAAAGAAGCTCTTTACATGCATCGCCTCAGAGCCTCCACTTGGTCAGTCAGTAAAGTAAAGCCTCTGTAGCGTTCTGTCACGAGTGGCACAAAGTCAAACACGGTTTTCTTTTTCTTTTTTAAATTTAAACAAAGGCTCCAAAATGTGCCGTAATCATAAGGGCTATAAACAAACAAACAAATGAGTACATGTACTGTGCCAACATATAAAAGACCTGACTTGGTTGAAATTCTGTCTATCTCCTCTGCTGCGTTTCAACAAAACAAAGATCACCATCAGTCTTTTAATAATTCATTTTCATGCATGTAATGCAAAATAATAATAATCTAGTTTAAGATTGCTATTCCTTATTTGGGTTATTTGGGATTTTGGGGGTCAATGCAGTTCGTATAATAATTCAAAAACAATAATGCAAAGATGCATTGGAAAAGCTTTCGGACTTCAATTACCATGGCAACAGTACTTGAAGCCTCGAAGCATTCGAGTGAGCCTCACCGGAGACCAAACCTTCCTCTGAAACCCGACCCTGCTCAGTATTCTGCTATGATGAAAAATGTAAACCGTCATCGTCCACGGCGATGCAAGGGTGATGGTCCCTGCAGAGAACGCCTCAGTAAAATTCAGTAAAAGATATTCAGAAGAAATGTGTTCCAACTGGGCTGCCGCAGATGTAGGAGCAGCATGGCGCATCATTCGCGCTCAACCTCGGCGGGAGAACACGCGTTGCGTCAGACAATCAGCTGTGTGGGGCTGAATGGACGTGTGGGGCTTGCACACCGAGGCACAGGTGATTGCATCACCTTCGACCCCCTGTCAACACGCCCAAGCGTGCGTGCGCGCACACACACACACACACACAGCATTCGTTTTCGACATACAGGTGCTGTAACTTCACATCTTGTTTGTAGGGAAATTAGTCCGAAGCACCAAGTATCAAAGTTTCAAAAGTGGGCTACCAATGTTTGGTCTTATTGTTAATCTTTGGACCTATTTTGTCAGTATAATAGTCTCACAATCGAGCGAGAGCAGTCACAAAGCTTTACAGCTGTTTGGTGGAAGGTGCTTGAAGTTAAGGGCCAACAGATGTGGCTTGATGCAGAATATTACATCAGATAAAAACATGTTATGCATCTATAGGTTTTCCAGATTTTTCTACTTTTGATCTTTAAAATGTTGTTCATTTATTGGAAATCTAATGCGGCAAATATATTTTATATTTTATGACCTAATTCAGTATTTAAACACTTAAAGTCACAGGGAGGATGAAACCGTTTTATAATCTGTGATAGATAATGGCAGGTTGTCCTCGGGAGCTGTCCTGCAGCTATGCAAAGGTTTTTTTTTCCCTGCCAGAAATGTTGAAGAGTTTCGTTTATCTTCTTCTGCTCTAAATCAACACGCCTGCATGACCTTCAGCATAATGAGGTCTCAGTATTATGTCATTAATATTGATATCCATTACCAACATTTCATTTCGGAGAACAAGTTAGTAAAAGCCTGCTGGATAATATTGACTGAGCTATTCCTTAATACCTTCTCCCCTCAAAAAAGGGATGTCGTGGATTGCGTTGGGAATTGTCAGCTGGTAATTCATCAGAGGAAATGTAGTCATTTATACTCCGTAAAAGCAATAAATATTTATTTTCCTTACATAGATAACATAATTGAGTTTAAGCGTCTTCAGCATAAATGTTACTTGTACGCTAACACTGCCCTGGAGAATATTTAATCTAATGACTTATTTATTCATTAATTTGCCTTTAACCTCCTCCCCTCCACATGCGAGGACCAACTTTACTGTTTTTTTGAGCGGCTGTAACCGGCACAGTTTTGGAGCTTGGTGATGCACTGGTATCATTTGAAACACGATCTTGGGGATCCATTTATTATTATTATTTTATCCATTTATACCAACCATGTCATGTTTGCTCATCTGGAAGGAGGCTAAAGTAAACTATATATACATGCACATTGACGTTGAGGTTGTTTCGGTACAGTTTCAGAAGTGCCGGCTAGGTTATTGCAAAAAACTTCTGTTCTTAAAGAAACCTTCAAATATCACATTTTTTTTTGTGTTCCTCAAGGTCTCATTGTGGAAATTTGGAGTAATTCTTTGTGTCGTTTGTGTAAACCATCAAAATTGGGGGAATGTCCATTATATACTTTAATCATCGAAGCCCTTTTAATGATTTTTTTCTTTTTCTGATTAATGTTTAGAACACTTTAGCACAAAGTGCTGAACTGCATCACAAATGAATCATTCTGCTGTCAGATGATTTATCACCTGCTATCTCGCCCCAAATATACCAGAATCATAAATGGGTAAAAAGAAAATGCGTTTATTGTAGAGATGGATGGAGTGGAAGACGTTACCTACACATGCAGAGAACTGTATATGAAAAAATATAATAAACTAAAAGTGAATAACAGTGTCCATGTTGGATGGATGGATGACACCATTTCCATTAGATATCTCTATCAACGAGGCAATACTGTATTGGAGTTCCATCTCTCCCAGAAGCACATGATATGCATATGCGTTCCGCCGGGTTTGGTAGAGAATAACAATTTGATTGAAAAAATTAATCTAGCACTCAAGAAACCTCCCCACCAGATCAAACACACAAGCCGGGGCCGGCTTCCACGTAAACATGCCCTCCAGCTTTCACAGGCAGTACGCTTCACAGGAAAGATGCTGCAGTTCCCCCTCGTCACCTCTTTCCTGATCTTCCCAGAATGCGTTGCCGTCTCTCCTCGCTTTTTATTACTTTCCCAGGAAAGAAATGCCGAGCTGTCTTTTCCATAATGTCACGCAGCCCCACAGTGTGACACGGTGAGAAAACGTAAAGAGGATGGGGTGGACTTTTGCTGGGTTAGAGTGGGTGGATGGAGGCATTCACTGATGTGCTCACCTCGCCTTTAAAACTTTAATGAGATGCATAGAGGGATGGGTGCTGGGGTCCACGCTCGGAGAGGGAGAGGGAGAACGCGGGGTCGAGCAAGGCAGACTGAGTGCATGTGTACCTTTCATTGCTCAGCTGAGCAGAAAATCATTACTGATGGAGCACCGTCTTTAAGGGATTTCCCCGCTGCTGCAATGGATGGGTAGGTATGGGAGAAGGATGTAGGAGTCGAGCATCTGAAAATAGAGACACGCCAGGGATTTGCAGGGGAGGGAAGTACAAGAAACTATGGATGAAGGAAGAAATGCAGGATGTTGTACTTCAGCCGTGCTTCTTTGTTCGGCGGGTCGGCCTTTTTTTATTCCTTAGGGAAAAGTTAAACTACAGTTGTCAATCTCAAATCCAAATATTCTCCGTTATAAGCTATAGTTATGTAAAGAAAAAAAAGCGGATATCCATATGGTATCACATAATGTGTATCATCCATGATGCTCCATGAAATTCGGTGCCGCACCAGCAACTAGTGGTCCACCCTTTTGTAGGTCATCCACCTGTATCAGGTGAATGACCTACAAATAGAGAAAATTACTGGTTTGAACCAAACCTCCGGTGCTCTTTCACACAGATTCTCTCAACTTAAAACATACATCTAAACGTAAAACCTATGTATTGTTTATTATGCTTTCTCAGGTTTTTCCTCTAATTTGTTGCCCATCTGTAAATATTAATTAAATCAACAACTACCTCATAAAATCAGTCTCCACAGACATAGACACCGTCTACCTAAATATAACTGAGGATGTCAGTTCAGTCGGGCTCGCCGTCTGATTACCTTTTGTCACAATGAGCTTCAATTGAATGTGAGACTGACATATTTTGATGCCGCCTAATCACCAGTTTATTACGGCCTTATGTAACAATGAGAAATGTGGTTAAAAGAAGTTGAAATGCAAATATTTTTGTTCTTATAGTTGTTATACACGTTACTACAAACTGGATTTTACATTCCTAACCTAATCCTTTTTGAAGTGGAAAGTTTCTTGAGCTCATGGGATTGTTTTACTTTAAAGGATTAAAATATTTTCATTGCGCAATACTCCCTCACTGTAGGTTTGAATTGTAGTTTTTAACCTACAGTGATTTTTTGACCTAGAGCCTACATTTCTCCGGTCACGTCTTTGATATGTACAAGTAAGTCTCAGCTTGTGCTCACGGAGAACCGTTCTTCACTTTGAGAAACATTCAAACCACTTGAGGCGTTGTGGACAGGATTAAGAATAATATCAATATTATTTCCTATACTGCTAGTTGGGAAACCTCTTTGGGAAGGGCAAGTGTTCTGTAGCAACATCTTCAAATATTTTTTCATTTTCAGTGGGATTGAGATCAACCTGGGTAGGACGCATCATGTCCGTTGTTGCCAGTGTTGCTATGACAACCTCTTCCAAAACATCAGGAAGCCGTTCCTCTCCATGGATGCAGGGCAGGTTATCTCTACTCAAAGGCAAAGACAAGACGAGAGATCCTAAGAGAGGAGGATGAAGGGATTTCAAGACATGATATTAGAACACGACCAGGTTTAGAGACATCTGGATGAAGCAACAACACGAGCCAACTGACACACAGTCCGGGGAAAAAGAGGACGGAAACTTCCGTACTGAAGACGTTTCAGCCTATAAACACTGTTTTCACAGAATACAGGGAGTGCGATGTGTGTCGTGATTAGTGCGGGTCAGTGACAGAGCAGACTCACTTTGAGATCAGCCAGCGGTCCCTCCAGTGCGTGACTGATGGAGAGGGTGACTTGGGACAGGAAGGCTGATTGAAGGAGTAATGAGCTGTGGAAGACAGCTGGCTCCTCAGGGAGCCCAGGAAACACTTTGCTCCTCCCGCTCCTCCTCCTCCTCCTCCCCCCCCTTCACCCTGGGAGCAGTATAGTAGTTTCTTTGCACAAGATCCACTTAATTTCGCACATCAAAGTTTAACATGTACATGGCACCTTACCTTCTCCACCATCCGACTCGCTCTCGCTAACTCAATGAACCCTTAATTTCTTCATCTCTGCACTCCAGCCCCCTGTAATGTCAATGTAGTGTCCGTAGCTGTTGGTGCATTCCAAAGTTTGACACGTTTTCTGGAGGGGCTCCTTCCAACATTTTGGGACCAAATAATCTCTGGATGCAATATCAACCAACAACGATGAGGCCAAAAGAGGAAATAGCAGTAAAAAAAAACTGCTGCTCCTCGATGTGCTCGAGACGCAAGCATTGATCAAAATGTGTGTGTGTGTGTGTGGCAAGAGATCAATTAATGATCTTGTGGGTTTTGCATCATCTGATTGGTCTTTGTAGAGGCCAATGATCACATCTGTTAGAACAGGTTTAGACCAATAACAATCAGTGGCTCATCAATTTTTGTCAAAATGAGATGACTCATTTCTTATTGGTTTCAAATCAACTACATTAACACTTTACTCCCCAGAGTTGTATACAGAAGGATTACCGTACTTTCGACTGAAACATACTGCGTGTTCAAATTTAGATTTTTTTTGCTGACAATTTGTAGCCACACAAGCAAACCTGTTTGTGGGATGTTGTTTGAGAGCTGGTTGTTTCACCACTTCGCTCCGGCCTGAATTATCACTACAAACTATTTGTTTGGTCACCATGGCAAAGTGAACCAACCATTGTGATTCTTAAAGGGGAATTCCAAATTACTGTACGGTGATCGCTTGACTTTTCAGCTAGAAGCACCAGCAGGTTGTCATGATTGGTTTTGAGGAAAATATCTTGACAACAAGGGGTTAATAGTTTTACAAAAGTTTTTCACCGTTTACTAGATGCATCGGCACACATTGCGGTCCCCACAGGATGGCCCATTACTTACATTACATGAATTACTTTCCCTTGACTTTTATTTGTACTAGTAGATAGCCGACATAAACAAACACTCCTCTCCTTTTCCCTTCATCGTTCACTCCTCCCGTCTTGTACCCTTGAGGGACCTTCCATCTCTTTGCAGAGGGGTTGGCTGGCTGGAAACACGCTCTCCCTGATGCAACCTCCCGATTGGGCAGTGTGCTCGGGTTTACTGGCCAGGTTCCCTTCTGCAGCACGCAGAGACTAAAACGGAAACGAAACACCTTGTTGATTGTTCAAATTAACTTCAAAAGTAAAGAAAAAGGACTAAATACCTTCTTTTTGGCACACATGAATCCTGTTATGGCGTATTTTATTAAAAAGAGTTTCCGATGATTAAGACTTTAGAACAAGTTGTCCTGGTTACATCCTTCCGGCTTGCCAGGCACACTGTGGGTCCGTGCTGTTCTCATAAGAGACAGTAAGTCACTCCGGTGTCATGGGAGATCTCATTATTCTCTAGTATCAAGAAAGAACTTTGAATGTAGATGACATCACTGTTATGGTGGAATAGTGGCTGGATACAAATGTATGCATGACTTCTCTCCTTTTGTGAATGGAAATTCCCCTCCAGGTCTGATGTTGGCTTCAATTGTTGGTGGAGGAAATCACTTTTTTTCACTTATTTTTCGTAACGTAATGATACTTCATGCATGCCAGGCTGAATATGGAGACTTTGGGATAAGTGCCAACAGAAAAGTGTAGTATTATGGAATCTTATATTAGCAAATGTCAACTTTCAACTAATTTTTACTAAGGTCATAAAATCTGTACTGTAGAGGCCGGATGTATTTGTTTCTATGTCTCGTTTTTGGGCTCCTCTCGTTTTCAGTCCAACTTTTATCAGCAGCTTCTTTCTGTTCTCCTCCCCCAGGTTTTGTATGCAGAAGAGTGCCAGGTTGGTGCCAGGGGTGACGCTAGACCTCATCGAGAAGTAAGTGGCACTCCTAAATAAACAAAAAAACAGTGTTTCTCTCTTTCCGTCTCTCTCAGGAAGGTGCACTCCAGAAAGATCATTATCCTGTTTTCCTCCTGTCGGTCTTTCTGTCTATCATCGAGTACGTCTCCTCTCTAGGGTTTTTCATCCTGCAGGTACAATCCTCTGCCAAAGCTGCAGTAGTTTGGCAGATTTTGAAGCTCCCCACTTCTTCTATAGACCTCCAGGTGTCGAGCAGCCGGGCGTGGAACATCTCCGGCTCCTAGGCACACTGAGTGATATTAGTGCTTAATAGGGAATTCATATTCAAAGTTTCAATGGTTTGAAAGAACCATCGTGGGTCTTTATTTTCTTTTTTTCCACATCAGCCAAGAACAATGGCTGATAAAATGACAGCCATCAACTAAATTGGTTGAGAAGGTTTGAGAAGTAACCTAACAGCAGACTGTCAACTCTCTGTCGTATCTTTTTGGAAAGCACCTCGAGGTGCTAAACTGGGGAGATGAATCACCTTAAGCAAATGTCATTCACCTTAACATTAACACTTGATGCTCACACATGCTCAAACTGTAACTTGAGTTTTCTACAGACAGCCGGACAGTTTGTCCGTGCATTTCGACCCGCATGACATGAACACACGTGCGCACCCAGAAACCTGAACATCCGAATTTAATTAGTCCTTGGCTGAGGGTTTGTGCAGAGACACCGTGTGCTTCTCTGATCTTCCCCGTTGTGTGTGTGTGTGTGTGTGTGTGTGTGGTTCTTCAAACTAAAAGTGGTGCACTATTACTCTCCTGTTCAAGCTTGTGTTTTATGTGCTTCTTCAAATCCAGTGCTGTAAATTCTCAAATAGTAACTTATTTATATATGTCGCCTTTCACTGTTATTAGAGAGCCTTCTTTATTTAAAATGTTCCCATTTGTTACATATGTATGTCTTATATTTTAAGAACCCTACTCCTTTTTTGATTTGCTCTTAATGCAAGCGTCACACTTTTATCAGTTTTCAATCAATTCAGTATAATTCACATTTTGCAGAATTAACAAAGTAGCATAACATTAGAGTTACATCATACTCACCAGTCCGCTCCTCTGTCATTAATATTTTCTGACTAAATGTTTAGCGTAGTCCTCTGCAAGAAAACCTTTACTGGTAAGCTTCATTTAGAATAATTCTAGAATTTCTCGATTCTAAATTTTATTCCACCAACGTGTTTGTTGTCTTTTATTCAGGACCAACTGTCATCCTCTAATTCTAGACATGATTATGCTGTATGAGCCTTTTCCGTTGTTTGAATACCACCTTTTATTGCAAAATAAGCAGTAAATTGTTTTTGCATGATTTTACTCTTTACCCTCTTTTGCAGTTTCATAATGTTTTGTTTATTTTTGCATTTAATATCGCAGAAACCACTTAGAAGAAGTAATATATCTCCCCCTATTTCATTTAAAGCCTTTTAAAAATCATACTAATTGGTCCAGCAAATAATTGTTGGGTTCGAAAGTTCGTTCTCAACATATTTTTTTTAACTTTTCAACGAGATTCATAAGGTTTATTAATGAATTGAACAACATTTCTGAACTCTCCACATCGAACTTATCCCCTTTTTTCCTCCTTTTATATAATCTTTAGCAGTTGACTCTGCTTTTGATTCTCTTTTCAACCAGTTCTGCTCATTGCTTTTCTTTTCCTGTCAAACACCTCTTCCAGCCGGGGGATAAGCATTACACAGGAAACGCCTTAATACTGTAAGTAAAGCTACTGCAGGATGGGAAACCACTGGAGCGATGACGAACGCCTTTGAAGAACTTTTTTCTTTTTCTACATTCTGCCAACATCAGTCGTTGTGTCTGACAACATTGAAGTTCTCCATTCATGCTCAAGTTTCATGTCCTCCTTAACTATTTTTACTTGGTTCATCAGAATAAAGGATTGGCTTCTGACGAGAGGGGAAAAGAAAGTGAACCGAACGAAATGAAAAATGCTTGCCTTATCACATTCAATTCTGAATGTAAAGAGAAAAAAGGCCATACATTTAAATTCATAAAGACATTTAAATGAGTAAAGTATAGTATAATAAAACGGTTAACTAAATCAAAGACAAGCTAAGAATTTTAAAGATATCCGCACTTCCCTCAGGCACGCAGGCTTGATCCAAAGTGGATAAAAGTAGCCCAGGAAACCCAAAGAACCGAGTAATGTAGTATTTACATTGTCTCCGTAAACAGATCCCAAATTCAAATGTAAAATTTGTAACCAACTGACTAGGTTTTTTCCTCGGAAAGCAATCTCATTTCCATTTTAAGTCTGTGGGATATTAACCAATAACAGTCAAGCAAGCGATCTTGCGATTCATCCAGGCATTCTCTAAGCATCTCTAAAACATCTGTGTACTCAGCAATACGCAGACGGGCTGTTTTTTCTAAAGCCTGTGCGCTGCTCTTCATGTAAGCCGACTGCTTCAGACATAGCAGGGTTGTGTATTTACAAGAAACCCTCAAGGTTAAGAGAAAGAGTTTGAGCAGCAAAAGAAGTTCTGACCTATTCGTACACTCTACCGAAGTTGGATTTGAGGTTTAGCCAGATTCAACAGCACTCTTCTGTGATAATAGATCGGATTTTTCTCTACCATGATACAGTTGCACAAACAGAGTGTCTGCATTTCACTCTGATACAAACCACATTTATTTAATTTACAGAACCCCAAATACTTTTTAATTTAATTCTATGTTTACATTGATAAGGTAAGGGCACCGAGCGGTACACAAGTAATTAGCTGTGTTATGGTGAGAATACAGCAGCTCTGCTCTACGTTTTCTCTCCAGTTACTAAAAGGTACTAATTTGGACCCAATAGAAAAAGAAAAAAAAACCCTGTGGTTACTTAGAATTTGATAACAACATCTACGAGTGAGAAAGTGGTAATAACGGTTGTGACATGACGCAACGCATTACATCTGACTAGAGTAGAACATCCCAATTCACTAAAATGTCCCCAATTAAGTGCTAAGAGAGTCCGTGTTTACTTGCCCTTGAAGCCCTGAAAACGATTGAAGGGCTTTCTTGTTTTTAATCAGACGGGGTTTCTGGGTCCATGATGCTTAAGTTGCGGTTTTGGTTCAGCGCATGTTGTCCAGAGGGCTGAATGTTGACTCAGCTGATGTTCTGTGGAGATAAATAATGGATGGTCTCGGAGCTCATAAAATTGAAATGGAACCAAATTCATTCTCCATCTCACCCCTCCGCTCCATGAAGCCGAGTCAAACGTGTTTTCAAGGGAAGCTTCATCACAAAAGGAAATATCACAAACGGCTCAATGATTCAATTCTAATGCTATTAATGTTCTCTAATAATGTATTTATAATAAAAAAAGAACTGAATGACATTAGAATGAAAACCAACTAAGAACAACAGTGGAAATTTAGATTTGATTACGTGTTGAACATTTGTTACAGGAACAGGTACACAAGCACAATCAAATCCTTGTTGGATCCCAAAGTCGCCTATTTCATTTGTTCTAATATTTTTGATGATTAGTTTTTTTTAAATAGTATCGCAGGAAAACAAGGTGTTTTCGTTTTTGTCTGCGAGTGACCCTTTGTCATTTCTAGCAAGTCATAGCAAGTTAACTGTGGCTACAAAAATAATTTGTACTTTTGTGATGTTTCAGATGGTTTTGCGGTATCCTAGCAACAACACAAAAATCACACCAAAGAACTTTGTTTGGACGCCGCAACAGAGCGATGCAGTGCAGCCGGTTATTGGTCAGCCTTTGAAATATACCTGAGGGGAATTTCATTAAATAATAACCAAAGCCTGTTTTCTCTTCGTTTTTCATAATTCCGTATGTTCAAAATTCAGGAGCAAATACCCAGTGAGCCGTGCACACGCCTGTGTGCCATGCGTTTAAACCTTTTTAAGGTCAAACGCGTATCGAACACTCACCGCCCTGGAAATATTACAAACATCTGTTGTGGAACGTATTCAGCATAATGTCCCCGATGAGTAGTTGTGCGCTGTTGATTTGTTTATTCGTTTGATTGCACCACTGTCTATCCTCCATCTGTCTGCTCTTCCCACAGACATCCAACACACATTCTGGTCATATTTGCTGGACATAAAGCCTTGTAGATAAGAGTCACAACGGCGGGAGTGTGTGTGGATTTTACCTCGTCACAGTTCACCCGATCTCTCCCCAGCTGCAGAAGCTCTGACGGCGTTTCACACATTCGATCGCACACACACTCATCCCTTCTTTTTCTTCCCTGGTGGGGCTGACAAGTGTGGTGGATTGAGTCCTTGGCAGCGAGCTCGCATCGGCTCGGGGGGGCAGAGCCGTCCTGCTGGGCTCCACACCACGGGGGAGCTCTGTAAACTTAAACTCCATTATTGAAGGAATCATGTTACTGTGATGGCATCTTGCCATTAAAAATGCTCTATTGATCCTGTTTGGAAACACTCCATGGCTTCTCGCCACAGAGAAGGGACCACAACAATGTGGCTCCAAACAAGAGCAACAACTTATCACTTTTATAGAGGACTTTGTGACGCTGTTCGTATCAGTACGTCGTATCAGCGTAATCAAGCGGGACGCAATTACTAAAAGCCAACTGGTGCCTCACCGGTAGTTACAGTGCAGCTTAATATGGTTAATATTTTAAACCGCTGACCTGCTGCTCTGTTGCCGACATTAAGACCTCTGGTCTCCTTGATGTAATAACATATAGAGGCATTATCAGTTTTAAGTTGAGACTCACCCATAAACCATTTAACAGTTTCCATTAGTAATTTTTAGTATTCAGCCCAATATGTAACCTGTTACTCAAGTAGTTCTTCAGTGACTAATTCTACTTCTATTTGAGTACTTTTTTGATCATCTTCCCATCTCCGATGCCACTTTTGAGTTGATCATCATGGATGAAGATGTAACTTTTATTTTTATTGAGACCACTGTTTTTCACAATTGTGTCTTTCCAACTTATAGACTATTACTCAAGCGTACCTCCTCCATGTTGGTAAAGGGGAAGCAGCTGGTTTTATCTGCATTGAAATGCATCCCTTTTCATGCTATTTTCCACAAACAATAGCTTATTAACTTGCTCAACTCAAAAATGCATATGAAATATTGAATTTATACATTGATTAGGATGAAATACCCGAGGAGGAAAGATTCTCGCTGCTTCCGTAAACACTTTTATCTCCGTTCTTCCATCTCACATAAGATCCAAACCAAATGCTGCGTTCTTTCTCTACTAGTGCTTCATGTGTTTCCACTTTAGCCCCACAGTATCTGGTGTGTGTGTGTGTGTGTGTGCACAAGCGCGCACAGATATTCACCTGTTATTCACTCTGAGTAAGAGTGACTAAATGTAAATGCCATCAGATGTGTTTTGTAAATCATATATGGGGGGGGTCGTCGTGGCGCAGGGGTTAGAGAAGGTGTGCTGGGAAGCACAAGGTTGGTGGTTTGAGTCCAGGCTGCCCCATGTTCCATGTCGAAGTGTCCCTGAGCAAGACACCTAACCCCTAATTGCTCCCCAGGCAAATAATGTGAATAAGCCATGGGTTTAAAGTGTAATGTAAGTCGCTTTGGATAAAAGCGTCTGCTAAATGACCTGTAATGTAATGTAATGTAATGTAAATACTACTGGGCAGTTTTCACTTTGTGCTCTGAGTCAACTCTGGAACATACAGCGAATGCGGCTGACACGCTGCCATCTGTGTTGTGTATTGTGCAGGATCCCCGGCAGGCTCAACGACAGACGGACCCCCCTCGGAGAGCTCAACTGGATCTTCACAGCCATCACGGACACAATTGCGTGGAATGTGCTCCCTAGAGGTGAGGCTTTACATGTAAAACTATTGTTACATTGTGTTTCTTTTCCACAGAACACTCTTAAGATCTATTATTTGTGTACGTGTCGAGTACTCACGAGGGATCACTTTTATACACAAGGCACACGTAAGTTTTGAAACTGTCTTGAAAACCGCTAATGATTAAGAATGAAATGACTGCCATGTTTCAGCTCACAGGGAGCCCGACTTGGACCACCTTATTAAAACAGGAGTGTGAGATCAGCAATACTAGACTTTGAGATGATCCCTCGTGGTTGAAAACAGCAAAGGTGTTTATATAATATGCCAGTAGTGCAAGTTGGCTCTTCAAATGGAGATTAATTGTGTTAGCAGTGTCTAGCACAGTAATAAGGTGAATAAAGTGAAGCAAATTATCCACACGCAGGCACAGACACACACACACACACACACACACACACACATACACACACACACACAAGAGAGACTCAGACTCTCCTGAGACCAACTGTACCCCAGCTAGAATAGAAATGTGACAATGCTGATGGCTGCCAAAGCCTTTTAAACCGCTGTTAATGAAGCAACCCACATCAGAGGAAGTCCCTGTAATGACAGCCTAGTACACTGAATACACACAAGCGCACACACACACTGTCAATCACTTCATTTAAACAGCATATACAACAGTATATACAATATCCCTGAAACGCACACACACAAGGACACACACCTTGATGTCCTCACATGAACAGGGGTCACAATCACAAGCAAGAGATTAACATATAATTGGCTCAGCACCATTAGTGAATGTGAATGCATTGAAGAGCTGGCGGGAATGTGACCACACCCCATCTGCACATCGCTGCCGTGTTTGAGTTACTGTAATTCAAGTTCTCTTTACTGCTGGTTGATTTTAATTTTCTAACTCCGGGTTCTGATTTTCTCACTTTGAATCCTGACTGATTCGTTGGGTCCATCTTCTCAGTCTATGACATGACGGGTGATTTGTTTTCTGTTTTTCTGTCCTTAGATTTGTTCCAGAAGTTGTTTCGCCAGGACCTGCTGGTGGCCAGCTTGTTCCGCAATTTCCTGCTAGCAGAGAGAATAATGAGGTCGTACAACTGCACGCCGGTCAGCAGTCCCCGTCTGCCCCCTACATACATGCACGCCATGTGGTAAGACACACAACCAGTGCCCAGTGCCTGATTTCCTCGCCTCAGATGCCGTGGTCTTGTAGTTAGTGGTGTTCTAAATAGTTACTTTTAAACAGTCATGAGATTTTTTTAAAAATGCATTCAACTTGGCCGCTTGTGAACAAATGGCTAATGTGACTTATCAGCCCAGATGTAATAGTCTCATTTATTAAACGAAAACTCTTCTAAAACAGTTCGCAACTCCATTAACTACGTTGTGTTTCTGTGGACCTAGTTTGGTTGTGTAATTTGTGTTCTTACTTAAGCTCAATAACACACATTAAAGGTCACCATTGATATTCGCATCAATCTTGACTTGAGGTTTCGCTCTGACAGATATTAGAAGCAGAGGCCAACGGCCGGCTTGTTTCAGCAAAAGTGCCTTCAAGTAATTCCAATGTTTTCGTAGAGTATCTTGTACTTTACACACTTTATATTGGGGTTAACACAGGTAGAAGAAAAACTATTTATGAAAGTGATTGCTAATTAACAACAGCTATGGCTGGACACAGCACCGCGGTATCCTTCTCGACGCACTTATGTTGTTTCACGCACTTTCCCTGACTCGACAAAAACCCAGGTGAGTGTGCGATGTTAGTTTTATATCAAGACAACAGTTCAAAGGTGTCATTTTCCTCAAATCTCATTCTTATCTTATTTAAACAGATTGATGATTAAACAAGGATAAAAGTGTTCCATCACCCATTTAAATCTGCCTCCAGTTCATTATTTTTCCCCATATTCCAAACCATGATTTTCATACTAAGCAGAAAAACATGATTAACTGCTTTAAAATATGTGCCGTCGAGGAAGTGTGAGCCAAAACATGGAGGTGTTTTTATTTGCTTCTTAATAGCATATGCATACACCTCCCTCATGCTAAGTAAAATCTCCATGTTTAAGTTTCTTGGTTATTTGTTTAAATGTTGCCAGGGTTGCTGTCTGCTAACAAAGCGCATGCAGATATTGCAGTGTCTTCCCCGACTGCAGCGTCAGTCACCCCGATTTAAATGTAGACACAAAGAAGACAACATGGTGTAACGGCCTCGCTCTTTCTCCAACCGCCCACACAGGCACAACCCCGCAGCCAAATGTGTCCAACTTGGATTGAGAGCTAAAAAATAACACCTTGTTGTATGTACAAAAGACTGGGGAATGATGGTCTCTAGCTGGGATAAACATGGCAGATTCAGCTCATAAGCAGTGGTTCAACAAATAATAAAACCGTACTGGTCCTTGAAAGATATGAAACGGTAGAAATCTGAGCGTTGGACTAAGTTATTCCTTTCACTCCCACAGTTTGAGACAGGTGCCTGTTTCTCGAAGCCCTTTTCTCTCCTGTGTTAATGGAAGAGCTGATATATATTAAAAAATATATATATATATATATTTATATATATATTCATTTTCATCATTGTCATTCATTGTCATCATCCTGATGTAAAAAAAAATGGATAAAAAAATTCACCCTCCGTGACTTTTTTGATAATTGTAGAAAAATTGTCATGTCAAAACCATTTTTTCCAAATATGTAAAAAAAAATGTAAGCACTGGTTGGTATTGTACCATTGTTTTGATTATTATTTTTAAAAATGGTTCTTTGGTCATAAACACAAGAGAAAAAACATTTAAATCAGACTTAGAAAATGGATCACCAGTTTCTTTATCTTTTTTCCTCACGTCCGTCAGGGTTCGTGAACCGTTTCACAGCTTTCTGCCATCTCCCTGATCTCTCTGATTTGACTGTCTTAGTCTAGACGTGGTTACAGACTCGCAGAGCTACTGAAAAGACATTATCCCATCAACTGTCTCCCCTAAGTTACGCAAATACTTATCCCAGTTTCTATTATTTCTCATCTTAAACTTATATAAATGCATTCCTCCATCTCTCGCACTAATTATCTGGCTCCTGTGAAAAACCAATAAAGAAAACCCTCTTTGCCCCCGAGGAGCAACTTGTTGTGCAACACTCTGGCATCACTCGTTATCAAGAACAATTGTCCCTGTTCGTTGCTCTCCCCCATTATTTTAGATTGTGGGTATATTGCAAGGTTTACTGCCAAAGAAATTTGGAGCTGCACTCTGTTTCCTGGCAGAACCTGCAGTATTAAGGGGGACAGCGTAACGAAAGGGAGGTGTTCTGAGAGGCTGCAAAACAAGACTGAGACAACGATAAAAACAATTTGGGGGCTCGTTGATCGATGCCAGTGCCCAAACAGCAATTGTTATTCAAATAAGGCGGAATAGGGGAGAGATGATAAAGTAGGGCTGATTACTTAGTGGGCAGTTAAGAGTGTGGGTGTGTGTGCGTGTTTGTGAGTGCGCGTCGCTGCACCACCCGGTGCATGCAACGGGGGAAAAGAGCTTAGTCAGCCACCAACTGGTCGCCCACACTCGTTACCGGCCTTCCCCTCATCTCACACCATGCACACCAACACAGACAGGTTTTGGTGATGAGTTACTCATTTGAATTGGCAGGCTCCTTCGAGTTAACGCTGTCATCCTAATATGGTGCAGCGGCCTCCTCCCTGTGAGCGTGTCTTTGCTGATTTGGCTGCTCTATCTGCTTGTTTCCTCATTGTTGGGCTACATAAACTCCTATAGGGATGGATATTTCTTGTCAATATATCATGTTAGAATTGTTTGTGAAAACAACATTTAGGAATTTATATTAACTTTGTAATGTACTTAAGCTAAATAAGTTGCTTCAGTTGCGTAAAATGTTCAAATTTAAACCGAAACCATGAGCTTTTACTAAACTAAACTAGTTTGGTTTCAATTCGTTAACCACTCGTCTAAAACGGCAATGGTAAATAAAAGGTGAAACCGCAGATATTTTACTGAATGATGTTCCCACACCATAATCTTACCAAGGGATACTGGCTTCAGTGTATACAGCATTTTCCCTCTTAGTAATTAACTACCATATAGAGTCAGGTAAATTGGTATGTTAGTAACGTTGACAAAATGCCGTACACAAGCAGATGCTCAGCAAATAAGTTGCGGAATATTAAATATTTAATTAAATAATAAAATATTTCACAAAATACTGCAATAACTTTCATCTAGAATTGGCATGCATCTTTAATGTTTTTTAAAGATTCATGTAATGTAAACATATACAACATGAATACCAGGCTTTGATCTTTGCTTAAAATCTGTTCATCTGTTCGTTTCAACCAATGTGCGTAATTTTAGTACTGGGGCCCTTTTGAACACGGCCATCAGATGCATCACTACCCTCAGAAAATGTTAAATGTCCCAGACCCAAGAATACCCGCATGTAAACATAAATTACTTTTACGAACAAGATTCTTACTCCCAGGTTATTAGATGAATAATAAGACATTGTATGGATATAGTATTTCAGTGCTGCCAGTGAAAAATGTAAATGTAAACAAACGATAAACTCCGTAAACAATAAACACTATTATATGCCTCACAACCTGTTTAAGCGACGGAAGGTGCATGCCATGTCAATCGTTCAGCATCACATTACATGCACATCACGTTAGTGCATCTGCTCTGTGATTGTGACTCAAACCCTGACTAATGCTACCAGAGAGGGAAAAGCTCCATCGAGGCTCTGAGCTTAATTTTTCTGAGAAAAAAAAAGAGTGGAGGAAGAGAAGAAGACTCGAGAAGCTGCGAAAAGGTTAGTTACAAGTTACATAACCCCATGAATTATATATGATGACCAAGGGGGACCGCTGGTGTTTAGAAAGGGATTAAAGGCTTCTTGCTGCCCTCTCCAGGACCTCGGGCTGGGAATTCAAAGAGGTGCATGTGCGCCGGGAAGATGCGGAGCACAAAACGTGAGCTGAGGAAAATGAGAGTGGGAAAGGAAAATCCCTGCTCATGGCTTTCCCTTCCCAGTGCTGTTTGGTCGTTCTTCTTCGTGTCATGATGCAATAATAGCAACAAATGTGTCCCGATTTGAGGTTATTCCTTATAATGAACCCCGTCATTTTGATGAAGTTTGCACTTGTCTCCTCTCTACAGGCAAGCGTGGGACCTGGCCGTGGATATATGCCTCTCTCAGCTGCCTACCATCATTGAGGAGGGCACCGCCTTCAGAGTAATTGTGTGTGTGTGTGTGTATGTGTATATATATATATGCGAGACAATCATGGCTGAGGTGGAACGTTGTTCCCGTAGTAATAGGTTAGTGTTTACTGGTTCTCCACCATTGATGGATGGCTGTTATCTTGGACCTGTCCACCACACGACACCTCAACACCCCCCCAACATCTACAGCCGCTCTGCTGAACGCTCAAACACACTCGACTATCGTTCGTTATGAAATTGTGAAACGTCAGGTCTAATAATTCAATTGTGAGTGCCAAATAGAAAAGAAGTTGGTAAAACCACTGGCCCGTGCACTTTGAGCAGGTTTATTGTTGTCTTTACTGACACGCCAGGGGACGGAGATGGTGAGTGTAATGAAAACACCCAGCAGGAGGCTGATTGAACTGATGATGACTTAACATATCTGGGTCAACACAAGACATTTTTGCGCGCCAGTTTGTGCGAACGCGCACTCGAGCTGGACGGACCGAAGAGCCCTAACATGTGCTTTGTAATCAGAAAATTCTAAACAGAGAAAGTAGAACCGGCTTTCATAGAGGCAGCACTTTCATCTGGGGCTTTTCCCTCCTCCACCCGGTCCAAAGAGCTGGCCGTCCTCCCCATCGCTCCCCTGGGAGCAGTTTTCCATCCTCTAGCCTCCTCCCCTTTCTCCTGCACTCGGCCCAAAAACACTTACCGCCAACATAATTGAGCCTCAGTGGACTACTAAAGGAAATCTTTCTAGCTCCCTCTTTCAAGAGCCTTTAATCCTTCTCTGTTTACCTCATTTTCTTTGTCTCTGTCACAACTGGTTTAAGTCTACAGAAGATTGTACAAATTTAGTTTTATGTTCCTGTTGACAATTGATACTACCCCTTCAACGTAAATACACTTTTGTTTTTTTCTTTTTTCTATATTTCATACAAAAAACTAGAAAAATTCAAATCATAAAAAAAATGGTTAATGTATTTTTCAGGAACCTTGATTAAGTCATGGCTTCATTTAAAGTTAATAGAAATGTTGGAATAGAGTTTTAAATGAATCAGTAAAGCATACATGTGTAATAAATTGGTTAATACAACCTGAATGTATTATGAATTACCCCATCTCAAAATTTACCATAATATCTAACATATGAGTGGTTCTTAAACATGAGCTGTACTTTGAGCTATATATATATATATATATATATTAAATGAATGAATGAGCTGGACACCACCACACACCATTTAGTTCATGTATCCATGAGTATTCATTTAGTAATTCAGCTCACAAAGCACTGATATTTTCCCACTCGACATCAATCAACAGTCTGCACACCGCTGTTGTAATACCCAGTGCAATGTTTAACACTCGGCGTGATCAAAAACTCAGCGGCCAGCAACCGATCAATCAGCCAAACTGCCGTGGCAGTGGCACGGGGGGGGGTGGAAGGAGATCATGATAGATCAGGATTTATGTCGTTACTGCAATGCAGTGTCACTTCAGAGCTCATCGTGTCAGAGCGCTCATGAAGCGATGCGCTAGTCACTGCAGACTGGCTCATTACTGGCCGTGCTCAAGGGAGAGTGAATGAGTAAGCGCGGTAAATGATTCAAAAGAAATGTGTGTGCGTTTTGTGTCCACAGCACAGTCCCTTCTTTGCGGATCAGCTGACTGCGTTTGAGGTGTGGTTGACGATGGGCGTGGAGAACAGGAACCCTCCTGAGCAGCTCCCAATTGTACTGCAGGTACAAACGCGCACACACACACACACAAAAACCTCCTTTTTGCATCAGCTTTATTAGCATGACCTGTAAATACATCAATGAAAATGGAGGATAAAGAAAATAACATGATTTTAATAGCGGGAATGTTTAAAATGAATTCTGAACATTGACGCTGGGAGGAATCCAAACGGGACCTTGAACATGCACGAGTTGCAGCTGAATGTGAAGCAGTCGGGAGGAGAGTCAGTGCCTCCGTGGAAGTCGTGGTTCTCTGCTGGCAAACGGTAGAGTAAGTCGCTCCCCAGAGCTCAAGAAGGTTGAAGAGGCCGGAAGGCGAAGCTCTGGGTTTACCGCCCTGTACACTCACCACGCCGCCGCTATGGTCGTGAGCTTTGGGCAGTGGCCCGAAAGAATTAGATTGAATGAGCTGAAATGAGCTTCCTAAGTGGTGGCTGGGCTCAGCCTTTGAGATTGAGCGAGGAGCTCAGACATCTGCAGGGAGCTCAGAATAGAGCGCCTGCTCCTTCACATCGGAAGGGGCCGGTTCAGGTATCTGATCAGGAGGCTTCCTGGAGGTGTCCTGTAGGAGTTTTTTTCCGGGAGCGTCCAAGACACACCGAAGAGATTACATATGCTCGTATGGCCTGCGAACTCCTCGGCCTCACCCACCTAGGCCTCCTGACACTCCGACCTGTCCCTGAATAAGCACAGGCAAATGGATACTGTATATGGCTGGATGGATGGATGGATTAATTGACAGATGTCTATGATGGTGAATTAGGGATATCCATTATAATTCATTGAGGCGGGTAAGTGGGAAATATTCCTTGAAAAATGTTTAAACCTCACAAATCGTCAAGAAAAATAAAAACATGGCAAATTTGTGTGTGATTTTGGCAAGAAGAAGAAGACATTTTTATTGGCAAGTATTGTTTTACACATACAGGAATTTGTTCTCTGCATTTAACCCATCACACACAGTGGGAGCAGTGTGCTGCCCTAAAGGCGCCCGGGGAGCAGTTAGGAGTCCGGTGTCTTGCACAGGGACACTTTGAAATACATTCATGAAGTTCAAACCGAGCATCAGAATGGGGAGGAAAGCTGATTCACGTGAGTTTGAACGTGGCATGGTTGTTGGTGCCAGACGGGCTGGTCTACTGGGACTTTTAAGCACATCCATCTCTTGGGTTTGCAGAGAATGGTCCTAAAAATAGATGTGAGCAGTCAGAGGGGAATGGGCAGACTGGTTTGAGGTGATAGAAAGACTCAATATAACCACTCGTTACAACCAAGGAGTTCAAAAATCTCTGAACGCACCGGACAAGTTATACATAATAAAGTGGCCGGTGAGTGTGTGTATATACCTCTCTCACGTCTCTTTCTTGTGCGCCATCGTGTTTCCCGGTATTCACACCAATACACTCCTCTCTTCACTGTGTCGTCCTTTTGGCTGTCACTTTACTTCACTCACGCTACCAATCCATTATTTAGGTAATTGAGGCCTGTGCTGAAGTGACATTTCTTTAACAGACAGATGAACCCATCAATGTTGCGGATCCCGTGTTTGGAAATGGCTTCCTGCCTCGTCATGCACAAGCAAACACTGCAAGAGCATCGTCATTGAAGACAAACGTCACCTGCCAAGAGTCCACCATTAGATTAGGAGATTAACTCTAGCTGCTCTTTAGTTATACTCATCCCCTCCTTTATGAAGGAAACTCTCTCCTCCAAGTTTTCACTTCAGGTCAGCCAGTAGAAAAGGGAGAAATGTTCCTCAAAATCCTTGCTGTAAATTGGGTTCAACGTTTGCTGGCCAGCTCTCTTTATTCCATCACTGCAACAAACCTGTGACAAGGACAGCGGCTGCTGTGTTTCCTGTAGTGATGTTAGACTCGTCTGGGGCGCTTTAATTAGGGCAAAATCATCGGCTCGACATTGCCACATGATTTGTCATTTGTTGCAGCAGTACCTCCTGTACAGTTCTGGTGTGGCAGCGTAGTGGTGCTGCGCTGCTGTCCGTGTTGAATGTTAATTTCCTGCCTACTCAGCGCACAGCGAGCCGCAGTCCGTCCATACAGCATTCCTGTCGGGACCCGTTAAAAGCCGAGGAAAAGGCGGACTGATCGGGGAGCGCTGGATAGGGTGTGAAGGCGTGTGCATGTGTGTTTGTGTATGCAGTTGATGGGGATTTTAAGGGACTTGGAGGAAGCAAAGCGGCAATAGCTTTTAAGATTACGCAACGTTATGCAGCTTTCCGCCGGCAGGGCGGAGTAATCTCAAGACCCCTTCATACTCTCTGATGTAACGCATGGACACATACACAGGTTTTATAACCTTTTAAGCACACAGTTGCATAAAAATGAAGTAAAAAAATAGCGTATTCTTGGAGGATTTGCTATTTATTTCCAAATGTATATCTGGCTGCATTTGAAAGATGCAATGAGCAACAAGAAATGGGCAACAGAGAGTACTCCATCAATAATGCTCTTTAATGAAATGAGCAAAGGGAAGACAACAAGGCTCCGGGATGAGAGATACGGTTCTGCGTTGTCTTGACAACATGCATTTCATCCGGGAAGGATTAACCGATTTTGCAAAGGGATCACAACGTCTCATAAACGATGACGTTACGGTAACAGCAGCACATTCACAAGCGTCTGGCATTGGCCTGACGTGCTTACAGCATGCATGTGAATCATACAACAACATGGCGGTGTGTGACTCACAGCTTGTACACACACAGAATGATGATGGAAAGTGCTTGCTCATCGCACTAAAGTAGATTGCAGTCGAGGTGTTACGCCACTAAGGATTTGAGACCTACATCACACACATGCAGTCATACCCATTTCAATGTTGCAGCATTTCTCAGGATGTTCAGCTATGATGTAACAAACATACATGTTAATGTGTTGATTTAATCATTGTCTGAAGATCTGCCTGTGTGTGGGTGACTGTCTGCAAAATATTCATTGACACTGTGCCAAATCTGCTGAAGACCTGAGAGACGAGCGAGAAAAAAGAAAAGCCTGGCAGCTTATTTTCCATGTCTGATTGAAATCGTTTCCCCTCCTGTTCATGACCTAGGAACAGATGAATAAGGCTTATAGAGCAAACGCCTCTGTCGCACACACAAATTTGCGTGTTCCCACGCTGTTCTTTGGGGCTGGGAGTGACCCTGTGCCGGCCTTTCCCCCCGGCCTCCTCCCGTTTGTGTGGTTCCGCTCACCAGGGCGAAGTCACGCAACACGCTGATAGTACATGATGTGTTGGTGGAAATGTGTGTGTGTGTAGGTGTGTGTTAACCTGGTTTCCTCCATATGCTTGTTCCCACACACACTGTGGGGAAAGTCACATGGGTGTGTACCGGTGTCTAGCCCCCACACAGACTCAGCACCGAGCTCAGTGCTGCATAAAACACACACACACACACACATATACTATTTTAGCACACACCATATGCCTCCTTGAAATTGTTCTTCTTGGCCAATAACTGCAGCATCGTGATCGGGATTTGGCATCCCTGTCATAGACGTAAATCAAAGCGTACACACACACACACACTATTGTGTTTTCCTGATCATGTAATTTCTTAAGAAGCCAAGTGAAACGTCAGCCAAGGACGCACCCATTCGCCTCCGCATGTATGACGGTGCACACTTACAAAGTGAAGAAGTGGAACCTGATGCCAGTGTGTTACCCGTAGTGCTGTGAGAGCCACCTGTTTCACTCCACCGCCTGAAGCTTTCTGCAGTTTCTCCCGCTGTCCTTCCGTCCTTCCTTCCTTCCTGCGCCCCACTCACCCACCCTCTTCTTCCTTTAATCCCAGGCTTCCCCTTGGTTTGGAGGCAGCACAATTAACCTCTGACCTCTGGTCTCTTTCAGGTCCTCCTTAGTCAGGTCCATCGGCTGCGAGCTCTACAACTGCTCGGACGCTTTCTGGATCTTGGCCCATGGGCCGTCAGTCTGGTACGTTAAATACAGTGTACCTGTTTTTTTGTTGTACTTCATTTAAAATAACCGCTAAACTGCTCTACTTTTGGATAGAAGTGAACTGGCATCAAAGCTGTAGCAGACTTGTAGAGTAATATTAATAATAATGATATGTTTTATAGATATTATTTTTAATAGTTAGCCTTTCTGCTTGGCGTATCCGTGCACTCATGGAGTTGTAGCCCTAAAAAAATTAAAACTGCATTGCTAGATACTGGGAAACAAATAAGTGAAAACACATGTCACTGCAAGATGTTGTCTACAGGAACAAATTCTAAATATACCCGTGTGCTGTTGGAAGCATATGGAATGCTTCAAAAGGCAAACTCTGCTTATTGACAATCATTTGAACTGAAATCACATTTGAGATCATCCTACCAGCTCCTTTAAAGATAAATTCCATTCTTGAGCTTTGTCTTGGTGGCCAAACACATTCAGCCGCAAGGCCTGGATAATAACCTGCAATATCAATACTAAACTGTGTGTGTGTGTGTGTGTGTGTGTGTGTGTGTGTGTGTGTGTGTGTGTGTGTGTGTGTGTGTTTGTGTTTGTAGGCCCTGTCTGTGGGGATCTTCCCCTACGTATTAAAGCTGCTCCAGAGCTCCGCCCGAGAGCTGCGCCCTATGCTGGTTTTCATCTGGGCTAAAATCCTTGCCGTAGACAGTGTGAGTTTTGGAAAACACTCGCCAAAAATAAAAAATGATGCTGCCTCATCTTTTTAAAACCTCATGGTTTTTATTTTAGCAGCTTTTTGACGTCATATGTTTATTATCACTATAAAAATGATGTCTAATGCACCAAGTGAACAACACAAGCAATAAAGGGAAAAAAACAACTGTATTTGGTAGAGATGCACCGATCAATAAATAAAAACAAGGTTTCCGCTGATTGGCGGACTTGTAAAAGATTTTTTTTATCCAAGCAAGTATTTAAATTAGAATTCAATAATACATTTCCTATTCATTTGAATCTCATGTTTCGCTAACAATGCTTTGCAGTCGATTACATCAGTCATTTGAAATTATTTTAAATGAATTCATTTGATTTAAATTATTATGTCAAACTTAAAGGGTTAGTGGGGGGGTTATTATTATTATGTATCAGTCTATTACCAACAGTAGACGGAGGTGCTTTTTGACGGCGATTTAAATTTTAAAATTGTATTGAGGACACTAAAAACACTTTACAGTGAGACCGTGTCTGCATTCATGGTTTGGAGTTGCCACCATGGGAGAAATCTACCAATACTTATGTGAGTGGAAAGGGACCTTAAGCAACATCTGCAATAAAGTGAACCCTCCTCGCTGTCTGCTTGTCTGTCCCTGCAGTCATGTCAAGCTGACCTGGTGAAGGACAACGGACACAAGTACTTCCTGTCGGTGTTGGCCGACAGTTACATGCCAGTGAGTGTCCATCGTGGATACAATATAGAGGAATGTATCTCTTCTTTCCTTTTGGTTTTGACACTTGACTTATCTAAAAGGAGCCGAAGAGAACATCTTCGGGACAGGGGCATGACGGTTGACATCTAAAAAACAATTTCACAGTTCTTTTCTTTGTTGCAGGCTGAACATCGAACCATGGCTGTCTTCATACTGGCTGTCATCGTCAACAGCTACAACACAGGACAGGTACAAGTCTGCAAATGTGTGTGTTTAGGGACCAGGCTAGAACCCCAAAGAGAGAACTTAACAAATTATTCATTTAGCGGTTCTTCTGGGGCCAGACTTCACTTTGAGAAATGACTCTATCGCCCATTGTATTTTACCGTGAGGATATTTGTTATGTGACAGTTTTCTCACCGACAGTCCCCTCTATAATCTCCAATTCCTTCCCAGCCACCTCCGTGGTGACACTTTATCACCGTAAGTGTCACTTCGGCCTGTTCCCTGCCTCCTGTGTTCAATCCCAGAAGCCTTTTGTGCCTGATGGTGATCAAACATCCAAGGGTGGGGTGTTGGGATGATGTAGCTTTTCATTTCATGGAGTGCACACACACTGTCACACTGTTTCACAAAGACATATTCCCCCATCAATCCCTTTTGCTTTTTCCCTCGCGCTCCCGTGCAATATTTCTCCCTAGTTCAGAATGTTATGTGACTGACGTATTATTTTATTCATAACCTGACAGTACTTCTCTCACTTAACATTATATAAATGTGAGAAAACGGAACAGCTGTTTGTGTTCTCCAGCTCAGAAACACCTATTCTTCTTCCTTCCTACCACATTTCCTAAATGCTCCTGCCCCGTCTCAATGGCCTGTAAATAATAGATGCTCCCAACATTACAGAGACGATCTGCCCACCACATCTACATTATTTATCCCTTCTACTTTCAACAGCAGCACTCATTACTGCGGAAACGTTGTTGCCAACATGCACACGGGCCACTGCCGCCGTAATATTCCCGTTCTCGGGATTCAACTGGGAGGCCCGATCAGAGCTCCGCGGACGAGCAGGTGCCACAGGAGTGATCCGAGTAGACAAAATGGGATTCTCTCCTCTCTGTAATCCTCCTTTTGTTGTGGTTCATGTTGGAAGGAGTTGTTGCGTTCAAGCTGATGCACATGACTGTTGTGTTGTTGCCACACAGAAACTACGTGTACCACAACGTCCTGGTTACCCTTAAGGCCTTTTATTTAAGTCGAGCGCAGAAGAAACCTTTTATTTTTTATTGAAAAAAATATCCAGGTGGAACAGCCTGAATTAACCAATGGAGAGTCAACCCATCCTGTACAATGATGTCCTGTTAAAGACACTAATACCTGACTTGTTATGCTTTTAATTTGAAAATTCAACTGGTAATATTTAATTTCATTGACGATAGTTTTAACAGATAAAAAAAGCTAACTAGAAAATATTTTAATACATTACATCACCACAGGTTCATATTTTAGATAGTAATGCACATCATCTTGCTTTTTTATGTGAAGCATATGCTGCAAGTTTTGTTTTATTGACTGTAGAACAAATAGTGTAAAATCAAATTTTAATTAAAAAGTGAATCAAAATTGGGTTTATGTTCAAAAGAGAAGTTGAGAGAATGAGGTTAGTGACTGTAATTCTGATGCAATGAATGTCCTTCACCATCAGTAAAGATGCTGTTTTTGTGCTTCATCATGAAAAGAAAAAACAGAAAGGAAATGGAAAAAACAAGTGTGAGAGTCCCTGTGGGTGCTGTGCACTGGGTCAATCAAAAATGAAGTTTGAAGAGGCCTTTGAATAGAGGACTTTAGACTGGCTCAGACCTTGATGTACCGAATACCTTCTGTTCACAGAGTAGACAAGGGATGAAGGGATTTACAGACATGAACTGCTGCACACCTCATAATCGTTTTGTCCATCAGTGTGAGGTTACAGGTTAGAGATATTAACTCACTAATGATGAAGTCTAAGCCCAATGGTTAAGACTCAAGACTGGTGCACATATTGTCATTTCATTAAATATGAAACACTCAGTTTGGATAACTACAGTTTCAAGAGTGTTTTTAACTCACTCAGCTTTTTGTATCACCCCCCACACCAGGAGGCCTGTCTGCAGGGCAACCTAATCGCCATCTGCCTTGAGCAGCTGTCGGACCCTCACCCCCTGCTTCGCCAGTGGGTGGCTATTTGCCTGGGCCGTATCTGGCAGAACTTTGACCCGGCACGCTGGTGTGGAGTTCGAGACAGCGCCCACGAGAAGCTCTACACGCTGCTGTCGGATCCCATCCCTGAGGTGAGAGCGGGGTTCACACCGGAGTCCAGATACATTTGGGAAAAAGTGCGAGGAGAGTAGGTTGTTCGTCACCAGTGGTCACCGGTTTAGATTTTTCTTCTCTGCTGTGCTGTGTTTTTCCAGGCATGGTGAATGCATCCCCCCATTACGCACTCGAGAAAGGGAAATGTTTCAGAAACCAATATACACTGCACATTTATCTATTAGAATACAAAATATTACTTTTTTAAAGTCATATATTCATTGTTAATTGACATTACGTGACCTTAAAAGGTTGTCATTACATATTTCTTCAATCAAGATTGCGAATCCTATAAATCTGCAGTTTTTATTAAACATTTTAAAATAGAGGGCAAGTCGGAAAACACAATACAATATTCTTTTCAAAGACAAAAAAATACACAGAGAAAATGTCCAGGTATTGTGGTATTACCAGATATTCCGCATGTAAATCCTGTGCATGCAGTTCAGAATAAGATACACACACACACACAAATAGATAAAGCCCAGACAGGTAGCATCTGACTGGTCATGTGTGGACCAGATGGACAGCGAGACAGTTTGTCCTGAAGTTCACCCCGACACTTGTGCCACTGGTGCCCTCGCTCAGACGTGGCACATATTTGCGTTCACACTCACCTCCGAGAAACATGTTTTCCCAAAAATAACTTCCTCCCTCCCGTTAAAAGGCAGCTGCTTTGAGCGCAGGGTTGAACCCGAGGTTTCACATTATGAAAGTATGTATTAATTATTAAGTCCACCGAAGACTAGGACCGGCTAGAAGACACGAATAGATAGATTAATAACAAATAAATAAATAATTCCATAAATTTGTTTTTCTTCTAGATGTTATGGATTAACAAGTAAGCCCTTTATAAAGTGTGTGTTTTAGACACTGTTGTATAATTGTTTTTCATTATTATTATTTTTAAACACAAACTACACACACTTGATCATCTCCAACTACTGTATTCCAGTATAAATGTGCACAAAGCAATGTGAAAATGTCACTCACAAAAACACTTTTGTCAAAAAAGTTGACACTCAGCAGAAGAGAAGATGCATTAAAAGTTGAATAGATGCTGCAGTATTTTTTATTTCTGATCAGTCGTACGGGGTTCCCCCCCTGTATCTGTCTATTACAGCTGATAAAACAACACAGGAGTCAGCAAACAAAAAACATGTTTCAGATGTATTTTTTATAACAAAATGCTTTTCAATATATCATCACTACTCGTGTTACATTGTAAAAAAGTTGCACCATAGACTACTTTTTGGTCTGCTGAACACACTGACTTCACATGGTTAAAAAGAGGCTGTTTTGTTCATTGATGAAGAAAGTGCGGACTTGCAAAGCATCCCACCCCGTCGTTGTCGTGCCTCTGCAGGTGAGGTGCGCGGCTGTCTTCGCTCTGGGGACGTTTGTGGGGAACTCTGCTGAGAGGACGGACCACTCCACCACCATTGACCACAACGTGGCCATGATGCTGGCGCAGCTCATCAACGACGGCAGCCCCGTGGTCCGCAAGGTCACTGCAGCACAACAACACTCACGCAAAACACACAGTTCCTCATTTTATTCCATGCGTGTCATTGACCATCCAGTAAAATGCCAGATGAAACTAGAACTATGACTCCAAATTATTTGGAAACCATTGATAGGTGTGGGCTTGTCCTGTGACCACTACACTGCACTGTAGGTAGATGATTTTAATGCTGTTCAGTTCACCAGCATTTCTATAATGGGTGATGACAAGATTATAATCTACATAAAACAATAAAATGGGACTGTTGCCCTTGAGACATAATTAAAAGAGAAGTTAAAATTTGGTCACGGTCTATTGAATTCTTTTAGTTAGATGAGAGGATCAATATACCTCTCATGTCATTACGTTCTGCACATCTTGATCATCAGAATTCCATCTAAGGTGACTATTATTGCTTAATGTATTTCTAATGTCTCTGTGGGCATAAAGCAAAGGATCACAATTAATTACAATCAGCCTCTAAGGTCTTTGGATTTATTAAAAGTGTCCATCACGACTCTTCTTCCAAAGTGATGCAAGCTCATCTTTGTAGTATTAATAATAAACTACACGATCAGAAACCGCCTCGTCGGTAGTTCCCACTACAGCGGGTGTTTCTAGGACCACATTTTGTCATGATGACAAACACTCCCTGGGCCTCGTGTCCTAACGTTTCTGCGCCCTCTTCACGCGTATTTGTTTCGCAGCATGCACGTAAAATCATGGCGAGGTAGCTTGGCTTGAAGATATCAAGACATGAAGCAAAAGACAATCGTAATTGGTGAAAATGAATGATCTTTATTTTCATATGTGTTCGACAGGAGCTGGTAGTCGCACTGAGTCACCTGGTGGTCCAGTATGAAAGTAACTTCTGTACAGTTGCCCTCCAGTTTATAGAAGAGGAGAAGAACTATACAGTGCCATCACCAGCCAACACAACAGGTACTGCAGACAAACACTAACAGACTAATTAACATTTCTTACACGCTATCTTGATTTTAGTACAAGACTGAAGATCATTTGAGGAAAGCTACAGTGGATTATTCAATTTATCAGATTTTTTTTTTGAGCCCACTTCCATGTTTGTGTTTTTGTCATTTGGCTCTTATTCACTATAGATTACAAAATAACTCGTCGGTAGTAATTGGTGAAAGTCTCGGGTGTCACATTACCTTTACACTGTTACTGCGACCATTCGTGTACGAGAAATCCCCCGGCAATGCAAATGAAGGTCATCATTTGCTATTAGTGTGTTTTCCATTTGCGACTGACTTTATTGCGTATGTACATAAGACGTTTTCAGGCACAAAGACAAAAAGACTACAAATACATCTTCCTTCTAAGGTTAAAAAAAGTTAAAGGTTTTTTATTGTCATTGTTGTTATACAATGAAATTCCGTTTGGTAGCCCTTAGTCAGCCAGTAAACAAAATAAACAATGTACACGATAAAGATACACAAAAATAATAAAATAAGTGAAACATTACAAAATTAAATAGTTCAATGTGCTTTGTAAGCATCACTGCGAGATTTTAAGAACCCAGGAATATCTGCAGATTAGGGCATCGCAAGCAGGATTTTAATCTGTGTATGTTTGGGATCATTTGTCTATCTGTCGAGCTATCTACAGTGAGCTATCTACAGAAAAGTGATGCATGAGTCATTTAAACAGGTTGCCATACTGAAAACTTTGTGGGGGAAAAAGTATTTACGGATTTCTAACCAGATTTTGGGAATATGGAATACAACAAGATTTATTGCTGAGCAGAAAATCAACCTTTGAATATCACATACCCAATAATAGTGCTGTTTGGACAAACCTCCCTTTTTCTTGTGCCTCTCCAGGAACATCTACTAATGTGTGGCAGGAAAATTGTTTTGTGAACTATGGGACTAGGCTAATTCAAATGTTTGAGTGGGCATTTAGTAAAATTATAAATCTGTGGTCTTTGGAAAATAAAACTACAATGGGGAAAAAAGTAAAACTCAAGCAATAAGGAAATGCTTTATATAGTATTTTTTTTGTTATAAATCATTATCATTATTTAATAGGGGTGTAACGATTCATTTTAACAACGATTCGATTGGAATCACGATTCATGGTTGCCGATTCGATTCATGGATGATCTGTGTTAATTTAGAACGATTCGATTCAGTGACTTGAAATCGATTCAGTAACTTTACTGGACAGTGCAGGCAAAGTTTCTGAGATCCCTGTTGTTTCTTGTAAGGAAATCAGGTTTAAATTAATTATGGATATTATAAACAAGCAAACAACAATTAATGGCAAATGTATTAACCTTTTATTTGAATCAAGTGCCATTTTCAATGTAAACATTACACAATAACTACTCAATGTTTGGATCAATTCACATAACCCCGGATTTTCAACCACATTGTAGGGTCTCATGTCTTGTCCAAGATAAACTTGGCAATTGTTGCTGTGATGTTGAGGCTGGCGAGGCCTGAGGTGTCTGCAGAGCTGGAGTTACCTGCTGCTGCTGCAGCGCTAACGCTGCTAGAGGTGCCTGACTGTCGGCGTTGTTTAATCCCACGGCGCCTTAGTAGATGGCTGGAAAGATTCGTCGTGTTTCCGTGTTTTTTATTTGTCTTCTACAATTCTACAAACAGCGACCGACTTATTTAGAACACCTCCGTGTTTGCAAAAGCCAAAATGTTTCCACGTGCTGGATCGATAAGTTGGTTTGTAAATGTCTCGCTCGCAGTCGTCTCCTCCACGCTGTGTTTTGTTGTTGTTCCGAGTTTCGCGCGGCTGCCGCTGCGTACTGATGACGTCACAGACAGGCAGACTGAATTGAGTAACGTTTAACGTGTCTAAAGTGCTAAAAAACAAACACACACACACATTCACACCATTTTTGTACTTAAATCCAATGTGCAGTTTCCAAGTATCGATACAATCGATTATGTACCATTTCAATCGATTTGTAATCGATATATGTCGTCCGAAATGCCGATTTGCGGCGCACAGATCGATTCAGTTGAATCGCAGGAATATAAATCGATTAATTGATTCAGTGACTGAATCGTTACACCCCTATTATTTAATGATACTTATGCTTGTACTGTACTACGAGTAAATTATAACGCATTTTACGAATGTTATTATTGACAAAGACATAGAAAGTTATACTTTATTGACACTTGTATGGGATTCTCCTGACCCTGATCCGATGTCCACCCGCCTGTGTTTACATCCAGAATCCGGTAACCTGACCCCAGTGAGGGACAGCCCGGCCATCCCACGCCTGAGATCAGTGAACTCTTACACCAACATTCGAGCTGCTACCACCGCCCGCAACCTGAACAAGAGTCTGCAGAACCTCAACCTCAATGAAGAAGGTAGGAGGGGAGCAAGTTCTTGAAAATGGAGCAGGAGAGGAAATAAGGCAGATGAAAAATTAGATGAAGCTGAATTTTTTATGAATTTCCAGGATGCCTGAATGAAGAAAAAGACAATTTAGTCAGCCGAATGAATGAATCCAAGGAGAGATCATTAGCACAGTTCACACAGTTTTCAGTAGATGTAACAGTCCCCAGACTTAGTTATTCATTCCCTCATTGCTGGTTTTTAAGACGTACTCAGTACGCATTTATAAACTGTTTTAAAACCAGCTTTCAGTGCATCTGGAAAGTGTTCACAGCGCTTCACTTTCTCCGTATTCCAAATTCCGTATTCATTGAATGTGTTTAGTTATTTGTTTCTATAACTTGACGATCACCTTCCCTGCGCTCCTGTGTCTGGGCTCTGCTTGATGAGGAGTGCGGACGAGGAGCTGTCCGTGGTGCTGAAGTGCAGGCCTGAGCTCAAACAGAGGCAGGGATTACACTCCGGGACACGCTCCCTACTCTCAACCAGGCAACTTCTGTTGCCATGGATACTGATAGATGGCTAGTTCGCCGAGCTTGTATGTTTTATGATGTGGTTTCCTTTCCTTGATGTATTATGTAGGGCTACAAATGTTCCTCTTTAATGCATGCAAATATCTCCTAAGATTCCTGTCCATTCGTGTACCATTCTGAAGGGGGTAGTGCCGTTCCACTAGTGTCTAGCTGTTGTAACTGTGTAACAATGCCAGTTGTGCAGTCGAGGTCTGACGTTAAATCACAATCACTGTGAAGCGTGTGACCTGCTGCTGAGACCATTCCTAAATCACATTCCTAAGGCACATTCTCAGTGCTAATGTCAATGTGCAGCGGTGTTTATTATCAATAAGCACCGCGTATTTCCAATCTCTTTCGATCTCCATTTCCACATTTCAGGGTGCAGTCAGTTTCGATGCATTGCAATTTAGTTTCCTCTGAGTCACAAGTAATGTTGAGAAAAGGAGAATTACAGCCGGAGGTGACTGAGCTCGACACATGAAATAAAGTTGTGAGCAAGTTCTTGTGTCGGCATGCAACCACCAATTATTGTTTCTGCTTAGACCTATTTAGATGTTCATTTGGCTTTACAACAATAATCAGAATAATAAACTGTATTTATACAGCGTGTTTGCATGCTTTTTGCAGCATGTACAGCTCAAGTGCTTTCTAGACAAAATAAGAGCCTCTTAATCTTCCTCTTCAACTCGTATTACATTTGCGATGGTCCTTATTTTGCAGCCGATTGGTTTGGTGGGTAAGAGTTCTTTGTGTTTTCCTCATTCAGGTGGCCCAGCAGCCTTTTCTCCTGGTAACCTGAGCACCAGCAGCAGCGCCAGCAGCACCCTGGGGAGCCCCGACAATGACGAGTACATCCTCTCCTTTGAGACCATCGACAAAATGAGACGAGTGTCGTCTTATTCTTCGCTCAACTCCCTTATAGGTAAAACCTCACTATACTCGTTGTTGGCCGTAGCTTAAACATTTGTGAAAACAAGACATTTTACACAAATGTCTGTTTCCTCATGGCGCCCTTTCCTGAGCGCTGTCCTCATTTCAGCATTTCAGCTCATTTCAACTCATGTTCTGGATTTCTTTGCCTTATTTTGGTGGTTGCTCCGAGCGGGTTGAAAGGCTGTGACCGGCCGGGCGGTCAATGAATGTCGCCGGTGAGGGTTGAGCATTCATTTCTGTAGGCCTTGTCTCGCTTTGCCAGGTTACGCCTGTCAGGGTGAGCGGGAACAAGTTGATCCGCAGAAAGTATAAAGCTGTCATTTTGCGTTTGGTGCTCGTGGTTAAAAAGCTCTGTAAAAAAAACAAGAGACTAGCTTTAAAAGACCAGTGCTTCTTTGAAGCCCTGCGTATGACTTTCTGCCAGAAAGAGGCGTCATGTGGCCACAAACCCTTATTGGATGAAATGATTGCTGAGGCAAACAACTGTGGAGCGGGAATTCTAGTTTAAATATTGATCTGCTGCTAGTCCATTTAACTTTATAAAGTGCAACTTCTTCTGCCCAACCAAATTGCCAGAAACTACTTAGGCATTTTTGAGCTAAAATACATTTCATCAAAATGTTTCATCACATTTACAGAAATGCTGTAAAACCACATTTTTGGCATTACAACACAACCGGGTTTAGGTGGGGAAAAAAGTTTTTCTAATAATGTACGTACTTGATGTAAGAATTCTTACATTGTAAAGACACAGCGGTCAAAGTTCTCCTTAGAAGAGAGAACAGGACACGTGAGCAAGCTACAGAAAGAATGAAGAGGGAGCAGCGTTAGTGAGAACAAAGCAGGGAATCGGAGAAACAATCTTTTTCTTCTGGGTGGTTCCACGGCAGTGACACCTCTGCACAACCCAGTGTGAAAGTGTTGTGTTGTTAGATTTGCAATGATTGCAGTGAGGACAGAAATGTCACCAACACAGCAAAATAAGAAGATAGACGAGAATGCAGGCAGTGAAAAGTCTCATAAAGGCTATACATTGTTATTTTAGAACATTAATGCATATTACAGCTTTACTCTTTTTTTTTAAGATCAGGTTGTCTTTGTTTTTCACATCATGATATATTTTTATACTGTATTCAAAATGTGAAAAGTATGCCATTTGTGCATCAAAAGGCAGCACTGGAACCTGCTCACCTACGCTTGTACTGGTTGGCAGACTGCACCATGCGCCTGACGGACCCCACCCTCTCTGGGAAAGTAGAAAGACAAGCTGGGGTTTCCATCCTGTTCTGCTCAACCTCCCCCTCTCACCTTCTCTCTCTCTCTCTCTCTCTCTCTCTCTCTCTCTCTCTCCCCCCCCCCACTCTTCCCTTCTCCCTTTCTTTTAATTTCGCAGCCATCCTGTTTCCTTTCCCATTCATTGTCATTTTTTCCCGGGACGGCTGTCGAGGAGTTCAAAAGGAGATCAAATGAGAAAGTAAAAAGATCAATGTAGATCAGTGAATTTGACTTGGCCCAAAAGTAGGCGCTCAGGTGCTATAATTACCTTTTTTCCTCGTTTTCTTTCACTTGTTAAACCAATGCCACCTTATTTTAGGTGTGTTATTTATTTTCAAGCTGCTTAAGGCGGGTGCAACGTCCTCCTGGTAAGCAGGTTAAAAAAACACATTGGCCCTCACCCACTAAGTGAGGGCCAATGTGTCCTCCCGTGCTTTGTAACTCCCACCTCACGCAGCGTGCTGCATTTTTCAACAAGCAAGGCACAGCAGATGAAACCAACAATGTTTGCGTAACATAAAGGAACAACTAGGAAAAAGACTTGTTTGCAGATGCTTGTCATATTGTATGTTGTTATATTTTCTTTTCTAACTCAGCCGAGATTTCACGTGTCATTTTTGCTTGTTTTCTTTTTTAATCTTTTGTCTAGTTTGACATTTTCTTCATACAACCCCGCTGGGCTTTGTTGTTCATCCTTTTTTGAAATAGAGCAGAATATATTTTCTGCAGCGATGATGTTGGCAGGTAAAGTATTATATTGTCTCAACCAAATTGAAAACCATGAATGCTAAATGCAGCAGGTACTGTACTCTGTGTGGGAGGGATTTACAATTTCAACATTCACTGTCCACAGCTCAGTTCATGTTACCGTGCAACATTGTGCTAATTAGCTCTACATACAACCACTACTAGGGAATTGCAAATAGTCTTCATGTATTTGTTGATTAATTGTAAATTATTTTCAGTTATGGATCACTCCTGAGTCGTGTAATTTTTTTTTTATTATTAATATTCAGACATACAGTATTGTTACCTCTTAATTATAAGATAACTAAAGATTCATTCATTCATTCATTTTCTTATTCAGTTCCACCCCAAAAAAAAGTAAGAAATAAAGCAATGATGTTGAAGCAAAGCAACGGATGAAAAAGAAGTCCTTCACTTTTTGCAGTTCTCAGCTTCATCATTGACTCGAGCTAACATGTGTTCATATGAAATTAGTCTCCGCTCGTCATCTCCGCCAGCTTGTTTTTGGTCCTCCAAGTTTCGTTTGCCTGGAAGAGACCAGCTCGGAGCAATATTTGGACTTGAATCCTCTCAAGCAGATGGTTCAGCCATCACTGTTGTTTGCCGTCTTGGAACATTAATTAAACCAAATGCACTTCCTTACTTTTGAGATATTTAAAAAAAAAAATGTTTTCCTTTTGTAGAGCCAACTCGACCACGGTCAGTCTGATGTGTCCTCTGGCAAACATGAATGTCTCAACACAATTTCCGTGCAGTAGTTAGATATTTCATTGGTATGAGAGCAGCTATGGTTCAGGTTGTCTGCTAATCATATGGTGGGCGGTTCGATCCTCAGCTCTTGTCCACAAGGCAATGTGGAATGAGAGGTAAAAGAGTACTGTGCTGTGGCTGAAAGCATTATATATATATATATATAGCTCCATTAAATGTCTGATAAAGGCGTCTAAAGTAACGCTGTGCTCAACATTTTCTGTATCTATTGGCACTTCTACCTGTGTAAGTTTATTTTAGATATTCTCCCGTTTGAAGAGCATCACATGGAGGATTTGGTGCTGCTTGCACTGCTAACATCTCTCTTCGAAATGCATTTAAACTATGCCTTAAAGAGGAGTGTCTTCTTTGCTCTAAAATGTTCAGATGCGTTTTTCATGCCTCGTACATTTACATCTCCAAAAATTGCTCCGCAGAGTCGGCTGTATTTTATGTCATCTGCCAAAATTGAGACGGCCATAAAACAGTGATGCAGTAATTAATTTAGCCAATAATTAACATCTTTACTACTGTACATCCATTCCACTGTGAGCAAGCCGTGTGTCGAGTCAGGACGAGTCACTGGTGCAGCATTCAGCCGGTGAGTGATGTAAGCCGTCCCGCTCCCTCGCGTGGACCACGTCGAGGCGGTGCATTGGTAATTTGTGTGCACTCGTAATGTAGCGCAGCAGTTAAATGGGAGAGGAACCATATTTCACATTTATCAACTGGCTGTTTACTGCAGCAAGTAGCGCTCTGGCCAGCCTTCGCTAATCATATTCTGCCCCTCAGGCTGCAGCCTAATCACCTCATTAACGCCATCGCTCGCCTTCCCCTCGTTTTCATCTCTTTCCTCTTGGTTCTTCTCTTGGTTTCATTTTTTTTTCTTCCTACTTCTTTCTCTATATTGTTTTCCTTTTCTTACCCATCTGTCGTATTTCACACTGAAAGGCTTCTGAAATACTGTATCTCCCTTGGCTCCCTTTATTCCCTTTACCCCATTGACCTGTGTGCTCCTCTCCGAAGATCTCTCCCCTTCTGTCCTGAAGCTGTAGCCACCCATCCTTCCCCTCTTCTTTGTCTCCTGTCTGAGCGTAGCCCCATTGAACTGCACTTGTTACTTTCTTAAGAGGAGCTATAAGGCTTCAGTCATTCCTCTTTCTCCACACCACCTTAAGGAATTTGTGGTTCCGGGGCTCCAGAGGCCCGTCTGCCTCGTGGAAAAGTGGCGACGGGGAAGCAGTGGGATGATAAAACGATATGCGATTAAAATGGTTCTCCTCTCAGTTCAAATTCACATGACCACCTGCGCGGTTAAGAAGATCTGAGGAGGAGAGGGAAAGAAGGGGGGGGAAGTCGAAGCCAAAATGAGAAACTGAACTCAAACTGACGGATGCTGCTCGGTGTCACAGTGGCTGGCACTGATGGAGGAGAGAAAGATGACAGAAGAAGCTGACAGACAAAGGGCCAAAGAGGAAAGGAACAGAAATGGACACTGAGTGTGCTGCAAAGACGACACGTGAAGGTCGTCTAGCCTAGAAATGCCATGAAAAAGAAGGTTGTTGGCAAAACAAAGTGATGCGCATTTGGTAAACCGACTGCATACGTAGATGGTGTGTTTGTATTCATCCTCTATCTGTGTGAACAAATTAAAACATGTTGAACTTAACGGTTTACTTGCCTCTGTTCCAGGTGTGTCCTTCAACAGTGTTTACACTCAGATCTGGAGGGTGCTGCTGCATCTCGCCGCAGACCCTTTTCCTGAGGTGTCCGATCTGGCCATGAAGGTGCTCAACAGCATAGCGTACAAGGTACGTTCTGACCCTTTGAAGGTGCTGGACATTGTTCTTTGAAATAACATGACTACATCATACGCACGGGTTTAAGACGGAGCTCATTGTTGGAAATCTGTTTCCGGCACAAACGCCCCACCCTCCCACTCCAGTTTTCTCTCTCCGAAAGATCATTACTTTTGTGTAAATGCAGTTAAGCGCTAATGACTTCCCCAAGCCGGGCAGAGCAGAGAGCAGCCGTAACTCAAGGGGCCATAATAACTACTATAGTCCACCTCCCATCCTAACCCTCAAGCTAAATCTCTTCTGTTTTGTACCCCCAACACCAATTGTCCCCTCAATTACCTTCAGCACAGCTGCATCTCTGCAATGAGACCTCCTCCTGGACTGTTATTATTTACTAAATAATCCAAAGAGTTCTCTTTTACCATCTGACAAACATATTTTCAGCAGAGACAACTGAAGAAAGACACTATTCAAGCCTCGCCGCTTCTGCGTCATCTTCACAGGTCTCTCAAAGGGGATTTGGGGTTTGAAGCGCGATACAAGTTAGACTTATTCTAATACAGAGAGCTTGACTCTTTCACTGCCTCAAGACTGGACCTGAAACTTGAGAGCTAACACGGGGAAGCGGTTAAGAAGAAATTTTAAACCTGGAAAAATGAGTGTTGCGGTTTGACTTTTCACAACAAAATCAAAACACCTTTTAAGTTCCTACTTTCTGAAGTTAATGTGTGATCATAGCGCCCATCAGAGACCGTTTAATCAAAGAACATCCATCTCAAGTCCACAAGTGTTGACACCAGACTAACTGGAAATCCTGCTCTTTTAATTAGGATTATAAATGTCAAATGTCATTGATTTGTAACACTGTGAACAAGGTTAGCAACTAATTAAAAATGAACTTGCTTCTCAAGTGATGGAAGCACTAAATGCTTAAAAGCCCCCCCGCCCGCTCTTTGCTGCATGGTGCTGTGGAAAAGGTCTTTTTTTAAATCCTGTGCCTGATCTTTTGTCTTTAAGTTTACTGGTGAAGTTGCAGGACAGAAGATGTATTTGTTTTAATTAAATCCTCATTGTTTTTCACTCGACGAGGAGACACAATAAAACATTTTAAAAAACATAACCATATGAAGTCTTTAAATGTTTGCGTGGACCAAGGGCAAAATCTTCTCCATAATTTGGAGATGATGACTTGAAAGGCTTGAATCTTCTGAACTCCCTCACTAGGTGTCTCTCTTGACATACTCAGTCCCATGTCCATTGTACCCAGCAAATACAACTTCCCTCATCAGTTAACCGAAGCCTTGACCGCTCCCCTCCGGCCGTCCCAGCTTCCATTTCTTCATCGTACATCAAGGGATTGTTTTTTTAAATAATTCAGCGGGATCAGTCGGGGGGTTTTCTGAGATGTCAGAGCCCTGGCTAATAGTGAGGTCTCTGCACATGCACAATTGATTTTCTTGCTCAGTTGACTAACTTTCCAGCCGCTTTGAAGGAGAAAGTGAGAGTAAGCGCCTTGTCACAGGACAGCGAGTTGCTTCCCAGGACGCAAAGAAGCAGCTGTTTGAGCCGATTACTCCGCTTCCTACTAATGTGGGAGTTTCGCATATCCCATTCTCTGGAAAGCTCGTCAGCGGATAAGACGCGTGGCCTCCTGAGTTAGCATGATGCTTGTTTACCACACGTTAATGATCCGCAAATGTTGATGAATAATCCATGAACTTGCTGCATAATTGAATCGTTTCAACTGAAGAGCTTGCAACTTTGCATTTACATCACCATCTGGTTAAAGGTATCTTTTATGTTCTCTTTCCTACAGAGGCAGCGCACGGCCCAAAAAAATTTTGGGGGGGATTTTCCTTCTTGCGTGTGCTGCTATTTATCCATCTAGACTGATTCGGTGTTGCATAGTTCTGGAGCTGTTGGGTCAGAGAGATGTCGGCCTTCTCTCAAATATATACGGTTAGAAATCGTGACCTGCTGTCTCGAGATAATCCACGGACCTTTGTAGTAACTATTCTTTTTAACAATCCAAACCCACCAATCGTATCAGCTTGCAGAAAGAAGTGTGCAATCTATTCTCAATACTGCATAGTGTTGACTGAGGAGGACACCCTTAGTCTTTACGTCTCACGCGGCCACGAGCCTCTCGTCCGGCAGCAGATGCACGCCTCATTCTTCTGTCTGAACATATACTAGTTTACTTACTCCTCATTGATGTCAAGAAGGATTCATTTCTCTTTTGCCATGTGAAGTACTTTTTTATGTCTCCTGCCTTCACACAAAAGTGGCTAACAAATCATATTTTTACCCAACAAAAACAGCATGTCCTGGAGATATTTGTCTCTGCTTTTCTTTGCTCATGTCCTTCTCATCATATTGATTTTATGCTTGAGCAGAAAAGGTGCTTAGATTAGTGACTGAGCTATTTCCATAATATCCCCTTTGGCCAGTTTTACTGCTGTTTTGTTTTATTTCAAATTGCCTCGTAATAAAGCACTAACAGCAACCGCAGTGGATGGAATGTGCGTAAACGCTGCATAGAAAACTTTTCCCCCGCCCTCTCTGGCTTCCAGACACAAGCACAAACAAAAAATACCTGCTGCAATTTTGTAATTAGCATAGAAATAACATCTACGGTAGTAAAATGTGTTTGCCTGTGTTAACTAGATTTTAGGTTGCACACAACTTTCGCTATTCATCAATGATGCTTTGCCTTCCTTGTCTTTATTAAGTTTGCCCCTCCCTTGTGAGAAGCCGTTAGACAACTCGCAATGAAGAGGTTATATTACCTGCTCAGCCTGATGAGATTAACTTCTGGAGATGTAGGCAAACTTTGGAAACTGCTGCACTTTCCACACGGTTTATTTTTGGGGGGTATATATACTTCTAATCCTTATCACGTGTGTATTTCTGTCTCCTCCCTCCCTTTTTTTATCTGTGATTTCACGATTGCATTTGGATGACTCGATTAAACTGCAGAATTCTAACCAGCGTCTTGGGGGGTTTGTCGCCAGGCAACAATGAATGCTCGGCCCCAAAGGATCTTGGACTCTGGATCTCTTACCCAGTCGGCCCCAGCCAGCCCCACCAGCAAGGGCACGCACATCCACCAGGCTAGGTGAGGGACGATATCAACCATATATACTGAAAACCAATTACAGGAAAGCACCAAAACGTATACATCATGCAAACAGCAGTCCTCCCTCTAGCGGCACCTAAATACAGGGTTTTTTTACACGCTATTTGAGGAACTTTCAGGTGAATAATGTTGACTGCTAAGAAACGGATAAACCCCTAATATTGTGTTTTTAAGCGGGTTCTGACAAATGTTATCACAAAGACTGACAACAAACCAAGAGCCAATGCCCAGTTGGAATAAATTACATTTTATTAGATATTCTAATGTAGATTGTTTGACAACAACAAACAGAGGAAAAACTAACCCAACGACACATATAGAAATGTGAAGCCAGCTGGTTTTCTTCACGGATGTCTGTCGACACGGAGAGAATGAAAAGGTCCTTCCACTCTGTGGCCTGTCTTCATGTTAACTTCTCCTTGTCCAGTGGCTCTCCTCCCATGCCGAGCACCAGTAGCTCCAGTCTGACCAACGAGGTGCCCAAACCCCCCACCAGGGAGCCGCCGGCTACACGACCCCCCTACACCCCCACGTCGGGAGGACAAGCGCCGCACTCCCACCAGTTCCCCCGCACCCGTAAGATGTTTGACAAGGGACCTGAGCAGGTAGAGGACCGACCCAACTTTGTTCAAATAAGCTTTAATCAGCGATTTTTTGTAATTTGAAAATGGACTTGGTGTTGTTTTTGGTTAAGTGTAGCCCTTTGAACCACTAAAGTGTGTTCGTGTGTCCAGGCAGCGGAGGATGGTGACGAGCCGGGCGGTCACAGGAACTACATCTGTGCAGCCCTCCAGACGGGCCTGTGTGATTGGAGCGCCAAGTATTTCGCTCAACCTGTCATGAAGGTAATGTCCTCTCTTTTCCAGCACTCGTGACTTTATACCCTCTTTGCCTTCACCTATCAATCTGCCCCACCAGTGCTGTCCTTTAGATACGTTTGCGTGTGTTTTATACGGCGTTGTCGGCCCGTCCTGTTCTCGTGACCTTGATATCTCAGGGACCTCAAAGACCGGACCTCAGATCCATTTCCTTGTCTTAACTGGGATTTCTGAGGAATGCCATGAGAGAATTTTCTTCAAATTAAGCTTGAATGTCCACTTGCACTCAAGGAGGCCAAAGTATACAACCGCAAAGTGATAATTGTAGGTGTTAGGATTGGCATTCTTGAGTTACTATTATAACAATTTCTAAACAAGTGTCTCTTATAAATGCTGAGACTTTTGACTGGTTCAATTCAAACAACTGAGAGGTGGTGATTCTATTTCTATTAGACGATTGACCTCAAGGTTGTCCTTCTCTTGAGTCCACACTGAGGCTTAAAGCAACACGTTAGTTGAGTTATTGCTTTAATAGAACTCCAACATTTTCACACATTAGGCAGTTATGAAATAATAAGCACACAAACATTCTTTCTTTAAAAATAAATGAAAGGCTTTTTTCTTATTCTTCCCACTTCCCAACCAAACGTTATTTAACAGCAGGTTAGAGTGGTTGCTAAGCAACACAAAAGTACTATGACAGGTAATATTAGTAATTTATTTATTCAATATTCATTCTCTTTTGTGCATTATATAATGTCTACGGGAGTTACTGAGCCCTCTGAGGACATAAACTGTGTTATAGAAGGCATTTTAGAAAGTCGTATGGGAAACAGCAGGCGAGGGACCAATCGCAGTGTGGAATATTTCCTGCTGCTTGTACGAGATGGCCTCGCTGAATAATTGAGCTGAGATCCATGACTTAACATTCTCCAGAGTGATTTTTAACGCGCACAGTAGTTTTGTAAGATTAAATCTGGCTTCTTTCTTTTGAAACGGCCTCAACATGCCATCCTCCCTGTAAAAAAAAAAAAAAAAAGCAGTCAAAAAAATGTTGTCAGCACATTTTGCTGAGATTTAATACTCGAGAACTTAATTTAAAAAGAGTGAGGGCCAAAGAATTAAAATATTTTCGGAGTGAAGGATAAAATAAAATATTTACAACACAAAGAAGTTCAGGGCAAAAAGAGGAGGGAAGTAGACAGAAAGTGTAGCAGAAAAAAGTAAATGTAAAAATAAATGATTTTAACAGAATATACGGACAGGTTGAAGGACATGTGGGAGAAAGAGGTGTTGAAAGGGAAGAGCCAGGCAGGAAGAAAGTAAGGGTGGCAACAAAAGGTGATAAAAAGCAGAGATGACTGCATGGGAGCAGTGAAGAATGTGTGAGCCGGCGGAGAGGAGCAGAAGGGTTTTACCGTAGCAAAAATCAGAATGCTGCGTTGGCAAAATTTTGAGTGCTGCCATAAAACTCCACTCCGTTACTAAGTGGTGTGCGCGCGCATGTGAAAGCGTGAAGTGAGCAAGGCTCAAAATCCACACATATCATATCACTGCGTCAGCAGCACGAGCGCAAAATGTGTGTGCGTTTCACAGTGTGTGTGTGTGTGTGTGTACACACCTACAGGTTTGGGGGTGTGTGTGAAGACTATTCACATGAGCGTGCGATTAAAAAGAAAAGACTATGTCCACGGCTACAGGTTCATATTTGGACCAAAGGACATTCTCTGGGAAAAAGTTGTTTTTACAGTTGGAAAACGTTGGCTGAAATTCTTTTTCCCTGCCTTATACTTTTTGTGAAAAATGGAAATCACTGGAATTTCTAGAAGCTCAGGGGAGATTAGAGAAATTTATGAGTCTTTTTTTTTCACCTTTGGGTCTTAATATATGTTAATATAGCCGGACTACAACCCTGGGAACCTCTGGCTCTAGGCAGGCAGGCACACGCACGCACACACGCACGCACACACGCACGCGCGCGCGCACACACACACACACACACATACTTTTCTGTAGTAAGAGCTCTGCCTCCTCACTGGCTGCTCGGGCACCATAATTAGAGAGACACTGCGTGTGATACGCAGATAGAACTGACGTGACGGCCCTCACAATCGCCACTCAGAGGTGTTAATATTTGTGTTTTATTTACAGCAACCTACTCAGAGCGAGGACGTTACAGGAAAATTGATTACGCACTGTAGTATGTAATGAAATTATTGTGTGTGCAAGTGTGAAACGCGCTAAGTAAGCACACACCTGCTGTTTAAACCAACACACACACATATACGCAAGCACTTTGTTCTCGGTTGTCTACACTCTGTTGTTTATTTATTCATTTGTTAAATATGCTCATAATAGCAATGTATTATAATGTTTTAATATACACATTTAATACTTTGAAGTGAAAAATCAAACGCATTCCACATGTTGAATGTCATGTTAAAAATGGAGTCATTAAAATAACGCCGGGACCGAATCTCCGGGGGGCCATTTGTCACAAAGTTAATTCTTTTCATATTGCCCCTCTGCTCAATAAATGCAATCAGATTGTAATTGAACAATGTAAGGTTGATGACTGAGGAAGAGTGCGAGCTTCACTTGAAGTTCCACGTTGAAGTTGGCAAAGTAATCAAGCCTGTAATGTAATGAGACAAAGTTGGTAACTTATGTGTTATCCATATGCCTACCGGTGCAGTCGGGAAGCGCGCTATTGACCGACAACCAGGGTCTGAGGCTTAAAGGAGTAGTTCAGCCCTTTGAAGGGAATATGCTGACATGGTTTGTAACAGACAAACAGCTTGCTTAACTTAGCACAAAGACTAGAACATAAGCTGAAAGAAACACTGTTTTTAATGTATTTTTATGTCTTTAAACCATGTGCTTTTTTTCCAAATGCATTGATCAGCTGAATCTCTCTCGGTCCTGTTTTTAATGATCTCTTTTCAGATCCCAGAGGAGCATGACGTGGAAAGTCAGGTGAGGATGGATCGCCAGTGGAGGTTCTTGAGAAACACTCGCGTAAGAAAGCAGAGCCGAGGCATCACACAAAAGGGTTAGTGACGCACACAGACACCTATTTAAATGTGCACAGCTGTTCTCAGCTGTTGTTGTTTTTTCATATCAGTGGCCTATTACATTATGCTTTAATAGACAATTGGAGCATTATTATTTTTCTACCAAAAGTCAGAATTTTGAGGGCATCAATAGCAGATTGGTGCAGTCGCAAATGTTGTGCAAATTGATGTTGTTGCAATTGTTTGCCTGGACCACATGTTGAAACGTGTACGCATACACTATACATTCACCGGTTGTTTGGCTGACTGTGGCCGGGCGTAAAATCGCAAATACAAAGGATTCTTATCATCTCAGAATAGCAAAGTAGCTCCATCAACAGCCGTGACAAAGCTTGGACATATTGCCAGGATCATGTTTAATCGAATGTTCTTATGGCCTTGATGAGAACTGGGTAAAATCCAAGCTGTAAGACGCACAGTATGTGTAGATGGTGCAGCTTTGTTTCAGACATGTGAGTAAGTACACAGATGATTTGCAATGGGAGGTTTGATCAATCTATGGTCCCCTTTATGAGTCACTGGACTCTCCTCTCACACACACACACACACACACACACACACACACACACCCTCATGACCCAGAAACCCACACATTAAAAAGCCCGGGGTGCCAGCTCTCCCCAGGTGGAGTCGGAGCCTCTCAAACAGAATAGCTAACACCTCCAACGTCATTGGCAGCCCCCCTGCGCACGTACAAACACGCACACGCACACAGAGTCACGAGGAGATTGGCGTCAGAGCCGAGGCTTTCACACCGCGCGTGTCTCCTTGCTAAATCATTAAATTCCCCTTCTTCTTTTTTTGAAAAGACCTAGAAGTAGTAGGGCTGCCCTCATTCAGTCTGTTCACTCCAGAGAGAAACAAGATGAGAGGAGAAGAGGGAAGGAGGAGGGGGAAGGAGGGGAAAGGGGGGGTGGGATGGAGGGCAAAGACTGAGGAGGACCGAGGCAGGAAAGCTCAAAAGAAAAAGAAAAATGTGCTAGAGATTGTAAACCCTTTTTGGTAGTTTGTGTTGCAAGATGTAAACCCATCACAACAGAGTTTTAAAGTCCTCGGGGTAGTTGTGAGTATTTCCATATCAAATATGCCGTCAAATTGCACACACACAAGCCAATCGATAGTTATCATCTTGCTCCTCTTTTAACCAAAGGCCACGACTACGTTTTTTCCCCCAGCACATAAGTGATGGAATCATGATGGATTTTTCCTCATTCTTTTCCATCTCATTATGCCAGTCTCTCTCTCTCTCTCTCGAGTGTGCTTAGGTAGCCAAGGACAGGCATGTGAAATGATGTGTTGTTTCCATGACAACACATGGTGAGGTGGAGAGTTTTTCAGTTTATTCTGTGTGCGTTGGAACTGTATTATACTCCATTGTGTTATACTGTATTATACTCCATTAAAGTCTGACAGAGGTAGACTAACCGTCTTGTTCATCTGCTTTTAATATCCTACCGTAGATTTGTTGTTTTCACTTTCACAGCAATTACTATTTTGTAAGCTTTCAATGCTGTAAAACTTAATTTCTTATAAATCACAGTCAGTTTTTACTCTGTTCTCATACCAAAATCTTCTCCTTTTTCCATTCTGGCATTACAGGTGTTTCGCGTCTGGATGATCAAATATTCATCAACCGCAACCCTGGAGTACCATCTGTTGTGAAGTTCCACCCCTTCAACACCTGCATCGCTGTGGCCGACAAAGACAGCATCTGGTCAGAGAACGCAGAATGAGAAAAACAAATCAGCTTTTAAGACCGTTATGCAAATGCTTGTGTCTCAACCTTGATGGCCTTACATGTAAAGCAGATCAAGTCCTTAATTCGAGTGTGTGTTTGTGTGTGTGTGTGTGTGTGTTTTGCTGTAGTTTCTGGGACTGGGAGAAGGGTGAGAGGTTGGACTACTTCTACAACGGAAACCCTCGGTACACTCGCATCACGGCCATGGAGTACCTTAACGGACACGACTGTTCATTACTGCTCACTGCCACAGGTGGGAAACGCACACAGGTGCTCAGACATTAGGGAAAAAAAACATCACACAGAGCGAAAAGTTGAAATTGAGGTTCATAACGTGTAATATTTTCCTTGAGTCCACCAGCACAGTGGAAATCTCAAGGAGACTAATCTGCAGCAGCAACGAGCCTCCAACACTTGACTCTTACCCCCGCTGCACTCATGTGTATTCATCATCATTCATCAACAGAACAAAGCAATTACCCCCCCTGTGGCTTTTACCATAGCAAACCCACAGCAACTGGAGAAAACAATTCCACGTCAAAAGACACAGCGAGACACGCGTTTATTTGTTTTGCCCCAACAGTAAGACATTGAACCAAGAAGTATGCCGTATTTATTTGTACACTTTCTCCCACACCTGATAATGTTCGGGGATTAATACATTTAGCAAACAGAAGGTAAATAAAGTGGAGTTTTTTGTAGTTTGCATTAGTTCTCTCTTAAGATGACATGGACATGTTTTATGTTTTGAGTCCTATTGCAGCTGCGCTCTTCAGTTGGGTCTTTAGGTTTAGAGGCTGCGGCCTCCCTTTGTTTCACACCGACAGGACGCTTTCAGGGAAAAATCCTTTTATGATGCTGCAATGAGAGTGTGTTTGCCCGTGTTTCTCTTCTATGGCATTGTGCGTGTCGTCTAGGTGTTGATCAAATATCGTGTACACGTGGAACGTGCACTTCCAAATCCATTGAGAGCACGTGTGCATGTGCTGCACTTCCTTCTGGCCTTTGCTCCTCGCTGCATCTCTTTATCCATATTTTCTTTGTCGTGACCTCCCCCACCACCCCTCCTCTCCCTCCCCTCCCCTCTCCAGACGACGGTGCGCTACGTATTTGGAAGAACTTTGCCGACCAGAAGAACCCGGAGATGGTGACGGCGTGGCAGGGCCTCTCCGACATGCTGCCCACCACCAGAAGTCAGCCCAGCACCTGCGCCCACAGTAAAGATCAACACTCTATTTTACCGTCTGCCCCCCTCCCACACTATTTACCTACCTACAGTTACTTGTCCACTGTTCTCCCCACAGTCACACGTGCATTGCTGCACACACATAAAGTAGCCAGGTGGTGACGGATTTAAATGCCTAAACCTTTGACTGCAGCAGCTCCGTGTACTAGAAAATAATGTGTATAATGAGCCAGTGAGACTCTGCCATTTTGGAACCCATCTGCCAATCGGATGAATACCGTTTGCTTGCGTGCAACTGTTCCAAACTGATACCAGAAGGCCTCCAATATCAAAACTCTTTTCCGTTGCCTACGTAGTCTGCAGTCATAATCGTATATCTGTCGTCGAGCTTGGTGAGTAAAAGGTGACACTAATGAGAGTTTGTGAGTGGCAGAAACTTCAACACACGGCCCAGTAATTGTTGAGTCATTGGAAGAGATCACCAACCCTATCAAAGAAGTATAATGATCACTCACTTGTATGTCCTAATTACCCACGTGTAATTACACATTTAGATGGTGAAAGTCCCCATATCAGTTTTAGGTGATACAGAATACAGTGAAAGGACAAATCCCGGAGAATGTCACATACAATAATTGATTTGACCTGATGAGTTCGACTCTGCTTCCACACAGGTTTTGGATGTTAAGTCGGTTCCATCACTCAAAACCAAAGTATCACAAGTTGTTGCCCTCGCCTGTCTTACGCTGTCACATACAGTACCAGCCGAAAGTTTTCTCACTAAAGGAGAAAATGTCCAAACTTTTGACTGGTACTGTATGTGACATCTATTACATACGATATCTGACAAAGATACAGGAAAGCCGCTGCAAAGTATATTTCATTATACAATATTATTCTTAAAAAGGAATGATTTTGATCAGTTGCTTGAATTTAATTACTTAGCTTAACTGTGGACGTTGCCATGTTATCTTCAGTTTTCCATTCCATAATTCATAAGGCAGAGTCATTCGCCACTACTTGGACACTTGACATCCACTCAGTTCTCTCTCCACTCTGCGGTTCTCAGTTGTCGTTTCTGGGTCAGGCAGGTTTTTAAGGACACTGTGAAAGCCGTGTGCATGATTGTATGTTCTTCACAATGTATATCTGGGCAGTGGTCACTCACTGTGTGCACATGTGTTAGCCCATCATTAAAAAGAGTCTCATCCGCACTGCTGAGACCCACAGAGAGGCGACACACTTCACCAGCATCTCTGTCCGTCTGAATCCCCCGTGTGAGGCTCTTCCTCTGAACTCATCCCTTGAGCCACAGCCTTGTTTTCACTCACACTTTAAACATCTAATTTTCCTGCATGTGCCTTTTGTGACAGTGCACAAGAGACAGTGGTCTCTGCATCCAGACCACAGTGGAGGCATCATTTTTTTATATCAACAGCCCCTCTGCTGAGATTTTTACCTAGATAAGTTTTACTAAACAGTACAAATATCAACTTATGGTGTTTTTTTTAAAGAAATTTTAAGTTCATCTGCACTCTCGCACACACATAGTTTCTCTTGTGCATTCCCCGCCTCTCCTCCTGGCCCGATAATCAGTTAAGTGATATAACCATTGCTTGCAACGTCTTCCAGAGTACAGTCATTTTATGCTCTTATAAAACCTTTTGATTTTGAGCATTGCATACGTATGTCTTTGTGCTGCCAGAAAACGGCTCAACCTGAAAGTTCTTATTGTCATAAGACTGTGAAGGAAACACACACCAGTACCTGCATCCCTGTTGTCTAACAACAGGCGATCGTACTGTTCTTCATCAGTGAACCATCTCTGTGTTAGTCTGGCTTGTTGTTACCTTTCTGCTTCTCTGACATGGTTTTGTGTTTTTCCCTCGTCTCGAGAGACGACGCAAGCACACACGTTTTCTCTTTCACGTACACAGCAACAAGTCCTGTCATTCTTTAAACAAAAAGAATGGATTTGTTTAATCACACACACACAAATTATTTCACATACACACACAATCCGCCCTGCCTGCTTCGCAGGCTGTGAGGAAAGGATTTGAGATTCGGTGTCTTGCAGACGTGGACGTTGGGCACCCTGTGCCGCCTCCACGGACCCTGTTTGTGATGCAGAGGCAGACACTCGGCGCTTGCCTCCCTCGCCCTTTGATCCCCACATATCGCTGTTAATCATTTGGGAGAAAAAGCTGTTCATCCCTCTGGTGATTGGCTGCATCTGCAGCATACCCATGTAGTCTTTTAAATGTTTGCAAGATTGTGTTGGACCCCATGCATGTTGGTGGGGGGTCCCGGCTAATGTGTCGCTTGTATTTCTGCCCTCCTTCCTCCCTGCCCCTCCCTACCCCTCACTGCCCCCTTCCATTTGCTCCCCATGCTCTCAGGTCTGGCCAGAAGGGTGTCTATCTATCTTGACAGGAGTAAGCAAGGTGGTAAGTGACGCCATTCTCTTTTCTACTCTCTCACCCGCCTAGAGCTCAGTGGCTGCGCTAAATAGCCGACAGTGTGCCTCTTTCTTTTATCCCCTGACCCCCACCACCAACCCTCATCCCGGTTTAGTTAGTTTCATCATTGAAAGTAGGCATCATGTTTATACAGGTGCTGAGACGCTTTATCGAAGTAGTAGGACACGGTGTTCTTATTGTAACTAATGCGATGCCTAGCTGTGCTCCCGTTAATCACGGTTGCGATGCCTTTCTACCTTTCAACTGTAGTGGGAGACTCTGTATGTGCTGTTTACTGAGATAATGGAGCCGGAGGTATCATCAACTCTTCGGGCCCTCAATCACAATTTATAGAAACAGCTTTGGGCTATAACTGATCTCAGCAAACCCAACATTGTCGCAGCGTTTTTTTTCTATGTAGACACCATAAAGGAATAAAGGAGTAAGACTCTATCGATAATGTAGTTGCGTCCAGGAAAACTTGTGGAAGTCACAAATCACGATCAGCTCTGATAAAACACGTTTTTTAATAGTTATACTCCACTAAAGCATTAAATACTAATCGCTGTAAAACCTTGTTCTCATGTTTCCCGGAGCTGGGCACTGTTGTGTCTCCAGCATACATAAATAAGCTTTTTTTCTGTACTGTGTTCAGTAGTGCAGCGAATTGATGAATAACGGAGTGTAGCCGTGGCGTGGTTGAATTAAAACATTTACAGAGGGAAATTAAACCATTCATCAGTGACATGGAGTCCCGGGAGCCGGTGAACATCCAGTCGAAATGCAAAAAACGTTACTGCAGGTACTGGGAAAAGTCAGCATGGAAATATCCATGGATCATCGCAGCCGTGCCCTGATGTTTTGCAACGTCTGCAAGAAAGAATACTACTATTATTATGATTATTACTACCTTTTGCTGACACTATGTAATGTGCTCTAGGTCACGACCAGCATCAACTCCCCTTTGCCAGATTTCACCCATTCTCCTCTATATTCATTACACTACTTCTCTTGTGTTTTCGACTGAGAAAGACTAAAGAAAGGAGTCTTTTAATGTCTGGTATCCGACCCAGGCACACCACTTCAACGTGAAGAATTCCCGAGCTGGACAGTCCTGCTCCTTTGCTACCATTGGATAATTGCTGGTTGGGGTGATCCGTCAGTTCTATAGCAAACTAGCAATTTGGCCTGAATCCACAGGCCGCCAAACAACATCCAAAAAGATTCTTATTCAACCAGGGAGAAAATAGCCCTTTCCTTTGGTGAGGTGGAGGTTCAAACTCCAATCACACACATTTACCTCAAAATGGCCTTCCTCATGTACAAAGAAATGTTCCTCAGTTAGTCTGGTCCCAAAGGTGTCCATAATTGGGAGCGTGTCGGTGCTGAGAAACCCAGGGCGTCTCGCTGGAGGGATTTGCCTGTTAACTCCGGGGAACTGGTGAAATTAGGGGACTGTGGCTGGTGCAGACTGGAGAAGCTATTCCTGCGACAACTTCACAGACGACAACACTTCACATCTCTACAGATTGGATCTAGTCCATCTAATTAATTTCTGATCAAAATACTGTTAATAGTGTTTCGACTTCTTCTTTTTTCTCGTTCTACTGTCTCTACTTATTCTCAATATGAGGCACTGTTTTTTCTCTCGGTTCCTTTTACTTTTGGTTGCATAAGTTTAAGTAGGGCAGCGCTTTAGGATGCCAGACGCTTTGTCCTGTACTACGTTTGGCTTCACTGTCACCTTGTTTAAATTGGGACTGTTGGAACTAAACTAAACACAGAGCTTGGGTTTGGGTTTAAAGTTAGAATGATACAAAACACCTAAAGAGAAACGCTTTTTTTTAGCCTTTACTGTGATGCAAAGTAAGGGTGTTGTTATACTGGAGATCTAACAATATCACCAAGTAGAAAATTGACCCAAACTGACATTGATGTAAGAAATGATTGTTTGTCTCATATCCACAATAATGAGGCCAGCAATTGATAATGTCATGTAGGTTAAGCCTTATTTCACAAGGTCATGCAGGTTAAAACGTTTTACCTCCCCAAATGTCAGGTCTTGGCCTTCAAAGGTTGCAATGAACAAATAATTCAGCACAACCAGTCAGAATATTCCCACAGACAGCCTCATCCTCTCTGAGTGGCACATGCATGCCGGGCAAGACGGTTTATTACCGGACTCCTGGAGGACCTTTTGCAGGGAAGAGGGGATAACACCGAGGGGGAGAACAACTAGAAAGGCTGCAGCACTGGGTTAATTAGCTGCAGACTGTGGGAGAGCTAGTTCATCAGTGAGCATAACCGCATATGCAGAGGACAGCATCAGAAAGACGAGAGAGACTACTCTATTTATGCAAAGCAATTGATAAATATATCTCAAATTGGGTTAGAATGTCTTGGCTCACTGGCACAGGAACATGATGATCTACCACAACTGCTAATGGTGTTTAAAATGAGCTTCATCATCCCGTTGTCTAAGATTCATCAAAGGAAAAGTCTTTCTGTGAACAATACCATGCGTGTTTTCCATATTGAAGCCAGGGGGGGAACATTGGATCTCAGAAAGAAGTGAAAGAGCCCACACCCGAAGAGAGAATGCACCGCTTAATCTGAGCTATCTATATGCCCCCCCCCCTGTAAGGTGGTAGATGTACAGCTGAGGAAACCTGCTCCTCACAGCCCTATTCTCGTGTACCTATTGATTTCCGTGTGGGTAACTAAGAGGGTTCCTTCGGAGGAGGGGCGGGGTTGAAGGTCGCCGATGCGTGATCCAACTGTTTTTGATTAGAGACACGGAGTAGAGGAGGAAAGAGGAGAACATAACGAGGAAGGAGTTAATTTGAAGGGAGTTTGTGCTGCGCTGGATGTAAAGGCTGAGACTGGCTGTGCAAACTCAATGGATTGTTTCTTGTGCACCGTTGCAGCACACCAGCAACTTTACGTTTCCACCAGAGAGGTTGTTAGTCACGGAAATGAGATCCTCAGGTCCAACTTAACATCCCACTTTTCAATCTAGCGAGACACAGGAACTTGGACACATCGCAGAACCGAGCAGGTCACAGAGACAATCGAAGCATTGCTGTGCTTTGGCTCGTGGGGAACTTCATATTTATCCAAAATTAATTTCTCATCATGGGATGGGATAACGCAGGCGAACATCCTGACGGATCTCGCTGAATCTTAATCCTGCAGAGGTTTCAAAAGTGCTCCTTGTTTCAGATGAAACCCATGCACACGCTTTTTTATGTTGGAGAATTTCTTTGTCCCCCCCCCTCTTCTCGTTGTAACCCAGATTCACATTGTCAATCCCATCACAGAGCTGCCGGCCCCCTTTCTCATCACAGCCTCTAAAATGAGACGGCCTAAAGCACGTGACTGTGAACTTGTCACTGACTGAGCGCAGTCCCGTGAAAGTGGTTTTCCCTGCGTGCAAACACCCCCCCCCCCTCCTCCATGAGCCTGTGCAGCATAATGCCGCCCTGGCAACCTAAGTAGTAACACGTGGAGGAGATGAGGACCGGATCACAAACAATGCAACGGTTCACTATTGTTGGACAGGAGATTGAATCCTCATCTCTGCATCTCAAAATGGTGTGAAAGGAGCCCATTAGGGTGACAAGTCACTGGGTCATAGCGTGATTGTGTGACACAAGCGGGGTGACATGGTGAGCTGGTTATTGATCAGGGGGAGGATGAAAGGGAGGAAATGAAGCACGGCCTGATGCTCTTTCTGTAGCGTGTGTGCTAATAGCATGACTCGGGGAGAGAAAGATGGAGATCCTTGTTGTATGTATACTTTCATTGACTTCATAGCCACAAGGCATGAAACGGAAGTTGTAACCGAAGGTCATCTCTGTTTGCGAATGTCAGTAAAGACATGAAATGCGCCAAAATTACTTTACAGGGGGAAAAGCTTTGAAAAACGGTTGACCGAAAGTCTTTCAAATGATTGCAGGATGTTGTACGAGGCTCAATTACATCATTTTTCAAGCTCCCCGCCAGCTTCTACGTGTCAACGGGCCCAACGGCAAGGCAACTTGTAAAAAGCGGTCACGGCTGTGTCGAACAACCTGTTCACCTGCAGAGGGTTTTCACTGACTGAGGGGGGGGCAAGATGTGAGCGATTGTATGGAAGGGAATCAGGGCGCTCGCTTTCAGACCGCCCGTCCTCAAAGGCGTCCGTAGTCGCACTGCGGTGCGACACAACCCAATGGGGATTGTGTGCACGATGAGCATTTCTAGATGGTATTATTCTCTTCTTCTATTTTTGTCTTCGATTGAAAACTAAATTGAAAGGCTGTTTGGAACCTCATCAAGTCTTGGAGCTCTCTCCGTTCTGTAAATCCGAGGCTCATTCTGGTCGTCTTTGCCTCTTTCGTCGACGGGGCGTTCGCTTTCCCGGGAAATGGCAGACGTCTAACATTTGACGGTTGTGCTGGCAGCGTGTTTTCAGACGCTGATTTTTCAAAACGTCAAGTGCTTTATTTAAAGCGTGAGGGTGCCCTTAGGCAGCAGGCGCGGGCTTCTGTCGGGCATCACTGAGCCAGCGGGGCAAGTGTGACATGGCAGTAGATTCTTGCTTTGACTGCCAAACACTCAATGAGTCTTGCTGTCTTCAGCTTCTTCCCTCATCGCGTTGTCACTTGAGTGCCATTTGACTCATCAAAGCCAGAATCTGCTGACGGGCTTCGCTCCAGTGTCGGTGGTCGCCGCAATGGGAAAGATGCAGAAAATCCCGCGAGCTTTCCGTCTGCATGAGGTGCTCGTCGAATAAAGTTTATGGGATTTTTATTTAAAAAAGTGTGTGAAATTCACTTTATAAATTGGCTCAAAAGAGGTATTACTTATTCAGTGTCTGCAGAAAGCTGTTTCTGGTCTCACTAATCCATCATTTGACATGCTGCATGTGACAGCACGAGCCTTCTGAAACCTCCAACAGATTGTGTGTTTTGTGTATTAGAGGGATAACAGCTGTGTTTGTGTGGGTTAATGTGGCGAGAGTTCACTTACCAATGAAATGTATTCGCTTCAAAAAGCGTAAATTCAATTTTCAGTTCACATATTACGTACAAATGACAATATTTTAACGTATGCTCATAAGTTAGATATTGGGCAACTTTTTATCCTTTAGTTGTATTGTAAATTTTGTCAAATTTAATTTTACTTGCAGGATGTGGTGTCCGTATGGTAGCAACACACAGAACTGTTTTATGTCTTCATATATCTTCGTCTGCATTCAAACCCCCCGTGTCTCCTGTGCTGCAGGTGCAGGCATGGTCGTGGACTGGGAGCAGGAGACGGGTCTCCTCATGACGTCTGGAGATGTCCGAGTCATAAGGATCTGGGACACTGACAGGGAGATGAAGGTCCAGGTATTGTACTCATGCACGTGGTTGCAAGTGTTTAACCGGGCTCTGTTTAGTGCAGCCAAAATGACCTGAAGCAGAACATATCAAATCAACGTAGAACCTGATGGACTTGCGAGTTTTGTAATAGTGCCACTGCTTTTGTATTCTCATCTCCAAAAGGCTCTCTTGGCTTAGAACGCGTCACCAGAGGGGCCCCTTGTTTAGATCTACGCCAAACATAACTGTGTACGGAAATGAGGAGGAGGGATGAGACCTATAGGATATTAGGAGGAAAAGGAAAAAAATATAAAACCAAAATAATTGATAACAACTAAAACATGAATAAATCACGAGTCTTTGATACTGTCGACTTATTGAGCAGCGTGTCCATTGCACTCATGTTGTTGTCTGTTTACAGCTCGTACTGTTAGTGCTGTTTCCTCCTTTTCTCCGTTTTTAACGCATCTAATGGTCCCCAGTGAGCTAATCGTTGTCTTGATGGATGGACTAATTCAAATACAAATGGCCAAACCTCGCCTGTGGCTGCATATTGATGCCGGGTCCAACTTCAAACACAAATAAGAGCACGCGATTGATGATTTCAGAGAGTTTAATGTGTAGTGAGTGTCGTCTTCACAGGCGGTACCTCAGGTAGTTTGTTTGCACGCCTTTGATGGGGATGTTTGTGTGTCCACCAGGACATCCCAACCGGAGCGGACAGCTGTGTGACCAGCCTGTCCTGCGACTCCCAGCGCTCGCTCATCGTGGCCGGTCTTGGTGACGGATCCGTGCGCGTATTCGACCGGAGGATGGGTCCAAATGAATGGTCACTGTCTCCCCATTATTTAAACACATTGAAGAACACCCACACAGTTTGTGGGTGTGAACTACACAGTCCTACATTATTCACCTCTCTAATCTATTTATTAAATATAGCGGGCTGTAAATCTCCTTTTTCGGATCGTCACCTCTTTTAATAGACCCTGGTGGCACCGTAACCCCAACCCCCAAGCCCCAGTTGGTTAAACATTATTTTAATTTCAGTCCCAAAGGGCAAAAACAAAGCAGTTAAACAATGTGGCCCATAAACCTTTAAGTAATTGAATAGTTTCCCTCAGGCATGGAGTGCAACTATGCCGTTCCCCCAGAGATTAGCCCAGGACCAGCAGACAGACAGACAGACAATGTGTGTGGAAGGTTCGCTTTATTACAGCAGTTTAATTCTCACTATCTGAAATTGCTGTTCTTTGGAGATGAAATCCACTTCCTGTCACACCTGTAGTCGGGGTGTATTAGATCAAGTGAAATTCATGAGTAGTGGGCATTCAAATACAGCTCAGTTCTGGCTCTAATGCCACTTTGGTCTCTCTGGGAGATGGTTCTTTACTTCAGCCAAGGTCCCACGATGCCACCCAGTGGTTTTTCACTTTTACTACATAATAAAGAAGGTTATTGCCCTCTTTTGCTCGACTTACAAGAAAGAGCTCCAGTAGTCGCAAGTTGAGTCTGTTTGAGCCAATTTAAACTAACACACGTACATTTCAAATACAATTCATCAAAATTATTCCTGTCTTCTAGAAAATTTGGCCTTCAGTTTATTGTGAACTGAAATCCAACTTTCCTTGTGTAGCCACATTATTGTTAATGTTGAACCGTATCAATTAATAGTAGTTTGGTCATCACTTAAATGTTTGGTGTTTTGTTATTGTTGCTACATCTTTCAATCACTTATTGAATATCAATGTATATCTCACGATCTACCTTTTAGCATCAGAAATGAATTTTTTTTCTTGGTGCATACCGGAGCTGATGTTCACATCTGTGGTGCCATTGTCCTGTTTCCTGTGAAGAAACACACTGTTAAATGTTGCCTGTGTGTGTTTCTGCAGTCGGGTTATGACCTACAGGGAGCACGGAGCTTGGGTGGTCAAAGCTCATCTACAGAAGGAGACTGAGGGGCACATTATTAGTGTCAGGTATGCTCTCTCTCTCTCTCTCACCTGACCTCGCTGGTTGCTGGTTGCCTGGACTAACTTTGTTGTTTCCTCACCAGCGTTAACGGAGATGTTCGATTCTTTGAGCCGCGGAGCCCCGACTCCATCAACGTGCTGCAGACGGTGAAGGGTTTGACGGCCCTGGACATCCACCCGCAGGCCAACTTATTTGCTTGGTGAGTTTTATACACGTAGATACGGGTCTCACCCCCCAAAAAACTCATCAGGTGTCCACAATATTAAGGTCAGTCTTCTACAGAAGTCCAAAGGTGCGATTGGGGAAAGCAAATCTGTTGGTCTAAATAAGAAGAGTAAAATATTGTTAATGTGTTTTTATTTGGCTCTGCAAATAAAACTAATATAACTGGACAATACAGCAGAATGTTAAATGTCACTACAAAATAATAAATACAGTACACGGCACACAGTATACAATGGATTGGATGTAATGTCTCTTTCTAATTGTCTCGCTCTCTCATCCTCTGTTCTCCAGCGGGTCGATGAACCAGTTCATAGCGGTCTACAACTCTAACGGAGATGTGATCAGCAACATAAAGTATTATGACGGCTTCATGGGACAAAGGATTGGGGCCATCAGCTGTTTAGCTTTCCATCCTCACTGGGTAACTGGCTGTAGCTTCACTTGGAATGAATTGCAGTGTTTCCCCGACCACTATATATTTTTTCAGCCTGTAACTTCGCTCCTACCAGCAGCCTTGTATTTTAATATAGAAATTACTGCACTGAATTACTGAAATTATTAACGCTAAAAAGAAGAGGGATAGCCGGTGAATATGCCAGGAGTTGAGAGAGTAGATATTCGACATACAGGCGCTCAGGAACTCAGAATTCATGCAAATGTTGCTTCTTTTGTATAAACAAACATGCTGTTGTCTGCCAGGACAGAACTGTTGTTACAATAGCGGGCATTTCAATTTCATTAAACTCACATTACATTAAAAAAAATGAATTTGTAATGAAAATGAAGACAGACTGTATTCTAAGTGGGATTTGGTCAACGTATTTACCAGTATACACACCTTACCCCCTTCTGAGTTTATGTGAACGTACACACGTCTTTCAACCTATAACCAACAAGACGGTCTGATCTCTGTGTCCCTCCAGCCCCACTTGGCGGTGGGCAGCAACGACTACTACATGTCCATCTACTCTGCAGAGAAGAGGCTCAGATAACACACCAGCATTCATCAACAACTCCTCCCCGTCAACTCTGCCTCATGGGACTTCTGAACCACAGCCTCGAGCTCTGGGATGTAAATGACCTTCTTCTTGTACATATGCAATTACCACCCTGAATGTTCTAGTGATGGCTGCTGACGAAAACTACGAATACACATATGCATACATACATATATACATGTATGTATCTGTATACATATATAATTATTATTCTCACTGTTTATTCTTATTGTTATTATGATGCTAATGATTGTAGTCTTGGCTGTGCTGAGGAGTGTGTATATTTAAATAGCGCATACAGAAGAATAGAGGTTCTATTTTAAAGAAGTGGTACCCACTGGTCTCCACCGCACGGCGAGCATCTCTGACAGAACGAACTGTGACGCCTGCAAAACTACACGGGGCAAGGGAGGTCCACGCGCACTGTTAAAACTCACTGGTGCAGGAAACACAAGACTCGCCCCCCCCGCTGGACCCCAGTGTGTACATGAATTATTTTAATGGCCCGTCTCAGTTTTGCTACCTTGCTGCACCGCTGGCAAGACGTTTGTAGAGACGGAGCCAGAGATGGAGGACTGTGCTCATTCTGACGACCGGGCTGACTTGGTGTGTGTGCGTGCGTGCGTGCGTGCGTGCGTGCGTGCGTGCGTGCGTGCGTGCGTGCGTGCGTGTGTGCGTGTGCGTGTGTGTGTGTGTGTGTTTAAGTGGATCATAGCACACATGTGCCCCGCAGTGGGCCTTCAAGCCTTGGGCTTAATTAATGCCCAAAAAAGATGCCTGCTCCAATGCTCAAACTCTCCTTCTTGCTTCCCTGACCTAGCGTGCCAAACATAATCACATTTTCCATACAAGCCCTGTTTTTGTCAATAAGGGAGTCTTTTTGTTTGTATGTTGTCTTTTTTTATGTAATGTCTGTAAAAGGGAGAAACCTCTGTTGCCCCCCCCCCCCCCCCCCCCGATGATACAAAATATTATATCGAGCACAGTGAGAGGCTAAATAGGTAAATAGTAAGCACCTAGTCCTCCAGGGAGCCTGCGGTACCTGTCCACTCGCCCTGCAAAGCAATAAAAATCCCACATGAATCAGTGTCAAACAAATGTTTTAGTCTGAAGGTGATTAGCATCAATAGCTTCAGACTGAGGAACTCCCCTAAAACCCTGCTACAGCATCCAAAGGGGACACAATTTAGCAAATGAAACAAACTAATTTCCAGCCTAGTTGATTTTTACTGGAGGGTTGAGTAGTTAAGACATCAGATGAATAAAGTGTCCCGTGATTGACTTCTAATCAATAGGTCCTTCATTGCAGAAGATTTAAAAAAGCCCCAAAACCTTTTATTTCTTCACTTTGATGCCATTCCATTGTTTCCTGGCTTGATAAATAGAAGTTGGTTACTTATGTGAGCACAGTGAGGGTCGGCTTCCTCATCTCCTAAACAACCTCGAGAGGTCTTTTAGGTTGAGTGATTCATCACACCAGGGATCACTTGCTCGCCCCGCTGTTAGGGTCAACTTTCATTTTGATAATAATACCCTCTGTAATGTTTTTTCCCCGTCATTGAATTTTCATTTTGATTTTACCGCCAGGCTTGTTTGGTTTTTATTTTGTTGAACAAAGTTGGAGGCCTAAAGCGAGTTGCATGTTAATCGGTGACATCACAGCTCTCTCTCTCTCTCTCTCTCTCTCTCTCTCTCTCTCTCTCTCTCTCTCTCTCTCTCTCTCTCTCTCTCTCTCTCTCTCTCTCTCTCTCTCTCTCTCTCTCTCTCTCTCTCTCTCCTGTATGTGCTCACTTGTCAAGTTTTAGTCTTGAGTCCACATCTAGCTCAGGTACTTAATGAGCCACCTCAAACCAACGTAAACCACTGCCAGCCTCCAAAGTGTCATGATGGACAGGCGCATGCAGTGATGTGACTGGTTGATTATGATTATGGACGTTTATGACACAAATGTCGTGGTGGTGCTGTTTGGCATGGTGCCTCTTCTGGTGGTTATATTTTGTGCAGTATCACCGTAAACGTGCCTCTTCCTTGGGGCTGCAGCTTTGCTTATTGAGCTTTTTAAAATATTTTGTTCTTTTCCTGTTTTGTCATTTTCTGTTTTTAAATCTGCCGGCATTTTGTTTGCCTTAGCCTCAGTGAGGTCGAATGGGGAAAAAGAGAGACAGCCTTACCCCCCTCCCCCCCACCCCCCTTACACACACACACTGCACACTACCCTTGCCCCGAGTCATCGCCAGTTTACCCCAACAGCCCCCCCTCCCTCCTTTCTGCCCTGCCATGCCCCCCCCAGCCCTCTGCATCAGCTGCTTTTCTTGGAGGAAGTGGAAACAAGCGGCTGCAGAGGAAGTCCTCACCGTCACTGAGCTCTTTAGCGCTCCACACGATTCGGCGGGCATCGCCTGCGCCAGCGGCTCAGCCATAGTTGTCTAATTTGGACCATTTGCTCAGAATCACGTTCATCTCGATCCTGCTTTTGAGTTTTGCAACTTTAGATCCGGAGAAAAAAAGAAAGACTTTAAAAGTAGTAAAGGAAACATGAAAACAATCAGGTCTTTCTCTGTGACTGCTTTGCTGACTGGTTTATAAGTCAGGAGATGAAATAAACCAAATACAACACTGGATTTTGTCTGTTTCCATTTTACACATTATCATGCTGTGCTCCACTCATCAGAATCCACACAAGTTCATATTTGTATCCGTAAACCCTCTGTTTGGAAAAAGGAAGTACAGGTTGAGTGTGGTCTATGATGCTGCATCCACGAGGGTCGGGAGTTCCTGCTTGCCCAAAATGACAGCGCTTGGCGGGGGGGGGTCCGTGCAGCAGGTTTTTGCCCATCCATGGATGTTCAACTTTTTTTGGTAACTAATCGGAGAAAATGGACTTCGAAGAGCTTTGGATGTTGAATAGTCTCCAGAAGAAACGGCCACTCAGTCTGAAGGAAACGTTTCTTCTTCAGGTTTCCAGTGAGACTGTCCCTGCTGCAATGTCATTGGAGATTGTTTTAAATATCTTTGAATTTTCAAATTAAACGTTTAGTAACATTTTATCTGGTTATTTGTGTATTGTATTTTTTATATATTTAAATGTCTTGCTATTTTTTACATTGAGAAAACATTTTACACAACCAAAGGAGCCAATAAAAGATTTTTTTTTTTTTTCAAGTAGCAAATGAGGTTTTTTTTTTTTTTTTTTTTTTTTTTTTTTTAAATACATTTGACAAAAACAAAGCTCATCTGAATGACATGATTGAGTCCCAGGCTGTAATATGAAATAATATTTGTTTGTACTGTCCACGCGATTGTCCCCGTTCTGCCGTCGCCATGGCGAAAGCTCTGCGGGGTAATGGATGTGCTCTGAATTCAACTAGTTTCTATCATTTTACTTTCATATATTTGCATTTATTCATGTGTTTATTTGCTATTGAACACTTGTTCATTTGATTGAACTTATATCTTGGTTTGGATCGAGTCATCAACCAGAAGAAGGGAAAAGGGCCTCTCATGAAGAGAAGAATGTACCAGAAACAATCGCTCCACCTCCCTGCGTCATGTACGATCCAGCTGAGATTTATGTCTGAGAGAACCCTTCTCAGTAGCTAAACCGGTATCTTCCCTTCAGGAAATGAGCTTTGCTGCACGAAGACCCCTCAGCCCGCCCTGTTCATCTCTCTGCCTGCACTGGGCCGGCCAGAGGTCAAGGGTCAAAGGCTTGATTTTGACTACTACACCCCGAGCAGTACAACATTTTTGTGACTACCGTTCAAAATGAACAATGCACGCGTACACGACGGAGACGACAGAAGAACATTCCACAACAGCAAAGCGCCAAGTGGCGTGCACATCCTGAGGAAACAACACTCACTTCCTGGCAAATTAGCCAAGCCAACGGCTGCTCGGGTTGATAACCGCCACTGTTCGCTGACCACTGGGTGGCCGATGTAGAGCACCACTTTTGTGTCTGCTCCCGCCCACCATCCTCCCCACACACACATCACCCATCAACCAGCAAAGTCACAATCCTGTTAACCAGCGGGACAGCCGGCAGCGTTGGGAGCCTCGGCGTTCCTCAAGACAGGATGGGCCTGCTACTACTGCTCACCTCCGCGCTCCTGTCCAGCTGTAAGACCAGTGACCTTCCATCTTCTCCTGCAGGAAGTCGTTGGACTTTGTGGATGTGGTTGAAAGATGTGTCTCTAACTTGGTGCTTTTACTTTCTTATCTTGCTCCAAGACTTCCATCCTGGCAGTGTGGTGAAGGCCCAGCGCGGTAAGTACAATGCGAGAGACATTACACTTGCACACATGCAGACGGATCGGAGATTTTTCTTTTCTGAGACGGTGGCAGTTGGAGGAGAAAGTTGAGTTTAGACAGTGCCCAATGTTGATGGAATATGATTGCTTTATTATTCATACACACTCAGTTATTGAGGTGAAAAGACTTTTCAATCTCCCAAATCTCCCAAACACGACGCCAGGAGAATCACATGGTCAGTCGATGGAAACGTCTGGTTTGTTATCTTGGATTGAGTCACTGGAGTCCGGTGAATCCTTGGAAAGAAGCGCTTGGGGACATGTGGGGCAGCGGCGTCGCACGCCTCCCTGTCCTCTTGTGTTGTTTTCAAATTCCACAAGACTGGAGGAAGTGCTCTATATTTTCAGTAATTTTATAAACTTTCCTTTCCTGCTTTAAAATAAAGTCAACAGGAGTATTATCGGTGAAAAGTACTTATTCTGCATACAAATATCTGTATGATGATAAAACATTAGATTGCTTGCACAGACATCGATGTTAAAGCATCATTTTATTGCTGTGAAGCTCATTTATATACAGTTATGTGCTTTCCAGCATGGGGGCAGGATTCACCAAAATGGCGCACAAGATAAATCGGAGGGGTCATGAAATGAGTGATGGAATAGGATGGAAGGAAAAACTAACTTTGTCATATAAATCTTCTGTATAAAACTAATATAATCTAAGATGTTCAGTGGAGAAATCCTTCTTACCTAATTTTTAGAGTTTTGTTTTTAGCTCTAAATCTCGGTGCTGACCTGTGAGAAACTTATCTAAATCATGACATTTATGTTAAAAAAAAAGTTTAAATCCCCCCTCCTCTCAGCCCTCTGCCCTCTTTTATTGCATTTTTCTAAATGATGCAGCGGATGGAGTTACGTTTTAGAAGTTTATAGATTTTTTTTTTTTAATCTACAAGTAAAACTCACATTGCTTCATTCTGAAATGTAGTGGAGAGGATCTCAAATTTGTACGTAAGCGCAGTAAATGAGTAAATGTCCGTTGTCTACCTGCCACAACTCACACGGCCTATCGAGAGCCGATAGCAAATCTCTGCCCCGCACGTCTCCGTCTTCTCATCATCAGCCCTGCCACGTCCCGCTGAGCGATGCTGGGTGCGGGCCAGATCCAGCAGGCTCTGAAATGGTGATCGGTCCCCCGGGTGGCCTGTTTGTCTGACAAAGTGCTTTTCCTGCCCATTTTCTCCCCCCTTGTTTTCAAGCTTTGTTTACAGCCTCACAACACCCTCGTCTGAGCCTCAACAGCAGCCTGTTGTCTCCAATACTCCACCAGATGGGAGATGTGTGGGGGGCTTAACGTTCCTGTGCAGATGCTTTCTGTCTGGTTACACTGGGGAACGCAAAGTTGTTTTACATTTAGTTTAGTTACTTTCTAAAAGACAAAAAGTTTTCTCCTCGGTGTGAGACAGTCGCTTCTACATTTCTCAATGTGACAACAAGTGTCCCGCGCGGACCGCCGATTGCTTTCCACCTGTTTGTGCCGTGAATCACAGGAGGATTTGAACTATTCACGGCTCCGGGATGAGGTGATCACCAGAGCGATGCACCCATCTGAATGATGCAGTCTGGCTGCTTTAATTAATCCAGTCCAGACAATGAGGCTGGGAACAAACTATTGTCGATAACTGAAGAGATTCACGCCGTTTTGATTTAGAAAAGAAATGCGCAATCATTCAGGTTTGAAACAAACACAATGTTTCTGAAGCTGTCGTGAACAAAAGCCACGGGGTTGGCTCACTTTTCTCCCGACGAGCTGAACCGTTTCAACCTACAAGATGAGTGAATGTATTGAACCATCCATGTCAAGGCCCTGAGTGTGGCCCAAGCCGGAGACCTTCTGATCGCATTCATCAAGCCCTCTATACTGCTCCTCTGCAACGGTGGCTCCAGCAAAGCCTCAAAGCTGCTTCTAGCTACTTATAGACGGAAAACGCTCTTTCTGATCTACCTCCTACTTGCATATACTGACGAAATTCCACAGTAACCCACCAGCTCCCTGAGTCCCGCATCAATTTAACTTTAATTAACTTTTAGCAGTCGTCATTTCATATGCCATCAAGACGGCCAGTCGGGAGGGATGATTGGAATGGAAATAGAAAGTGATAATGAGTACATTCGATTCAATCCCCTTTAATTATGTCTGAGAACCCTGCGCTTAAACAGAAAAGACAAAGAAAAGAGCATAAGGGTGCTGACTAATTACAGTAATGCAGTTGTTGTTTGTAATGGTCCCTCTTAGGCCCTCTTCAGCATCTAAAGCTGTAAACAGAGGACATGTATATAGTGTACGGCGCAGGTGTCAAGGACACAGACAAACTTTCTAGGGGTAAAAGAAGGACTACAACATATATTTGTGCACAGATTAAGTGGCATCATTCAAATACAGCAGTAAGTCTTCAATATACGATTCAGAGAAGAAGTAGGCTGTACTTATACATCATATAACTGTGATCGTATCTGTTTAAAGCCCAGTTTGTAGGATTTAGAGGAACATTGTAGCAGAAATGTAAGTAAGCAATTTCACTGCTTTGCTTGTTATTACTCTCATTTGATTGTTATTTCGGGTTTAATCCATTTCTTTCTGCGTTCACTCCCTAGTTGTCATATTAAAAGACATCAGCCTGTCCATGGAGCCTAGTCATGTCGTATCCCGCAACACCAATGTGACACTGAGATGCCGGGCCAACGTCGTCAGCGTCGAGAAGGCACTGAGCCGTGAGTACACAATATACAAGGACGGCAACGCAATCTACAACAAGACCTCCAGCACCTCGGAGGACCTCCTGTACCACCTGTCCGAGGTCAGAGTCTCCGACAACGGCAAATACTCCTGCAGGATCAGCGCTGAGGGGCAACAAGCGACGAGCAGTGCCAAGAAACTCGAAGTCACAGGTTGGTTTGTTGCTATGGATACAGGAGTGATGTCATCTGCCAATGTGGTCAGATACCAGTGAAAGGCTGGAACTAAATAAGAGCAGTGATCTGCAAAAAAAACTATATTTCATAGTTTTCATAAAATCCATAATAATGAACTATTGCATGCATGATTTGAAATCCCTTGTCCCGGGAGAAGTACCGCAACACTGGTGGAAGATCATATTTGTTTACTTTTTTTCAGCATGGTTGAATTCAATCTGAGCACATTTCTCGCATATTGGGTCTCCAGGGCTGTCAAAACCAGTTCTCCACGTTAACGAGCGTGTGGTCGCTGAAGGGAAGGAGATAACAGCCACATGCACGGCGCACGGCGAGAGGGGCTCCATCTTCTTCTACTTCTACGAGAACGCCACAGAGATCGAGGAGAGACAAGTCAACTCTAACCAGATAGAGGTCAAGCTACGCTTAAGCAGCGTCGGCACCCACAGGATTCACTGTGCCTACGCTGTCTTCGTAAGGCCAGATTCCTTTAAGTCTGAAGAAAGCAACGCTGTCTCGGTCACAGTCGAAGGTGAGGGGGCGTTTGAAAATGCGTGTTTAATTTTTCGCAGCATTCCGAGTCACCGCTGGGCTGTTCCTTCATTGTCTTTGTCTCCTCAGAGCTCCACATCGCACCCGTTTTGGAGATCTTCCCCCATTCCAAGATCTACGAGGGAGACGAGCTCTTCGTCTCGTGCAGCGTGAAGGGCCCTCCGCCCACCGACAAAATGCATCTCTATCTAAGCCGAGGGAACCAGCTCCTCGACAGGGGCAACACCACAGTCAGCCACCGCGGCATCGCCCTGGCGAAGGACATCGGGGACTTTGAGTGCAGATTAGAGATCGGAAGTGTCGTGAAAAATGACCAAGGGACGATATCAGTGACTGGTGAGTGGACGGAAGAAAGTTGACCTGTGTGTGCGCGCTGTACACAATCTGATTTGTCACCACCAATTTGGGTTTCATTTTAAAATTATTAATCAACTGTATCCGTATGGAGCTCCAAAACTGACAAAAAGGTTATCGGATGTCCAAAATGTAACTTTGTTTGTACTCTGATTTGTTGTGAATGCAGCCGAACTCAGCAGCTTATGGGGACATTGTAATCCAGGAGTATTGCTTATTTGTCTACTTTAACCTTCATTTTAAATATTAAAATGATCAATATTATTGATTTATTGTTTTTGTGATTTGAAAAACCTTTGGCTACATTTTCTGGGGGGTTTTAAGCTTTGTGTATGTCAGCAATTATACTGTAATATCAATGTAGATAATAACATTCCATGTTTTTTTAAATCTGTCCACAGAGCTGTTTTCGGTTCCCACGCTCACTGTATCTCCTGCGGAAGTCTTTCAAAGGGAAGATATTACTTTGACCTGTAAAAGTGAGAGCTCTGCTTCTGAGAGACTCGGCCAGGAGGGGTTGACTTATGCTCTTGAACCACCCAGAAGCCAACTGGTCCCCAAAGGCATTGGAATATTTTCTGGCAAATCCCCGTCGAACGATTTCAACTACACCTGCGTTGCTCGGGCCAAGAACATCGTGAAGCACAGTGAAGTCCTGACGGTGCGTCCTAAAGGTAAGCCGACTTGATCTCCATCAGGTGCAAATGTATATATGCAGATTAAAGGTAAGAGTGGTTTTAAACCCTTTCTAAACAAACACCCCATAATGTAAATGTTTTAATTTAGGCCTATTTTTAACTACACCTTAGTTACTTTTATGTTGGATGTAGTATCATTTCGGCTGTAAAACCTCCAATGCAGCGCAAATATTTTGTTTTATGTAAAGGCTACTGTAGCCGAGATTCAATGAAATGATGCAACTTTCCAGAATTTTTTTTATCATCCTCTCGTGTTCACAACAAATGCAAAACCACAAAACGCTGCTAGTGATCTGTCAGACCAGGCGGGGTTTTTTTTCATCACAGCGCATGAAAAACAGGGAGAAAAACTGTGTAGTACAGCTCTAAAATTGGTATATTGTTTTTACTCACCCTGACCGAATGTGACTGAATGTCCAGCAAAAAGCTTGATACAAAACATCTGAGCAAATAGGAATTAAATCCCAGCCCAAAAGGGCAATATTCAGTATTTAGAACAAATGACTGCGTGTCAAAGAGGTCACTCGGTAATGAGAATTATCACCAGCACCTCCTCACCTCCGCGGAGAGCTGCGTTGGCTTTGATTAATCATTTTGGTTCACTCTCAATGCTCTTCTGCCTTTTCTTTCACAACTTCCTTCTGTGGAAAGTTTCTGGAGACCCAGATAATTCCCTCAGAGTTGGTAGAGACCAGAAACCGAACTACAAGGGGACTAAATATTGGGACTTACATAGTCGGCAAAACGTTACCAAATAAATGTTCAGTTCGACGATAAGGTTTTTTGTTTACATCGTCTTGTTCATTTTAACGGGAAGAATAATGAGCTCTTTGATAACATTATTAACAAAACTCTCAAAGGCCAAATACAATTAAAATGACATCAACCCGTGTTGCTCGCTGCATGTGGAAACATTTGCCCAGAGGAATACAGTTTATGTTTCTCTTTCTCTGCAGTTCCTGTCACCACCCCAAAGATCTCGGTGGTGGGCAGAGCCGTCCTGGGGAGGCGTTTCACCATCCTCTGCCAGTCGGACATAGGCAGCTTGCCAATAAACTACACCCTGCTGAAGGGTTACGACCAACTGAACACCGAAGCTGTCACGCAGCCCTTTCAACAAGCTCTCTTCACAGTCAGCGTCGACAGGCCCGACGAAATAAGCAAGTTCACGTGCCGGGCAAAGAACAGCCACAGGGAAGCGCTGCTCAGCACAAGACTCAACGCTACCGTCATAGGTAAATGTTCCAATCCGCCGGTTGTTATCCACTGTTTCACATGGTGAGTGTATTCTTTGCGTTGCCTCGTCACCGCTGCTCAAAAGGTTCATTTAATGCATCCTCATAGTTCTTGATGAGCCACTGCGGAGCCAAAATCATTCCCAGTGATCTGTTGGCATGAGAATCTTACCTCAATGTCCACGCAGAAGTTGTCAGATCATATCACATGACCTTCCTCAGCTCATTTTAATCGCCACTTTAATTGCCAATCCATTTGAGGTTCAAGGTTCATTCCTGACCTCTGAAACAGAATTTGACGGATCGTTCCTTCAGTCTCATTTCATTGACAGCGTTGATTAATGTTTCCTCCGCTCTTACCTTCTTTTAGAGCCCCTGAGCCACCCGATCCTCACGGTCATCCCCGGCCTGTCGGAGATATCGGAGGAGGACAATCTCCACCTCATATGTGGCGTTCGAGGCACCCCGCCGGTCACCTTTAAGTGGTACCGCGTTGGCACCGAGCTGCCTTTGTCCACCACCACATCCGACAAGAACAACACGCACTACCAGGTGCACGGTTTGTCCAAAGAGCACAGCGGCGTGTACTACTGCGAGGCTCGCAACCACGCCAACAACGTTGTCCGCAGTGAGCACGTCACCATAGAGGGTGAGACTAATCGGTATTTATACCAAGTAGGCACTCCTGTCCTCGACCTCTGGGGCAATGCGAAAAACACAAAGAAATTAAACAAGAAATGCATAAAAGCAACTGTTCTAGCGTAGTTTGAGTCAATGAAAACCGTTTTGGTCATCAGATTGTTTTGTACATTTCAGTCAGTCTAGTCTTAAGAAAAATATTGCATTGCTTCATTGTCCCAGGCCCTGTCGTTTAACCATCCAGATGATGGTCTCGTCATTATATTTAAGTAAGTTGGCGCTTGTGTCTGCCTCAGCGTTTCACCGCAACTGAACATGTTACGCACATCAGACGCGTTGTTTTGTTTGCCGTTGAAGTAAAAAAAATGTCGCCACAATCCTGAAAATGAAGAAAAACGTCTCAGGCACGTAGGAAGCGAGGACGGACCTGCCAGTTATTGTAGGTTTGTGCGATTTTATAGCGGGAAACAGCATTGTTTTGTTTCAAGGGCTGAATTTAGACGGGGCCTTGTTCAAGGATTGCTTTTGTATGAGCAGTTTGAAGTGTTGCTCCAAAGAACGTTCCGGAAAAACCTTCCATATCAAGGAGATGTTGACGCTATTGACGGGGGGGGTCCAGATGTAGAAAGCAGCAACGGTAAAAACGTTCATTCTCTAGTTTGTTTTCATTGACCCAAGTAACCAAAAATCAGACCCCAAAGCAGCAACAGTGGGGTCCAGGTTATGCAGTCAGTTTCTCTGAATTCAAAGAAAGAAGCACTCATTAGAAAGCTTTTCTACGATGCAAGTGTATCTTTTAGATTTTTCGCTTGGATTTCTGAAATAACTTTTGCCATCATGTCCCACTTTATTCGTTCCCCTCATGTTTTTCCTATTTGTCACTTGACTTTCTCTTCTTTCTTTGTGTGCGTCTCTGTCTCTCCCTCTCCATAGTGCGCATGGCGTTGTGGAAAAAACTGATGATCGGCGGTTTCTGTCTTCTGGTGCTGTTTTTGTTGGTGGTTGTGTCTGTGCTGTGCTTCAGATCCAAGAGAGGTAGAGAGACCTACAGTACTTCAGCCGCTCAGCCTGCTTTCGTCTAACCGTGTCTGAAAACCAACCGTCCTTCACCTACTTCCTCCTGCTCCTCTTCTCACATGTCCCCTCTTATTGTAGGTAAAAGAGAAGCAGCTGCTGAATTGTCAGTGTGAGTTGGCTCGACTACTTGATTCCTCTGAATGTGACAGATACTGTAGAAGTTATTGACAGTGTAGACGAGGGTGTATCAGTGGTATGTTTCCTTTTATTTTTAGCCTTCACAGAACCATACTGGTTGTTTTGTAACTCTGGCAAATAGTCACTTAACTCTCCATTAAACCAGATTTGTTTTATAATTAGTAGGCATTAAACAAACAAGATTTAACATGTCAGAAGTATAGGTGCTAAATTGCAGATTATGTCATTTTAGTCTTTTGTTGAAGCAAAAAGCTTATTTATTATTATATAATAGATGAAAAATATATTAATCAATTAATCAAATGCATTAAAACAGCAGTTAAATCAATCAATAAGTTGTTAAAAGGTAAATTGGTCGGTGAAACAATTAATTAAATTCCTAAAAATGGCAGAAAAAAAATCTTGTAACAAAAACACCATTCTTAATTTCCAGTATACACTAAAAATATAGTTAAACAAATTTTATTCTATTTCTGCCAAAAAAAAACTAAATTAAACCTTTAAATAGTTTTGTTGCACATCATTTTGTGCCACCACAACACAAAGTGCTGATAAGATGTCATAGTGATTTGAAGCACATCACTTTGATTTTGTGCAAAATGTATTTAAAATACTGGACAACGATAGTGTGACAGTGCACATAAGAGAAGTGAAACTCGTGATGTTATCAGAGGTGCTTTGATATTGAAATAGAATTAACTGTAAATGCATGTTTAACGGTAGAGAGATATGTTCTGTATTAAAGATAAAATAATCCTCATAAAAGTCCACGAAAACATTGAAAAAAAAATGTTTAACTCAAAAACTTAAAGGCCACCAGTATGGTTCTTGAACTGCATCATTAGTTTGTTTCAGAATTAATTGCACATACTTTTCATGCTGTAGATTATTTTTATTTATTCGATTTTTGTCCGTGCTGCAGACTTGACTTTATTTTTACCATTTCTCAGAAAGCCTGCGAGCCCTAAATCAGATGACTCGTTAACAGTGAATCTAACCCACGACACAGAGGTTTATAACGCAGCCACAGGTAGCTTGTTTTTACTACTCTGCTTTTGTTCCGCTGATTGTCCTCATTAGTCATCATCTTAACATGAGTCATTTCTCCTGCCTCATTCATAGCGTGATTCCTGCTGTAGCATCCAAATCCATTCCCACCCCGAGATGTTCTCACATGCATGCAGGACCCATGTTGTGGTGGACCTGGCTACCACTGTTTACCAATGTTGCTTTCCAGTTGATGTCCTGTTAAAGTTAATGTGCATGAGTTGCGTATTTGTTTTGAGCTCATTGTCTTTGTCGGTCTCTGACCTTCATTTTTGCATGCACATTGTGTGTTGTGTCTTAAGTGTGTATTTAAAGAGGCAGGAAAAGCAGGATTGTTGTTAGAAGAACCTACTTAAGTAGTTATATCTCATTACATGAGATTCTTAATTGTTGCAAACTATTTAGGGCACCAATTATCATCTTCTTCCAGGCGCAGCACCAATCTATGATGGCATGGAGGGGAGAGGGACCAATGGGGTGCGATATAGCGTGGCGTCGCTTCCCGTTGACATCAGCAACAGGAGCAGCTACAGTATCCCAGCCACAGTGTAGAGATGCCCCCAAAACGGGCGGGACATGTTTTTTACTTTCAAAGCAAAAGGAAGTTGCATGAAAGTACGTTTAGAGCAAGAATGGAAAATAACGCAAGAGGCAGTAATGTCAAGGATTTGGACACATTTTCTTCAGTGATGGCTTTTCTGAGCATAAAAAGAGGGTCGTTTTATGAAGTGATATAAACCAGGACCTGCTGCTCCCTGTCCCCTCCACCTGCAATCCAGATGCATTTAATTTTACACTCACCGTGATAGTCTTTGTCTTTTGTTTCCTCAATCATGAAGTCCGTGTGATTTTGTGTCCTTTGTTGTCCTCCTCTGTTTGTCTCATGTGCATGTCTACATGGCCTTGATTGATCTGTATATACATTTTATCACCATCAAAGGAAACATGTGTATATATTTGTGGTCGATCCCCCGACTGGTTGGAAGAGACACTTGTAGAATAAAGTCGATGGTTTTATTTAGAAGTGTGTCAGTAACATTCATTTTGCTCCAGCAATTTTATCTGAGGCTAAAAACCTTTATGCTTCACAAAATGTTTGATTTTATGATCATGACCAAAGAACCAACATAACAGAGTACCAACATAACATTAGGTTGATTCATATTCACTTAAACAATAGAGTCTACAAAAACGGTCTTTGGCAGAGAGCAGATCAGTGGGGGTGTGGGGAGGGGGGGGGATTATTTTGTTAAAGGGCATGCAAGTTTGAATGCATGCAGCAGGCAGAGGAAATGAATCACATGCCTTGCCTGAGCTGTGTGTGAGATTACATTACCAACTGGGAAGTTTTAATGGGAAGTTGTTTTAGCCAGAAACTTATTGTGCAGCCGCTGCTCAATTAACACCCTATTGTGCACAATGCAGCAGCAGATTTCTGTGTTTTACCAGATGAAATCTGCTCTTTTATTACTGGTTTTATTTAAAAAGAGTAAATATTGCCACAAAAAAAGTGTTCATCTCTGTAACTGCTTTGTGAACCAAATATAATATTGATATTTTACTTTTAGTCTACAACCAGGAGGCAGTTAGCGTAGCTACGGTTAAAGCCTGATTACTGGCATGGGGAAACCATTGGACTAGTTTATAAAAACGTTTAAATAATACATAAATACATTTTTAAGTAAAGATTGCAAGTGACCCACTTTAAACCCGCAACTTTACATTTTAACACTGACATCGAACTTGTCTGGTTCTAGACTTAAAGCTAAGCTACGCTAACTTGTTGCTGGCAGTATCTTCGAAGTGAAAAGATGAAGAGTGGTACTGGTTTCACCATACAACTAACCATATACACAGCAAATACGCATGTTTTCTGCCACTTCCTTTAAGAATGACTTAAAAACACTTTGTCTACATGGCAGCTGGCATCATACTTGCTAGTTATTAAGGTATATTTCTTTGTCCCTATTAGTGTAGAATTCTTAATATCTCCTAAAGTCTATGTTTTGAGTGACTTTTGATGTTTGTCCTCGTGTGTTTCAGTGAGGTTGGACAGAGCTGCAGTCAGTGTGTGGAGCAAGCGACCGTCTGAAGACGGTGAGCCCGGCTTATGATGAGTGCACTGCCTTTATAGTAATGTTGAAGAAATGCAAGTAGACAAGAGTCAGTGATTCAGGAAGATCCGTAGCCCAGTAACAGCAGTGATAATAATGTGCTATTCTGTCCTGTATCCTGGAAAACACTTTCTTTGCATCTCTCGAGGCAACAATAATCTATGAGTATTTCTCTCCCGACTCCTTCCAATATAAACACTATATAAATATATATATAAAAAATTGTTACTGGTCCCAGGACTCCGGTCTCCACGTCAGTAACGAATGGTTTAATTTACTTCCGTGAATGTTTTTATTTAACAGCATGATAGCTATGTATAACTCCTATGCCTCGCAGCGCTCGTATATGTTTTTTTAATAAATGTGCCCATCTGCAAGCTACATCGGGACCTTAATCCACACCAATCCGCATTTAATGGTTTATTAGCTTTTATCTAATCAGAACATCATATTTTCGGGGACAAATTGGACACGATTCAGGATAACTGCACACTTGGTTGGGAGGCCTGCTCTTCCTACATGTACGGTCACACTTGATCTCACGGAGAATCTTGTTTGTGTATTTGCGTACAGTGAACGACGTGGAGAGCAGCGTGGCGTCCAACGAGCCGGATGTGGAGTACACAGAGGTGGTGCATCCTCGGCCAGTAGATCCTGAAAGAGGTGAACGAAAAAGAAAATATGTTGCCTTGAATCCTTCGCCTGCTGAGGACTTTTAACCATTCTGCACGTTCTCTGTCTATCGTCCCCACAGAAGAACATTTGTCTCTGTTTCGGCCTCATTCCTTTACAGTTGATGATACAGACCAACACTTCCTGGGAGGAGCATAATTACCCATAATTAATACATCTCCAAGTTGCTGCAACTGCAGGGATTTCAAACACAACATTTCAGACCACATAAACAGGAAGGGTTGAGCTAATTGCCCGGCTGGTTTATGATACTGACTCCTTCTTCTCTTCGGTTCTCTGTACTCGGCGTCCCGGGGGGGGCTGAAGGAGGTCGTTATAGAATTTGACACAACCCGCCTACTTTTTTTCTGCTCACGATAGATCTAACACACAGATATCTGCTAAAAATGTTGTCTTTGATGTTCAAGGAGGCTAATGCGTTTCTTTTTATTATCAACAGCCCCCCTGAAAATAGGCACAGACACCGTGTACAGCGAGCTGCAAAACTCACCAGATGGTGAGTTCAACATTGTGAAAGTTGCACAGATTAAATGGCTTCAATAACCTTTTTTAACTGTCACTTTGCAAGCGAGTTACTAAGAACCGTGAGACTACATTTCGTTACTGCTGGCAGGCAGGCGCTTCCTGCTGTAAGACTCAGAGGGAATATTTTAAGTTTTGACTCAGAGAAAGGTGCCATAACTTGAGTGGTTGCAGTATTGGCCTCCGCAGAGGAAGAAGGTGTGAGTCAGCCAGGCTCAGTCAAGTCATCGTGACTCTCAAGTGACCGATGCATAACTGTGAGGTGAGCAAGTGAGTGAGCAGCACACACTGCCACGCACACTAAACTGTGTTGCTTCTGCCTTTAGGTGCTGCTGACCATCATGACTACGTGAGTTATTCTTTTCACAAACACACACGTGTTCTTATGGTTGGTTATTTGTTTTGGTTTACTTCTCCTGAAGCACTAGATGTATTATACGTATGTGATTTGTACACTAAAATGCCCCTTGTGTGTCTGCGCTGGCCGCCTCCCGCTCACAACGAGGCCTCGCAGTCTGATAATCCAGAGCGGCGAGCAGGAAAACGGCCCTCAGAGTTTCCAGTCAAAAACAAAGGCCTTTAGGGTGGGGCTTCCTTCCCCATCGCCTGGTCAGATCAGTTCTGTGGTCAAATTACCTCATTGCCCATCTCAGGCCAGCTCAACTGTCTCCCAGCATGCCTTAATCACCCTGTTTGGCCCTACATGGTGTGAGGGGCAGCTAGAGAGAGTGGAGTCACACAGCAAGGATGTGACGTCACTCTCTAAAAATGGGGGATTCTTTCATCAGCGTATCTTCTTGATAGAAGATTATGAGAGGTTTTTTCTAATAGTAGTCGGATTGTCTGTGGGAAACTGTTCAGCAGGCAGAGCATCCTCTAATTTATTAGGTTTTGCTCCATTAAGAACTAAGATTAGAACTTTGTTAAGAAGGTGGAGGAAAAATACATTATGACACTAATGAAGGAGCAATTGTTTTGCACATCAACAGGAGTCACAAAAACGTTTTTAGAAGCTCATGTTTCACATAGTACATAGAAGGCTCTAATATGTGCTTTGGTATGAACTGCTGTGTTTTTAGTGTTTAAGGATCGTGTTTCATTTTCTCTTTTGTGGGTTCGCAGGATTCTGTTCAGTACCCCGATCTCAACGGTGAACAACCTGAGGTCAATAATTACCTTCTAGAGGTCAACAACCACCAAGACCTTCCTGTGCCGGTGGATTAGAGGATTATCGCCTTCTTCTCTTCACACACTGCTTTGTCTCTACTCCCATCTCGAATCCACACTTTTTTTCACCCCATCTTTATTAAGTACAATCTCGGTTTCCAATGAGGGAAATAATTGAGTGCTTAATCAGTTATAAATTGTTGTGTCAATAAATCACAAATACTTATAGTGTTACTTGGTTTGTGCAACAGCTGGCCATTTTATTACATTTTCGGAGATTTGAGAAAATATCCATATCAATGTCCTGGTAACTCTACTCAACTTCAGTTTAAGTGGCTTTTTTTCTATATGCATTTCTTGCAGCGTTCAAACTCACTGAAATGATGGTACAGGTCAACAAGTAAAAGACAAGCAAGAAGGTGTGTGTAAAATTAAATTAAAAGAGAGATGAACTGTCTTCACTTTCAGGTGAAAAATGGTTTTGGGGGGTCTTCTTCTAGAAAATGTTGAAACGCATTAATGATCAAAACACATTATTTTTATCATACTATAGAGATACCTGCTGTAGAGATCTCTCCCTTTTCTTGAATCACATATATTTCCTTAGATTGGGGACTTATTTTTTTCTCAGCCTGCCTTTGGAATCTGAATGATTTTTCCATCAAGACATGAATGTATGAATAATTACAATCCAATATTGAGGTTATTCTAAATTGCAGCATTCTGGATATTGACTACTTTTTACCAGATACATACATAATATTCCTACTTTTACAGGTAACATATTACACCTCTGGTTTGACTGTTTTTACTTAAGTTAAAGATCTTAAAGTAAAGGTACCACAACATTTAAACAAAACCAAAAAAGGTTTCAATCCTGTGATGCTGTTGCAGTGCCGTTTGATTTTCCTAGTATTTACCACAAGGGGGCGCCATTGCATTAGTAATATTAGCAAGCCGTTCTTCACCCTCGCTTTTTCCAGTGTTTGTTGGTACCCTACATGGATCCATGTCCATCCATGAATAAAATCTATTCCCATAACAATAAGTGAACGGAAGATTGAAAATAAGGCAATGATTGCAATTAGCAGAAATTAATATAAAATAATGCAAAATTATGAGGAAAAACATAAGTAAGAAATGTAAACGTATTTCACGTACAGGGACCAAAATGAAAAAGATTAATATCAGCGTGTGAGCTACTGAAACTACCACAGGGGGGGTTTGAGTAATTTGCTAGGTGTTAATGTCTGTCTGTCTGTAGAAAGAGTTTGGTCCTGGTTTCCTGCCAGGTCAAGCCCTGCTGCTCGGATCTCCCTCGGGCTCTGCAGTATAATCTTTTCTTGCTGTATTCCTGTCTCTCCCCACGTGTCTGCGCCGCGTTTCACCTGTTCAGGTGCAGATCTGCATGCAAACAGCAGCAGCACCACCCTCTCTAGATCACCTCCTCAGGTCCCTCGCTGATCAAGGAATCGTGCTCGAACAGCACGGCCAAACGCTGACAGCCCTGTTAACTGAGGTAACGGAGTTGTCAAGGACCTCGTTTAACTTGCGGAGCCAACACGCAGCGCAGAACTTCCAAGTCTCCCCTGACCTTTCTCAGCCAGCCAGCAAGCCCTCTCTTCTGCCCGATGAGCCGCTCGTCCTGCTCCTGTGCTCTACGCTGGTGGTGTCTGAACTTGCCGAGCTTTTTTGGTTCAGTGTTTGTGGGTATTTGAGCAAGGTACCTGCTGAGCCACCTCGGGGGAGCTGCGTTGTCCTGGGCAACAGCAGACTGGGATAACAATCCTCTCTCTGCTTCAACTGTTCCCGCTTCACAGAAGGGATGATGAAAGTATTTGATCATCCCCTCCGAAGTAAGAATGATACTATTAGACTTTTTCACCATCCGTCGAAGCTCCCGCAGCATTCAGAATTGCCTAAATGAGAGCGATAAGGATGCGTTGGTGTCGAGGGATGAACCCAGTGGGCTTGATGAACATATGTACCTCTAGCCATCCGGGTCGGCAACCGTCCCTGTGAGACTCTGGACTTTTCATCATTCCCCTAAATACTACAACCTTTCTCCTGTATTCAACAAGCCCGAACCCTGTTGCTGCTTGTAAACGAGTTAACACCGACATTGCCTCCCTCCGTGATATTCCTCTGAAAGTTGACTCTAAAAGCCTTTCCCCCTGAATCATCGGTCCTTTCACAATCAACCCCTTGGTTGGAAAGATTCCGGCCTCCCAAAGAATCCCCCCCCCCCCCTCAGGATGGGATAGATGTAGAGGCCACATTTCATGTATGTACCTGTATGCCAATTCAAATACAATATAAGTGATGCAGAAATCACACCAACAGAGGATCTAACACATGACAATTTGTCATGATATTATTTATAAAAGACTGCAGAGCAAAAAGCAGAGGCTTACAAATATATTATTATGTTATGTACAGTATGACTTTGCCGGATGCTATAGGGAATAACTTGGTCAATCTAATGGCTCTGCTATGCATAGTAGGATGTAGTTAATTATATTTACCAATAAATAATGTAAAGATACACAAAAGTTGCAATACGGTACACATTATGAATGGTATGAACATGCTGGCACACTCTAATTTTCGGGCATGCGGTCAGCGTCTGCATTTATTAAAAACTCGCCTCATTTTCTGAGAGCCCAGTGATTGAATGTCCGGCCTTCGTTAGCCTCAAGGACTCCAGGAGCCTGCAGTGGTGGTGTTGGCATGGCAACTGCAATTGCACTTTTTCTTTTTAATAGATTTATTTAGGGGTCGACTTTTTTTTTTGCCCGTCTCGGTTTGTCTCTGCCTACATCCTTAATTAATTAAGCTTTTATGACCTGTAGTCATCCGTTTTGGTCAAAACATCAGTTCAAGCGCTGCATACACGGATCAGCGTGTCCTCGTCTTTCTGTCCTTTCATCCTGCTTATTACCAAACTTCCTTGGGCAGTCGTTTATTAAAAATGACATTTCCTTTTTGCATGCATGCTTTTTATGTCTTTGGATCAGTGATTCTCAGGATCTCCTGTTGTTCAGGTTTAAAACACAGAGCTGATTATTTTGACAGATGTGTTCTTCATTCATAGAGTATCGTTAAATGCCACATTAGTTACTTTGCAGGAATAAGATATTACCTAAACATCCACATATGTCATAAGCTATGTTGCCTTTTCAGCCACACTAACAACATGGTCCTTAGATTACCCATTGGTGCTTGGTGTGTTGGTCAGCCAGTCCATCAAATTAGTCTAAATCTGAACTTTCTCAAAAAAATAATATCCAATATGGTCATTTTGCACAAAGAGAACATTTGATGCTTTAGGTACATTTTCTCTGTTTTACAGTATCTTTACTGAAAGTGGCTAAAATCAAACAATATATTGTTGAATTTGAAAACCTAGATTGATTAGTTGCTTACGTCAAATCCTGCAGTTTCCCTCAGCTGAACGCAGCGCTTTAGTCTTTCAGCTGACTTGTTTTTTTTCCGTCCGCGATTTTACAGCAGCCAGCTTGTTAACGCTGTCTCGAGCTTCGTCTTCTGCCACAGGCTGCCGGTTTCATCAGAAAAGCTTAAAGAACTCATTGGGCGCTACTCCCCAACGGGAGACAAACACCATTAGCAGTTCTTATCAGCATTTGAGACAGATACTGTATGTCCCTCAGGAGTGGAGGGACACAATCTAAATAATATTATATATATATATATATATAAATTACAATAATATAATATTGATATTTGTAAATTGTTTATAGCCTGTTTTTGTTATATACAGGATTTTTATTGTATTGTGTTCCTGCTACTTTTTATTAACTTACAGGATTGGGGATATTATTATACCTGTATGTCTTTGGCTTGATAAAGTAACGATTCTTCAACTTGATTGTGAGTGTTTGGGCTTTCATCGGGTCACTTTAAGGTTGGTCTTCATGCGTCCACCGATTATGGAGTCTTGACCCTTATACTACTCATTTGATTATTTTTATTTGTTCTTGAATTTTCATTTCTCATAATTATATGTATTGAACCTACCTGCTACGTAAAAGATGAACAAACAATTAAAAAATGAGATTGTATCTTATAAAACGTGTACAGCGGCAAAGAGGCAGTAAAAAGACTATTAACAACTAGTATGTCGCTGAATCATCAACTTAATATCATAAAGTATTTTGGCATGAAGACATTTAGATTGTTCTTCAGTGACAGAATGGAGGATGTCGTCAAACCAAGCAAAACCATCTAGCCAACTGGCTCGCAGAGCTTCCTTCTTTTTAAACAGAAGTGGCCAGTTTCATTTATTTCATTGAATGTTGATTCCTGGCTGTAAAGAGAAGGTACGCTCTCGTGGGAGAATAAGGTGATTCAGTAACTGTTTTACAAGCAATATTACTGCCTGATACCAAACCTGCCTCTGTAAAATATTAACAGAATCTAGTAGAGTAATTACCAGTCCACACAGTACTCAGTCATTTCCTTTGCACTTTGTGTACGCGGACTTTAGGTAAACCAGCTTATCATTTAGAGGGAAAAACATATCACATTTCATAGCAGCTCCAACGATGGAGATGTATAATTAAGGGAGCTAAGGATGAATATTAATTTGCCTTGACCTTAACTTGTTGCCAGGAAACTGAACCAACTTTTGATGAAAGTTCTTCCTTTGCAGGCTGTCTGCATGCAATCTACTTGGTGTGTTACAGCTATTGCTGAGTTGAATGGTTTAAAATGTAAAAACTGACACTGTAATACCTTATGTAAATCTTACTCCAACAGATTTGTTCACTAAGTCCGCAGTGAACAAGGAAGTTGTCGGTGTCTTAAAAAAGCTTTTGATTGACCCATGCAGACTAAAAGTCGAAATGAGTAATAAAATTACAGGACATTCTTTCTTTCTCCTGAAACATGGGAACTGTTGTTTCTCTCCATTCTGTTCCTACTTTTTGACCACCGAAGGCTAAAAGGGGCTTTATTCTCTCTGCTCATATTAATTAGAAAACGCGGTCTTTTGAAGGAAGGAGGCACGATAAGACTGGCAAAATCAGACTTACTCGTTTGCAGCTTAACTCAAGATAAAGTGGAGGTTAACTTAACATCACTTAATTTCCCAATCAAAAAATAAAAAAAAAATAATAATTCCTTTCCGAAAACAAACCGCCTCCCAATAAATCAACGAGTTACAATTCTATGCATAGAAAACAAGTAACCATGAGAAAACCATTGTAAAAACCGTAGTTACAGCGAAGTTTACCGATTTTATTTATGGCACATATCGTTTTTCACTTTCATTCAAATAATAATGTGGCCACTGCATGATTAAAGATGCGTCCTAACCGTGTGTGTGTGTTGCGTTGCCACAGTTTTGCACTAAACCTCTCAGGGCTGATGTGTAGTAATGCCATTAGATAGCAGGGAGCGCCACTCATTCACTTCCAGGTGCAGGCCGCAGCGGTCCAGTCACAATTCAACACGAGCCGCTGTCGGCCTGATAAATGCGCATGCGCACAACGTCCGCTCTCCCCCTCCTCCGGTTTCTGCGTGCGGTGCCACGTTAGTAGCTGTGGACGCAAAAATACCAGCAACTCTTCCCCCCACCGGCCTTAAACAACGACAAGCGCCGCACTGACAACAGCTTGGCAGCCGACCGTTCGTCTGCAGCTCCCGTCAATAAGAAGAAGAAGGAGAAGAAAAACACTCGAGAGCAACTATGTGGAAGTTCCTGCTCATCTGCACGCTCGTCGTGGCCGCCAGAGCCGAGGTCGGCGAGGAGGAAGATGTCCTGGTGCTGAAGAAAAGTAACTTCGACGAGGCTCTCCAGACTCACCCCAACATCCTGGTGGAATTCTGTGAGTAAGCCCGCAGCTACGACGTCTTCCCGGGCCAGCCAGCCAGCTAGCTAGCTAGGTAGCGTTAGCCACGTTGAGCCCCGTTTAACGTTAGCAACGGAACTTTGACACTTGTGACAAGTTGCCGCCGTTCGCCGGGGCTAGCTCACCGTTTATCACGAATCTAGCGTTACTTCATCCGGGTTCCCCGGTGGGCCTGCGGCTTAAACCAAGTACAAATGCACGGGGCCATTTTTTGTCCGTCTGCGGGAGACTTGTCTTCCAGTAAACCTGGTGTTGACTAGCAAGTGTCTTCAACCGTTGGACATCTAGACGACGCTCGGCCCGGCGACGCGGAGCGACTCACTTGTATGAATGTCGGCGTTGAATCGGATCTGCGGTGTAGGCCGCGCGGTAACTTGGGTGTTTCGCAGATAACGTTGACTTAAAAACCACCCCGATTGCCTTATGAGGAAGCCCGGCCCGGGCGGTCCACGGCCACCTTTGTTTGCTCTCATGATAAATGACGCTGTGGTAGTAATAATAATATAATAACAGACCACGGCCAGTGACCCCAGAAGGGAGAAGAGTGGAGTACAATGTGATGCTGTGCAATATGTACAATGTGATGCTTCTACGCCTCTTTTTGCTTGCTGTGGTTTCGGGGGTTTCGTGCAGGCCGGACCGCTCGTGCGCGGTCACGTTCGTGCGAATCTTTACACATTTCCACTATTCACGGGTCGTGTGTGCGTGTTTCACAGCACGGGCATACGTGAGTTCTCCTCCGTGGCACGCAGGCCCGCACGCACGCACGAACACACGCACGCACACACGCCACCACACTTTGGTCGTTGACTGTTGTCTTGCTCATATTTTGATTAGACAGCCCAGTGAGCCACTCACAGAAATGGCCGTGGGGGGCATCAGCCAATCAGCTCGAGGTGGGCGGGATGAAGCTTTTTTTTTTTCCTTCCTCCTTTCTCTCTCCACGTATTTGTCCACTGGGCGGGATCTGAGTGGGACGTGGATTTAGGTTGACGTGTACTTGGCGAAAGTTCATCTGTGCACAATAACTATTTATTGTCTAGCATTTCAGGTGATGAAATGCAGGTCAGTTTTATGTGACGTGTCATTACCGATTAGATGATTATCTGCGGTGTCCATAATTTTGTAGAATTGGACACCATGGCTTAAACAAGTATTTTATGCTAACTGGCTTCGGTCAAAAAAAATGTTATCAAACTAACTTCATTAAAATATGTAGACAAATTTACAAAGGGAAAACCTTTTTATAAAACAAGGACAGATGTAAATTACTGTTTGTGTTCCCTGGATATTTTCTAATAATAAAAGTGCTGCAACTTATTTTCATCAGGAGTCTTCCAATAATATTGTATAAAATTTAGTTTGTAACATTTTGGAAGATCCCCAACTCGTTTTTTTCCTGACCACCACTCTGAAATGTTAGTTTTAATGAAATATACTATAGAAAAATGACCAAATCCTCATATTAAAGTAGCTTAGATAAAAGCTATATAATGTTTGACGAACGTGTATAACCGGCATGTATTGGACATTGGTAATTTGCCCATTGACCAATACACTAATAATTTCCTCTCCACATTCTGCTCTATAAGCTGAACAGATTCTTGGTCGAGAGCTTAGACAATCTTTATTTCATGACGTGTTTTTCTATAGATGATCATCCAATCATTGAATTTGGTGATCATTTGTGACGATGATAGCTCATTCGTTTGAAGTGTTTCAATCTTTTTTTTTTTTTTTTTTTTTTTAATAACTTCAATGCAAACATTTGCATGGTACTTTGCTAAATGTCCCCCTGACATGACCTCCTGCAGATGCCCCATGGTGTGGTCACTGCAAGGCCCTGGGTCCAGAGTTTGCCAAGGCCGCCGGCGTGCTGAAGGCCGAGGGTTCAGCGGTCCGCCTGGGTAAGGTGGATGCGACAGAGGAGACCGAGCTGGCACAGGAGTATGGCGTCCGGGGTTACCCCACCATCAAGTACTTCAAGGGCGGAGAGAAGGCGTCACCCAAAGAGTACTCTGGTGAGCATTACTGTGGTTTCTATTCATGCAGACCCCCTCACATGAGAGGTGTTACCTAAAGGTCAGAGGTTGGGGAATGTATGTATTGCACACAAGTGTTTGCGTGGTGTTGTATTAATGAGTAAGTCCTGTCATAGCAAAGTATGCAACTATCAGTTCATAATGTAATCTTAAAGATTCCATAAAGAATCCGCTAGGACTGCCCAAGACAAGCCCTATTGGCTGTTTTCGTCCAGGTAACATGATCTGCACAGCAGCATGAACTCCCAAGTTGTCCAATCAGCTTTGAACAAGCAGACTGCGATGGAATGTGGGCTGGGCCTCCCCTGCACAGTCCCCCCTTGCTGATTCTGAGCCAGAGAAGAGAGATGTGCAGTTCTTCACGTTTCCCCTTCCTGGCCGGTCTGGGCCAGTCTTAAGTTGGGAAGGGAGGGGGGGGAGTGGGTTTGGAATAGTGGTGTAACAGTTAAAAAAAAAAAATCTGAATATGTTTTTAAAAACCTCGGTGACGTATGTGGAAAGCCACATGTTTCGTAGTGAAATTGCTACAGTGTTGCATCACCGGTTCAGTCCGACAGCAAAGTCGTTTTTTTTAAAAGTGGCCGTATTACTCCAAAGAAAGGTAGAAATATTTGACAACCTCACAAAGTTGACATATTATTTTCATTTTATACAATTCACTAACAGTGTTTGGATTTGAAATTGAAAACCAATGAGCAGTTTTGTGCCTGGCCATTTCAACCAAGACTTGTGAACCATCAGAAATGCGGAAGCGCTCTGTGTTTGCACATTACCGTTCATGCTAGAAAAAGAGTTCTTGTGTTCTCTTGCATTGCAGCTGGCAGGCAGGCAGACGACATCGTCGCCTGGCTGAAGAAGCGCACTGGCCCGGCCGTTGTCACCCTCACCACAGTCTCTGAGGCCGAGGCTCTGATCGCTGACAATGAGGTGGCAGTCATCGGATTCTTTAAGGTGATATTCTGATCTCTCACGGTCCAACTATAGATACATTATTAGTCAATCTTGTAGTAAAGCTTCTTCCTTTGTTTTTATTGTGATTTCTAAATATTCTTTGTTCGGACCCTTCACTGGTGATAAAACTGCTTCTTTTTCCATTTGCATACAGTAGGATAACTCAAAATGCAATGCTCAGTTTATCATTTGGCTTTGCCAACATGTATGTTGCTTTTGTCTTATCTAAAGCAAAATTAAAAACATTTTGGTCTACTAAGGGTGTTCTTTATTTCAAATGTATTTCTTGCATTAACTTTGCGGTTATGTTTAGTTGCTTTCAAAACATAGACAGTTTTATTCATTGGAGATCACTTGCACACAGTTTTTTCTTAACGCAAGGGTTTTTTTCAACGCGTTTATAGGATGCTGACTCTACCGGTGCCAAGGACTATGAAAAAGCAGCAGAAACCACAGACGACATTCCTTTCGCTGTGACAAGTGACGATGCCATTTTCTCCAAGTTCGAGGTGTCCAAGGACGGCGTTGTCCTCTTCAAGAAGGTGACTTAAAGTCCTTGAGTTTTTCTTTTAGATGTTGTCATACATAAGCTGCATGCATTGATGTATATTGAAACATACTGTGTGACCACCTTGTTGTTAAATGACATTTCTTGAACTGCAGATTCCTAATTACCTGACATGTGATGAGTGTTTACCCACTGACCCAGTTCTGGTCATATTGTTAATGGGTGTTTTGTAGCTTGGCATTGGCTTATGAAACACGGTCACATGTGAGCGTTTACTGAGAAACTGCTGGAGACACTCCAGTGTTTTTTGATCTCCGCTCTGGTAATGTGATGCTGTCAACCTCCACAGTATCCGCTGTGTATTACTAATCTCAGCGTTTTAGACGTGCATCTTCCCCTTGTTGTCCAGCCTCAGCTTGTTGAGTTATCGGTTGTTGTTTTTTTATGATTTGAATACAGCTATTACTGGCAGAATAGGTCAAGAATTATTTAAGATGAATGAAATTTGATTCAGATCCAGCACATCTGTCAAGTAGAAAGAAAAGAAAAAATCAATTTCCCAAAAGCAAATACGCACTCATCCTCCAGCACGGCCTAAGAACATGAGGACTGCTCGACTTGGAAGCAGTTCAGCATTAGTGGGAAAAAATATCTCATTTGCCACCATGTGCTCACAATGCTCCGCTGTGTCTGCTTAAATATGACCACAAGGGTTCTAGTAACAGGGTTGATTTTAGTCATTTTATATTGTTTATTTAAGTCTTGTATTTTTGTTGTTGATGGGCATCATTGTTTGTGGCATTAAATATTTGAAGCAGATCCAATAATTCATCCCCAGCTGCTTTCAGCTAGTGAAAAGGTAAACTCTGTACCTAACCATGCTTTTCTGCTCTCCATCCTTTGAGTTATGGATGATTTTCTTTCATTTTGGCACATGGACCAAGGCTCAGTCCTCCCACTGCCATTGTCTGGCCCCTGATCCATGTTGATATCTCTACCCTGAAACAAAGACCACTGACATGTGGGGTTGTTGTTGTTCCAAAGCTGGTGCTTTGTCACAAATAAACAGCTGGAGTCTTTCACTTGTTTAGTGCAACAGTGTTTGAGGCTTAAGTTCCCTGGCTTTGGTCGGTGCCCGAGAGGCTGGCGGCATGCCAATGGCCAAATGTCCTTTTTCCCGTTGTATTGCTGGTAAGGGCTGCTATTCTTATCTCCTAATGAAAGTCTACCGGGAGATACTTAAGTGGTTTGTCCGGTAAATCTGTTTGGTGTTCACAGGCAAACTAGGTGGGTGGATGAAAAGTGAACCGCTATTTTTCCTTTTCACAGTTTGATGAAGGGCGCAATACCTTTGATGGAGAGCTGACCAAAGAGAACCTCCTGGCTTTTGTCAAGACCAACCAGTTGCCTCTGGTTATTGAGTTCACAGAGCAGGTAGAGACCATGCACCCCAACACAACCAATCCACCTCTTTCCCACACTGTCCCTGACGATAACAAGTACAAGTATTACCCTCACATGTCCCATTTTAATATCTTTTTGTCTTCAGACCGCTCCTAAAATCTTTGGAGGAGAAATCAAGTCTCACATTCTGATGTTCCTGCCCAAAACCGCTTCAGACTTCCAGGACAAGATGGACCAGTTCAAGAAAGCAGCAGAGGGATTTAAGGGTCAGGTGGGTGAACAGTCTCAAATCACCTTGCATGCAGTGGTCTTTAACCCGTCATGTATAAGTAGTGTGTGCAGAATACAAGTCTAACACTATTTTGGAAGATTCGTGAAGAAAGAATCAAGTAATAACCCCCTCACCCCCCCGTCCCATTCCAGATCCTGTACATTTTCATTGACAGTGATGTGGACGACAACCAGCGCATCCTGGAGTTCTTCGGCCTGAAGAAGGAGGAATGTCCTGCAATCCGCCTCATCACCCTGGAGGACGAGATGACCAAGTACAAACCCCAAAGTGATGCCATCACATCAGAGGCCATCATCAGTTTCTGCAAACAGTTCATTGATGGCAAACTCAAGGTGAAGGCCGAGGAGTGATCCCTTATGCCACAACACCTGTGTTACAGATACACTTTGGTAATACAGTTCATTTTTCTCTCACAGCCCCACCTCATGAGCCAAGACATCCCTGAGGACTGGGACAAAAACCCAGTCAAGATTTTGGTCGGCAAGAACTTTGAGGAGATCGCCTTCAATCCTTCCAAGAACGTCTTTGTTGAATTCTGTAAGATCCTCGTTTTATCATTTTTTTTGTTGTCAAAGCACAGTTGCTCTTACGTTGGGGGGGTGGAATGGTTTCTAGCTGAAGGCATTCTCCATATTGACCGGCGCTCGGCTCTTTTCAAAGGCCAATGGTTGAGCCTGCATGGGGCATGTTCATAGTGAGTTTGTCTGCTATACATTGCAACAAGTTGTGCAGCCCTGTGGGGAAACTAACTCAAAAGTCTTCAATGGTCAATATGTAAATGAGCTGAAGCTAATCCACGTGTGAAATCATTTGAATTCAACTACTTTATTGTGTTCTAGATGCACCTTGGTGTGGACACTGCAAACAGCTCACGCCCATCTGGGAGAAGTTGGGGGAGAAGTTTGTGGACAGCGCTGACATCATCGTGGCTAAGATGGACTCTACAGCCAATGAGATTGACTCCGTCAAAGTCCACAGCTTTCCCACTCTAAAGTTCTTCCCTGCAGGAGAAGACCGCACGGTGAGTGTTACAATGGTGTTAGACCTTATTTCTTTTTAAGACTTTGGAATTGTGGGTTGTATTGATCTTTAGGGTTTAATTTGGATCCCAAATAATTCCCAATCATCATTAGTGCCTCTTGATTTAGCAGCGCTCACAATATGCTGAAATCTGAGCTTGCTGGCCTCGAAAGCTACCCCCTCATTGATGCTCCATCCTTCACTTTAGCAATCTTAACTGGGTGGTGTATATATTGGACCCGTCTCTTGGTAAATCCGAGGATTAGCCTGTGACCCCACTCAGATTCTAAATAAGGATGGCGGTACGGTGGTGCTTTGTCGCAGGTCATTATGGCCAGATTTAAATTTTATGGACAGCACCAACGTTTATTGGCTGCTTTTAAAGAAGGTTTGGAGCAGAGACTAAGAGCTTTTTTGTTTCTGAAATGAAACTCATGCATATGTGTTTGCCTTGTTCTTTTGTTGTGGAGATTAAGACACGATCTTGGACATTTATCAGAGCTGTGTTGAATCAATAGGTGATTGACTACAACGGGGAGAGAACACTTGAAGGCTTCACAAAGTTCCTTGAGAGCGGCGGTAAGGACGGCGGTGCCCCTGCAGGAGATGACGATGATGACGAGGATCTGGACCCCGAGGTAAGATCTTCTTAACTGCGTTTCATTCACACACTTTACAAAATCAATGCTGTTACAGCCAAGTTGTAGCGTTAAAAGAAGAATGAATCAAGCTCATGGAAGGAGCCGTCTGAGTATTAATGAATGTATTGATGCTCATTAGATCCACCCGTGTTTTTCTGTTGATACCAAATAAAAGAAGCTGTACGCTCAGACAAAACCTGCTTTGTTTAGTTTATGTAGCGATACCTAAAACCAGACGGGACATATTCATATTGAGAGGCAGCCGTGAATGAGAGAAACTGGAGATGACCGGGACCAGAACAGCTGCTGCTACACTGTAACTGCAGCATGAAGTTTGGAGGCTCAATGTTTGCTGGATTAGTTCCGGGACTGATTCATATTTTCGGGAATGGTTTCATTAACCAAAGTTTCTTGGTTTTCAATAAACAGAGTTCTTGCACGTTTCTCGCGTACTATATATGGCTAGATGTTTATCTAAATTAATGGTTTTGATCCAACTACCAACATGTAGACTGGATGCTGCTTACTGTTGTGTAGCTAAATATTTCCCGACGATGTTGCTAGGACACAAAGGCTGGCGATGAGCAGTATTAAGTGACTTTTCTTCAGCTGGATCCTGTGGCGAATAAGCTCTACTGTTGCTGTGAGCCGCTGCAGCTGTTCGCTTTTTCCGGGGCTCTGCCCGGAGACCTGCTGGGAAAAAAATGCATTCTGCAGTCAACATCAGAGATTCCTGTATCTGACTTTCCTCCTTACCATCATGTCCTCAGACCAGACATAACGGGAATTGTTTGGCAAAATGGAAGATAATCAGTGTGCCAAACTGTATTTGTCACTACGTTGATCAGAGAACAATATGGCTGCATAATCTCATGGAAACATTGTAATACAGCCGGTGATTAGGCGCTGTATGCTGTTTAACGTTTACATCTACATTGTGTAACTTGCAGATAAAGTTGCTTTTGCGTTAGGGCATTCATGTCTGCTGCAACAACTCATATTTTGTTTTCAAAGATCCCAAATGCAACCAGTAGACCAATGCAGGATGAACCCTCCGTGAGGCTAAATTCAAATTAGCTGACATCTGATTGGACTAGACCCAGCAAGTCTGTCTGAGCTGGAGATAGTTTGACTGCAGGAATGACAGCTGCTTTATTAGATTGCAGCTATTATTATTATTATTATTATAGCCGCTTACTAGCATAGCATACTGCACCATACTAAAACCACAGGTGTATGGTTAGTCTACAACACTCGTGCATTCACTATGAAGTAGACCTGCATGCTTGACGCCGATTGAGATTCAGTCTTGATAAACGGCACTCTTCTCCTCTGCTTTTCAGGATTTGGATGGTGTGGACGAAGGACAGGGCACGGACTCTGATGGTGAGGGCGATGAACATGACGAGTTGTAAGAGCCTGTTAAAGGTGAGAATGAGAGGAGACGAGTCCCGCCCCAACCCTTCCAACAAGTCACCATCACTACAGTCACTTCCTAGTGGGCCTTCCCTGTCCTGTGAACATTAATACTTCCGCTTAAACTGCTTGTCAGCAGCCTGCCTCCTGGCCGGCCCACCAGTTGGCCAGTCAGTCCATCGTGGCATGGTAGGGCCTTTTTGCCGGCCACATTTCCAAACCTGGACCAGACTTGTCATGTCCCACCTTGGGACTCTGTGGAACAGCGCAACACCTCTATGGGAGACCTCAATGCCTTCTCTACAAAGCTCCACATCAGCTGTCTGCCTTGTATATTTTAAACCAAATGTAAAAATGGCATTGAGATGCAGTTTTCAAAACGGTTGGTTATTTTTCTGTTGACTTTGCTTCCCTCTTTAAAAAAAAATTTAAAAAAATACCCTTGTTATTGTTCAGTTTGGGTATGAGGTAATTGGTATTTTTAGGTAAAAGTGGGAGGGGGGGCTGGCAATGTTCTTTTTTTCCCAATGATGGACATCCAGAGGATTTTTGTGGTTTGTTGGCAAGGATGGCTCTCTCAGGGGACATGGGGACATCTTATAATTTGTTTATTTTGCAATGTCTTCATTAAAATAAACCCAATAGAGCTTGTCCAGTGTAGCACAAAGGACCCACCCCATCTGTAGCTGAGACCAATTATCTATCTTGTTAGGTGAGAACGCTCTTTTCATTTCTTCATTCCCAAATAATGTCTCTGTTGTCTCATTTCAGCATGGCTACTGACTTCATTTTTCTTTTCTTTTTTTTTTCTTTTTTTGAAAGAAACACTTTTTGTGAGAATTTTATTTAATTGCTTTCACTATGAGTTTTTCATATTCTTTTGTTATTAAGGACTCCTTTTTAACAGTGTACCATTGTAGCCAGCTGGCCCTTGGACACACTCTCAGACTTGGGATGTTTTTTGGAGCCAGTTCTGATAGGTCGCACTGCATTCATGCCTAATCAGAGATTCGCTGTGGTCGCTAAAGACCGGTTGGTACAGTTTACTCGTCTGGTTGGTTTGAGAGAAGCGTCTGTTATATCTGAAGTGGGAGGAAACAATTGCACAGCCCCAGCCCTCACGTGTACTGTACCTCCTGCACCCCTTCGACTCTACACAACACCCTTTTTTGCCGTGCGTGTGCGTGTGCGTGTGCGTGTGTGTGTGTGTGTGTGTGTGTGTGTGTGTGTAAAAGAGACTGCCGAGTGTGCTGTGTGAACGTATGGTGTATGACAAGTTCATATTTTGTGGTTGTCTACGAAAAGGAGAATAAATGTGCTGGTTGTTTGGCATGGAGGGGAGGCTTGAGAAGAGCTAGATGATGGGTTTGACGGCTACAGCGGTGGGGGAAACTTAATATAACATTCCATCATATCCAAATTAATGTGGAAAACGTGAAATGGTGGCCAATAAATAATTAAAAAACATTGGAAAAATGTGTCTTCAGTTATGTTTCTTTTTTCCCTCCTGTTGAAGTGCATCTCTAGATGAACTACATTATTGCACACATGAACCAGGTATGGTCCAATGCCTTTGCACTACATTGGAACTTTTCTTTTCGTACGGATATAGAGCTACTTAGAACCCTTTTTTTAATGTCTGTTCCATGTCTCAAAAAACATTTTGGGTTTAAGTTTGAAAGTCAAGTAACCGTAGCAGTAATTGCTAATGGTTTGCTAGTGACCTGACTCTGGTGTCTTGTCCGTTAACAATTTTGGTCCTTAACCCAGAGGAGGAATCTCACTGACTCGTGATCCTTACTTTTCATCAAGCACCATCATCCTTTACTTTGACCTAATACCTGCGAAGCTAATCATCTTCTTCCCATTCCTCAGCTGTACTTTATTGTGCCAATTTAAACAAAAATAAGAGATAAATATTGTACCTGCTAATTCCAGCAGGCTGAGGTTTAGCAACGTTTTAAACTTGTAGAACAGTGGTTCTTAACCTGGGTTCAATTGAACCCCAGGGGTTCGGTGAGTCAGTCTCAGGGGTTCGGTGAGTCAGTCTCAGGGGTTCGGTGGAGGTGAAGACACACACCCGACTCATATGATTTGTGATTACACGCCCCGCTTGGCCATCATTGGCTGCAGGTGATCACGCAACATCGCTTGGCCTATCTGTGCTGCAGGGAATTTGGCGCGCTCGGTAGTCAAATTGTGACTATCGTGATGGTACGTCGTGTGATTTCTTTCTTAATATTTTAATCCCTTCATACTAACTATGTCGAGCAAAAAAAGAAAGTGGTCGGACGAATATGTACAATATGGATTCACATGTATAACGGAACGTGATGGGAGTCAGCGTCCTAACTGCATGATTTGCAATGCCAGGTTGAGCAATTCTAGTCTAGCACCGGCAAAACTAAGAACACTTCCTTAAGCTGCATGGAGATGGACAATACAAGAACACAACGCTTGCTGAATTCAAGGTGAAGAAAGGCAGATTTGATGAAAAGGCTACTCTGCCTGTTCTCTGCTTTGTACCCATCAACAAACCGATCCTCACAGCATTGTACGAAGTTGCTTACCTGATCGCAAAGCAGGGCAAACCACACACCATTGGTGAAACACTCATAAAACCAGCTGTGTTGAAGATGGCGAATATCATGCTGGGAAAAGCGGCTGAAGTTCAGTTATCCCAAATTCCTCTTTCAAATGACACCATCAGCGACAGAATAGATGACATGAGCAAAGACATCTTGGCTCAAGTAGTTGCAGATCTGATTTCAAGCCTGGCAAAATTCAGCCTTCAACTGGACGAGACCACAGACGTTTCCAATCTAAGCAAGCTTGCTGTATTTGTGCGCTATGTGAAAGACAACGTGATAAAGGAAGATTTTTTTTTTTTAAGCCTCTTACGACAACAACTAAGGCAGCCGATGTGAAGAAACTTGTGGATGACTTCAAAGACAACAATCTTTCGTGGGATATGGTTTCTGCAGTTTGTTCGGACGGAGCTCCAGTCATGCTGGGAAGAAAGTTTGGTTTTGGTGCGCTAGTGAAAGCCGATGCACCACACATCATTGTTACTCATTGTATTCTGCACAGGCATGCGTTGGCAACAAAAACCTTGCCTCCAAAACTGGCAGAAGTATTAATTGTTTTAATGGTTTTGTTCTTTGAACACTGATGTTGATGCACGGTTCATTTTGTGCACCAGTAAAATATATACCTTTGTTTTGAATTGTATTTTTCCAATTAAGAAGAGTTCGGTGAATGCGCATATGAAACTGGTGGGGGTCAGTACCTCCAACAAGGTTAAGAACCACTGTTGTAGAATGTAAAACCTCAAAAGTACACTGTCCTCAATTGAAGGAAGTATTCCATATTTGGCGTTTGGTGTATATTTATACTTTGATTGATATACTTTATTTGTTTCATCGCCAATTTCCCACCACTGGTAAAGACGTAGAGAGTCGTTTTGGAAATGACCCTTGTGTCTCGCCTGTGATTCAGAGAAGTATCTTAAGATGACACAAGTGCAGTAAATGGTAAACAACCTACACACGTCGCTTGACGGCTTGCACCAAAACAGTGATACGGGAAGCTTCCAGACCGACCCCTCATCTCTAGGGATGTCACCGCTATTTTTAAGTGGTGTGTGTGTGTGATGGTGACAGCAGAGGTTGCTGGCTGTCTGGAGACACTGGAGTTGTGTCAGGCTTGTTGCGTGCTTACAGGCGATATCTGACCAGAGCGCTTCTCATCTTCCAAATTTCGCCACTGGCTCTGTGTGGTGTCGCGTCTTAAAATAGCCAGGCGAAAAGTATAAAAGGCCTGACACGGGGAGGCTTGTTGATAGACGGCGAATCACCAGACCGCAACTGAGCTGCTCTGAGAAGCAGGCTTGATCTCTGCAGGACTACGATTGACCTCTTCTGCTCAGATTTTTAAGACTTGAAGAAAGTCAAACTTAAAATTTGTAAGGGTATTGCTGTTAGGGTATTTTTTTTTTCCACGATGAAATACTTCCATTGCCCCATATCTCAAACTATGGGAATCGAGGCCCGGGACTGTGGCATCCTGGTCACCTGCAAGAAGGCTGCTTCTCTGAAGCCCCTCCGCAGTGTGCACTTCCCCAATGACGTTGTTTTCCTGGATTATATTCGACAAGGGGAGCTGGAGAGGATTGGACTTTTCATACGAGCCAGAAGAGTTAACCTGGACACCATCTACCATTCTGGTAAGAGCCCCCGCAGCATTTACATCACCCTGATATAGTAAATCTTTGTGCGGTTACACATCCTTTTTCAACCCCAAAATGATTCATTTCTAAACTGATGGGTTATTTTTCCCTTCCCGGTCATCGCAGGCATGGCCGCCATACACGAGGCCGTCCTGTCCGGGAACCTGGAGTGTGTGAAGCTGCTGGTCAACCACGGAGCCGATGTCCACCAGAGGGACGAGGAGGGGTGGACCCCACTGCACATGGCCTGCAGCGACGGCTTCCCACACGTTGCACGGTATACAGTATTCTTTATATATGTGTACAAGGATGTAGAAACCAAGGCAACCACCAAGTGTATTACATTGAGTAAGATTGCATTATATTAAGTTTTACAAGGAATATTGCTAGTTAAGAGAAGCTGGCGGATTTGCTACATTCTTGCACCGCACTGACCTGAAGTATAGCAGACGCTTGTATTGCCTTTGCCAACGTGCCAACATTTGTGCCCTTTCAGTAAGCATGTTGTATTGTGTTCCTTCCAGCTACCTTCTCGAGCTGGGCGCCGACCCCGAGCTGGAAAACGACTGCGGGGAGAAACCGTCTGACCTCATCGACCTGGACAACAGGGAGCTGTTGGAGCTCTTCGGGCTGGCCGTCGACGACTGAAAACATGTGACTTTAAAAGCCACAAGCTCAGCTGGAGCCAAGCGTCCGGTCAATCGACTGTTCTACGGCGATCGACAGAAGAGGCCACGTCAGTCCAGCCATCTGATTGGGCAAAGCAGCCTCGGCTCTAGAGGTCAAAGACTCTGGATGTGTGGTGGAAAGAGGGCTGCTGGAGCCCGTCGGCTAACTCCAGACGGGAGAGAACTTCTGCTGGCAAAGGGCTTTACCTGAACTGCATCAGTAGAGTGTTGTGGAAGAGCTGCCGGCCTTTTGGTACTGCAATGAAGTAAATTGAACATTTTATTTTATTTTTTTATTGGGTTGTTGATGGAATTGTGTTTGTTTTGTGAAACTGTTTCACTGTCAGCTCATTAGCACCTCTCTGAAAACTAAGACAATCTTTTCATAGCTGACAATTACAAAACCATGTATTCTCTCCTTCAGACCACTTTCAACTTTATTCAGTAGTTTGTAAAATGACTTTTTATACTTGTCTTTTCAAATAAAACGTACATTAAAAAGACAATTGATGCACCATTTCAGTCGGTTTATAACTCACCTGTCCGTTAATGTTTTTTACTTGAATTATTTTATGGTCTCAAATCAACGTTTTTTGCAGTTTGTCTGCTGTGATTTAAAATGTATGTTCGTTCCAGGTGCCTCACCTGACACCTACCTGCTACTTAAATCCCTTCACCATGACACAGTGCCCCCTAATGTCAGCCAAGAATGAATGCAACGACTATAGGTAACAAAATAATAAAACTAAAATACCATTGTCCTTAAATGAGGGACTAAAACATATCTTAAGTGAACGTTTTTATCAGTTGGAGATCAAAATAGATGAGTGAATATTGAACTTTCATTAATCAGGTGGCCAGAAATTACTCCATATGTTGACGTCTGTCTGGTGGGGTGAATAAATAGATCCACTTTAAAAGGTACAAAAGTTTGTCTGGACATTTACATACATTTTATAAAACATTTCATTTAAAAAAAAACCCTCAAGAATCTTGACCCATATTACTGAAGAAAGAAAAATCTTCAGTCAAGAGATTCAGGCAGCTTCAAAGACTCTTGAGTTATCAACCATACTGATGAAACACTTTGTCACTAAGGGTACTGTGAAAAGCATGAGGCATACAAAAGTAGGTTTATTCTATTTAATCACATACTAAATCCGTCAAAAGAATAATCAAGTTCTGAATGTCCTTTTGGATTACATCAGATAAGGAATACAAAAACAGTTATGTACAGCTGGTATAAAAATGAAATCCAAGAACAGCCCTCAGCGAGTCTCTGAGTTTCTGCAGGCACCTTGCGTTCATTCTTTGAACTTCCACTCCTGTCGACACATGGGGCACTGCTGCTGGACCTGCTGGGAGTTCAGCCATTTCAAGATGCAATGCATGTGGAAACAGTGGGAGCACTGACCCCAGACCAGTGGGCAGTCATCCCCCGGCACTTTACCTGTAAAATAGGGTCAGTATTACAATTCAGTTACATCAGTGAGAAAAGAATGGTACCCATCAGTACTCATTTAATACAATGCATATTATGTCTTTGTTAAGGCATCAGTCGTTTTACTATTACAGCTTAAGCGTTAAAGAGAAAAGGGTATTCATAATGTATTATGTTTATAGGTGTGTTAGATTGAACTTTGCATTATACGTTATTAGTCCATCACTTTACATGATCTCATTTATGATCAGTGTGTTTTCCCAACTAACTGTAACTGATCATGCAAAGATGATGGATAATTGGGAAAGGGAAAGCCCCAGTACATCCACATGTAACGAACTGATGGAGTTGCCGCTGCAGGAGGTTCTGGACTCAAAAGAAGCAGCAGCCTGGAACCGGTGTCTGGTTAATGCCAGACACGTAATAAAAGCACAACATCACGTAAGTTTGTCTACTCACAGTCCGGGCAGCAGCCATTGAAAGGCATCCTGCAGATCCCACAGTTGTCATCATTAGCCACCCATAACCAAGAGGCCACTCCGTTCCACTGTCGGATCTTTACCTTCATCGTGCGGTCTGACAACAGAAGAAAACTCAGTGACTCTCTCCCAGAAGGACCACGGCAGCTAACGTTAGCATGTGAGCTAATGCTAACAAGTGACTTGTGTAGCTACCCGAGCAGAATTATCAGCCAACTTACTCGTCGGCGTAGAACTTCTTCAAATGTTCAACACAATTTAGGTTATTGTGTTTCCACGCAGCTTAGAAATCATGATGTGCACAGTTTGATGCTGATCAAGAGCATGCAGCTGATACTTTAGGAAACCGGAGAGAATTTCTTCTTCTTCTGTTGGAATTACAGCCGGCTGTAAACTCGGCGGCTGAACGCCGCCCCCCAATGGTCAATTTAGGTATAGCGCAAATAAATTAGACAAGTTCGTTTGTTGTCCAGAAAACAAGGTATTGAAATAATAATAACATGTTTTTCATGTCAACCTGCTATCACCTCTCAAGTATTAAAATATTACCTATATATATTTATAACAGAATCCATTGTATGCCAACCTGTTTCATAATGGCAGGTACACAGTCACTAGTCTCGGCGAGTGCTTGTTTGCTCTTGAATACATTGTTTTATTTGTATCTGTCACTTCTTATGAATTCATTAATTAGGACCACAAACATATAATTTACGACAAAACGTGTATTTTATTAATGTAGGATACAAACCTCTTTACCTCTAAAAACACCGCTATTATTTACACAAATCTGCTACTTTAATTAACTGGGTGGAAATTGTCAATACAATTTTTGTAAAAGAAAAAAAACGAAAAGAGGCGGTACTTCCGCTATGTCGTCACTTCTGCAAAGTATTTATATCACTTCCGCTAAACGTAACACCGCGCCACCGGAGAAAGCAGCCGATAAACAACCGCGTTTTCTCAACGGAAAGGTTCTTTGTTCGCCCTCGGCCCACAGCACAGCCATCACGATGGCTGACAAGATGAGTATGTCTCTGGACGACATTATCAAGCTGAACAAGAAGGGAGGCAGCGGTCGCGGAGGACGGTCGTCTGGCGGGCAGGGTGGAAGTTCAGGTCGGGCCGGTGGATCGTCAAGGCCGATGCGGAGTCGTCAGAACAACTTCAACCGAGAAAGAAACACCAGATCGGAACCGTACACCAGGGTATGAGAGAGATACGCCGGTACAATGGAGCGGAAACTGAAATTAAAATGGCGCGTTGTTTTTAGAATTCCTCCTTCGTGCCTTTTTTTTGTCGTCAACTGTTAGCTTCTCCACCGAACCTAAAGCGCGAACGACATATATCCTCATTACTTACGTTAGTTACCCGAATTACCACAATCATACGCCGCTTGATGTACATTAACATTGAATGGCGAAATAACCCCCCCACCGTTGTTTCAAACTTTGTTTCGGAAACAATAGTTTCCAAGTAAGCGTCAATTAAACATGTCACCATGTGAGACTCGCGCAGGATGGGGATTTGCAACATGGCTGCTTTGTGTCCGAGTCGGTGCCTTTTTAAAAAGTTGTCCTGTGTTTTGACGAGGATTTGCTTTTGGTCGCAATTTGTTCAACATTAAAATAAAACTATCGTTATACGTTTGAGTTTATTTAGATGCTTTCTTGATTTTGACCACAAACGTGTAATTAAATCCTCAAAAGCTGTAGTCATTGTTGTACCACGACACTAACGATAATTCATTATTTAAAATGTCCGTGTGCATAGATGTATGCACACACAGTGGCATCTATCTTTTTACAAAAAAATTTAAATTTATTTTTATATAACTTTCTCCATGTTTTCCATTTTAAGGTGACTTCAGTTTTGTTTTTGTCTTATTCTAACAGCCCCGGGAGTTGCCAGACAAATGGCAGCATGACATGTTTGAGGAGCACGCTGGTGGGCACAGAGGACAAAGTGCAGTAGCAGAAAGAAGTGTAGGTGTAGACGACAACGGCAAGCTGCTGGTTTCCAATCTGGACTTTGGCGTTTCTGACTTGGATATCAAGGTAATTTCTTTTTTAAAAATCCTGCATACCTTACTTTGCGAACATCAACGTGTTGTGTACATGGCTGACGTTTCTACTTTGATCCCCAGGAATTGTTTGCAGAATTCGGGACGTTACAGAAAGCATCTGTACACTACGACCGTTCTGGTCGCAGTAAAGGAACCGCAGATGTCCATTTTGAAACCAAGGCGGAAGCACTCAAAGCCATGAAGCACTATAACGGTGTCCCACTTGATGGTGAGGATTCCTTTTTTCATTTTACAATAGAAATGTCATACTGTGGTTGCTTTCATGAGGTGCTCATGTTTTTGTGTATTTTGTTTTTTCAGGCCGCCCCATGAAAATCCAGCAAATGACTTCCGAAGTCGACATCGAGAGTAGACCTTCTACGCAAAGGTAGGCGATGTGGAAAGGGCCGTGTAGTTAACGTTTGGGGCGCTTAGTTATTGGGCATAATTGTTTTACTACCAAAAAATGTCTGGCTGCAGAACTCTGGCTTTATCTGTCTGGGCCTTTCATAATCTTTTAACGGGCCGTCATGTTTTTAGTTTAAGATGCAATTGGTTTGAGTAAGCCCCATCCTTCACTACTAAGACCAAGGAAACTCCTACAACGACAATATTTTTATTCTACTGTGGCAAGTAGTCCTGTTGTATTATGCAATACAACTTCACGTTTTTTTTTTTTTTTGCCGGTGTCTTAAAATACTGATCTTTTTTTCAGTTCAAACAAAGGGTTTGACCGCAGTAGACTTGGACAGCCAAAGTTTGAGAGGAGTGATCGGGATGACAGGGGGGACCGAGGTGAAAGGAGGCAACGTGGCGGCGGCGGCGGTTTCAGAGGTCGTGGACGAGGAGGCGGAAACAGACCCCAACTTTCAGCAGAGGAGTTGGATGCCCAATTGGATGCTTACAATGCAAAGGTGTGTATTTGGCTTGTGATTAAGTTTTTTTTTTTTTTTTTATACTTTTACCATACTGTGTTTTACAATTTATGTTCTCTTGTCTAAATTTCAGATGGACACCAGTTAGGAGCGTCTAAAAGGAAGATACTTCTGTCCCCTTTTGTTTAATTTCAAATGATTATGATCAGACTTAATTAAACTTGTCCCATTTTTAGAAAAACATTTTATTGTATTGGCCATTATATTCAGTTTTTTTAATGTTTTTCTTTTCCATGTCATGCTTTGGGATTTTTTTTAATTACATAAACATGATTTCAGTGGTTGGACAGATGTGATGTGTAATGTTAATGTGATGCAGTTCTGTATTTTGGTACCGTATACTTGACATGAACATATTTCAAATGGTTTTGTACATAAATAATTACATGGAGCGGTTTTTCTGGTGTTTTTTTGAGTACTCTGCCTGGGAATAAAGCCCTTTGCCCTTCATTGACAGATTTTTGCCCCTCCCCTTTATATTTCATAATACATCAGCTGCTGGATCATCTTTAGCAGATCAGCTGCCTCTGGTATTACCAGACTAAATTTCTTTAGTAAATATCCATTTTTACCATGCACTTTAAAGCATTTGTTTCATATCTTAATACTTTCTTGGTTCTGAGAACCAGTACTATAAACGTTGGGTAAATAATTGCTGCAAAAGAGAATGCAACTAGTACTGAGCTAGGTTTTGCTTCTTTGCCTTTGGATTTTGTGACATGTCTTGCTTTGTAGGAGATCTTTTCAATGATCGATGCCAGAGATGGCCTTGAAAGGAAAGTTCCTTCAGCTTTGTGCTACCAGCTCTTGACACGGCTCAAAACTGGAGTGCCTTAGATAAGTCTGGAGGAAGGAAGGAATAAAGGATCTCAAGTACAACATTAAACATTGTCTTAACTCCTTAGATATTAAGTCATTATTTTATTGAAGTCAGTTACATTATTTTTAATATTTGAAAGCCATTAAAGCAGTACCACGTCCAAACCATTTAGTTAAAAAAAATTCACTTAAGTTTTCAAGTGATTATCGGTTAGCAATGCTATTGTGGTAAACAAAAGGGTGGTTAAGTACATTTTGATGGTCTTTTTCTTGCTTGTACCTCGGACATCCAAATGAGAAATGAGTTCATCTGAAAGCAGTCAGACTTCTCTGCGTTTGCCTCCGTTGATATCAGTTGCAGCCGATAATTTTGACATGGTGCATCGACTGGAAGAAATTCTGATGCAGTGGTATAAAATTGAGCAGGTCGGTAAAATTAAGTTATTACTCAACCGCCAAATTTATGTGAACAGAATCAGGTTTTCTCCCAGTATTAACAGTGAGAGAACAAGAACTTTGCACAAAACACATGTAAATTGTTAATGGTAGATCTATATTTGGAAATGTTAAAGCATATCACTTACTGAATGGACTTCATTGTAGATGGGTTGATGGAATCGCTGCCCTGGAAAAGGAAATTGAAACATCTGTCTATAATCAGGTCCCGATAGAAAGTGATCAGTTAAGGAAAGCGGTTGATTCTGCAGGGCCACTAAGTGAGTTAGAACATTGGAAAAACATGTTACGGTTCAATTCCATCATCACTCACATCAAAGGCCCAGAGTGGAAGGCAGTGGTAATGGTGCTCTATATCAGCCATTCCAAGATCATGAAGGTACGGGGGCTTGAGGGTCAAACTTAAACAATCCGCAGCTCTATTTCTGCCCCATCAAGAAACCGAGGCGAACAGACCTGAATTACATTACAGCAGTGGTGTTGCCGACCATGAAGTCCGAGTCCCCAGATCACTGGATCATGTGTGGGGTTGCCTGCTCTGTGACATCAAATAAAACACAGCTGTCCATTGTTGCTTAAAGGAAAAATACAAATATTTTCAATCCCAAATGCCTGTGCATAAGTGTGTGTACATTATATATATATATATATATATGGTATTTTTACAGTTAAAATATGTATGTCCTGCTATATGACAAACAATCTGGTAGCATAAAGGTATGAGTTTCTCTTTTAAAGCATTTCATTTAATTAGTATTAATTTAGTATCAGCAGTGAATTGGCCAGGTAGGATGAGTGACCTCTCAAATATTGCAATTAAATTACATGTTCATTGTATTGTTGTACACAATCACTCTGCTGGGGTCTAAATGCTGTTGCTTGTTAGTCATCTCCATAACTATGAAACATTCTCTAGAGTTCTTTTCACTCTGGGAGGAAAGAGGAGGACGAAAAATGGTCACCAAAAGCACATTTAAGGGAAAAAAAAACTAAAATTGATTGATAGAATTCTGTACCAGCGTCAAACTAAACGCTAACACGCTTTCCTATTTGCCGTTGTGTTTTGCACTTCAGGGCCACCGTACAGTGTTGGCAAGTGCCCTGAAACACAACAAGTTAAGATACTAGTAACCAGGCAAGTTATCTTTGCATACATCATCCCATAGCACCAACTGATGAGAGGAAAGGAACCTTCCACCGACCACTTTTCGCACTGGCTCTTATTTGGAAGCCCGTTCCAACACGCTCCTACCGTAAACCCAAACACGTACCCGCACGGCGGAATGACGCGCGTCTACCTCGACTGGATCGAAGTGGAGGCCGAACCTGCCCGCAGCTTATGACTAATGTAGGCGCAGAGTTGCATATGCAATTTGTCAATTAGCCAGCTTCCTTGATCGTGTGCAAACAATCGTCTGTTAGTGATAATAACTACAATCCCGCTCAAACCGCTGTTCCATTGGCTCGGCACCAGTGACGTAGTAAACCTTCCGTCCCTTGACGTAACCTCGACGTTGTCCCGGAACCGAGCTGCGCGCGCAGCCGCCTGGGCGGGGCCCTTCCCTTGTTCGCCATACTTGCTCGGGAGCGCCGGGTAACAGACGGGCACAGCGCCACTGCAAAGGCACCTGGAACCACGACCGCGTTGAATAAAAGGTAAGTGACATCCGTTTAGAGCACCGCTCATAAACGACCCGTCGCGCGACGTTGAAGCCTTTTCGGTGTCACTCCCGGTCTCCGGTGCGCGGTGGTGACTTGCTAGGCTAACGTTAGCCACGGCATCTGGTTAGTGCGGAACAATTGTTCCCGATTGTTCCCAGCGAGACAGCTAGCCACCCCTCTCTCTCTCTCTCTCTCTCTCTCTCTCTCTCTCTCTCTCTCTCTCTCTCTCTCTCTCTCTCTCTCTCTCTCTCTGTGTATGTATGAATATATATGAGGTAGTAATAATTACTGATCCTCCTTAAAACACATGAGCAAAAGGAGAAAACCGCATTTCTTTTGTTTACATCGCCAACGTATTCTTTTCCTTTGACATGTAACTGATGATTGTAACAGGACAGGACAGGGAGGGCTGCTTCCCTGCAGTTTGCTCTTTCGTTTGACTCCGAAAATAGATTTGACAGGAGAAGCTCACTTTCAAAGCCTTTAGGAACCGGTGCAAGCTGTGTGATGGGCTCAGTGCCCTTTGGAGGATCCCACGTTCTGTTGTGCAAAGCACTGCAGCTCATTTTCAGATCAAAGGAGGTTTTTAGTCAGAAATGTCCTCATCTACTTTGCTCTTTCGTTGAATGACCCATTCCCTGCCGCCTGCACAGTCCTTTCCATTCCTCTAATCCAATAATCCAGTAACAAAATCCGCGCCGCAACTAAACCACAGACTAATCATCAAATTGTGCATTATCTTCTTTAAAATAATCAATCTCAGAATCCTAGAAATCCCAGAAAATCGATGCAACCAGTTAAGTTTACTCTTAAGCATATTCATATTTCGCGACGCTTCTTTGTCACTTGTCATCCCTTCGTTCAGGAGGTTGGGATTGGTGTGTAACGGGGAGCGAAGGAGGTTTTTTGGACCCTGCTCTGGCGCGTTTATGTTTGTGACGGCTGCTAGTTTGGGCAGTTTTAGAGGATACACTTGTTCAGACAGTGACAATCACTGCTGCCTTTACAGATGTCCACAACAGCCTTATGGGTTAAAGTTATATATGGCTATTTCGCTGCCTCATTCAAAATGTGCTAAGCCCAACTATAGTCCAGATTTTATTTGCAGTATTCAGATGGTTGTGCAGCTCTACTTCCATGTCAAAAAACTGTCTTGGTGCGACGTGCTTATACGGTGATTAATACCGTCTCTGTATCGGTATGTATTTGTTCCATTAGATGTATAAGGATAGATTACATTTGAACACACGATAGCGCTGTAATCTTCACCCAATACCATTTCTTCCCCTTTTTAAGCTTGAACACACCATAATGTAGCTGGCGAGCTGGTTAGTTGTTTGCTTAGTCCTTAGCGAGAGTGGGACCTCGTGCTGCTCTTTCCACTGTGGTTACTGGGATCAGCAGGTCAATGGATCAATATAATGAGTGTTCACAATATTACTGGCCAAGCAGGACTGTGTTGCTCAGCTAATGGTTACCAGCTCTCCGGCAGATTTCAACTAAGATCACAATGATATTCCACAGCTGCATGAGGCATCTCGCTTGTCCGAACACGTCGCCTATTTCCTATTTACCATCCTAGTGATGATGGTAATATTTCAGAGGAAAGACAGTCGGGGCAGCAGCAGGAGTGTTGGGAGAAACGCTGCCTCAGCACAACCTCCCCGCTGCAGATAAAGTGTGCAGGCGCTCTCTATCTGCAGTCCTCACTCGCATTATTGTTTGGTCATCTGTGCTTAAAGGAAAACTCGCAAAGCGACAAGTGTGTCCGTTCAGAACACTGGAGGTTTTATCTGCGTGTTCTACGCTAAAAGGTGTTTCTTTTCTTTTCTCTTTCCTCCGCTTTACCCGACGTGTGTGCAGACATGGCTGAGGATGAGGTGACTCCAGAGCAGCTCACAGCAATCGCAGCTGAAAACGAAGAGCCGGTGCCGGTGAACTACCGACCACCAGCCCAGAAGTCCATGAAAGAGATCCAGGAGATGGATAAGGATGACGAGAGCCTACGTAAATATAAGGAAACGCTGCTCGGCGCTGGGGACTGTGACGCTGGTAATTCATTGTACATCTAATTGTGTGTGTTTGGTTGTTGGAGAGCTTCTAAGACTCATAGATACATGAATCCTCCATCTTTTTTTCTGTTTTCTGCTTTGATAATGAATTTGATAATGTCAGGAACGATGCTCCATTGTTTGGGATAGGTTTGCTTATTTTGGTTTAATCTAAATTGGTGCTGAACAGTTTGAGGAAATATCAAATTGCAACTTTTCCCTCCAGTATTGGGATTTTAAAAGGACCTTTTATATTTTATGAACTGTGTCTAAAATGTCACTCGTGGGGCTTCTTTGATCCAGTCTCAGACCCTGATCTTCCAAATGTCCAAGTGACCCGGATGTCTCTGCTCTGTGACACGGCCCCAAGCCCCCTGGAGCTGGACCTGCAAGGTGAGTTCCTTTTCATTAGATCCCTTAATTGTTAAATGAAATGCCTTCTTTTAAACTCGAGTAATACTGACTTGTTGTCGTAGACCGTTCGATCGCCACATGTGTGTTAAGGAGGTTTTGGGACGGTTTAAAATTGTGATTTGCCGCCGTTGGCGTAAACCTTCCCGTAAACACCGCGTAAGAACTCGAGCACGTCGCACCAGTGTTTAGAGTCACGACTAGTGGTGTAACGTCCCATCGTCGACCTGCACGGGGGATGAGTAAGGCTCTGTTTGGTTGCATTCAGGCACATTTCGATTGAAGGTAAATTAGATATTCTCATCATGTAATATAGTAACATTTAGTTTTGGTGCTATTTTTGGATTAAAACGTTGGTTTTGACGAGATGTTTTCATAATATAAATAGATAAGAGAGGCAACGATGACCTCCATTGATTTACTCTAAGCCGCTTATAAAACTACCAATGAGAAGATGAGATTTAATCAATTTAAATATCAATCTTTCAAACATTAAAGTATCGCTCATTTCTTAATCAGAAAATCCTCTATTTGGAACACTCTGTTTGTGGAGCACAGAGACAAATCTGTCCTACGCTAACTTGTTTCTCTCGCTCCAACATTAGCTGATCTGTTTCAACAATGTTGGGCTGAACAAACGTGCATGCAGGCTGAAACTCAACCGTTGGGGTTCTGTCGGGAGATGCGGTGACTTGAACCAAGTAAGAGTGGAAGAACAAGTCGGCTAGCTGCTTGGCCAATTGATGCAGTGTGCAATGCCAAATGCATTAAGAAGGGAAAAACTATTGAAACCATGTGTGGATGTTACAGCACACTTGTGGATTTATGTTCTGATTATGTATGTATGTACATTAACTATTAACCGTAGTAATTATTAAGAAAATATTGATGCCTGTGCCTTTTTATTGACAGGAGACCTGGAAGTCTTTAAGAAGCAAGGGATTGTTCTGAAAGAGGGCGTTGAATACAAAATAAAGATCAGCTTTAAGGTGAGATCTGTGCCGTGGAAATAAGAAAATGGATTTTAAGGCCAAGAAAAGACACCGAATTGGTATTGGCTAAATGTATTGTATACATATATCCATGACATTGATCAAGTACAGATCAGGCTGTGCACATAGGACATGTCTGCAGTATTCATTTATAAAAAGCGAGTCATGAGTTGCCATCTCATGAAAGAAGAACTCAGCGTTTTTCCTCCCATTTGATGAGATTTAGAGTTTCAGGGCCCTCAAATCGTGAATTTTTCATCCCTGTTATTTCTCTTACCGTGTTTGTCTCTGCAGGTGAACAAGGAGATTGTTTCAGGACTGAAGTATGTGCAGCAGACATTCAGGAAAGGAATTAAGAGTGAGTGAACATGTCTGGAATTAATCCACTGTTCCTTAAATCCTTAAATGAACAGAAGTGAAATAATAACATGTGACACTAATGTCCATTGTCATCTGTTAACAGTCGATAAGTCTGACTACATGGTGGGCAGCTATGGGCCTCGTCTTGCTGAATATGACTTCCTGACTGCGATGGAAGAAGCTCCCAGAGGCTTGATGGCCCGCGGCAACTACGAGATAAAGTCCAAGTTCACCGACGACGACAAGCACGACCACCTGTCCTGGGAGTGGAAACTCAACATAAAGAAAGACTGGAAAGACTAAAAGAGGCCTTCGTGTTGCTTGGGGGCGAGGGAACAAAACAGCCCAGTCCTGTGCGTTCCTAAGCACCCCCCCCCCCCCCCCGCCCATTCTAAAATACCAATTTTGCCCTCTCTTGTTGGGGTTTTGAGAGGATAAAACCCCACGCGCCTTCCCACCTCCGCGAGAATCGGAGAGAGAAGGCCTCACCCCCAGAATCTCGACCCCTTCAGACACCCCCTGTTTTCGCTCAACTTTTTATATATTTTACACGCGGCCACCACTGTTACTGGAAAACCCAGGGCCTCCCCCCCCCCCCCCCCCCCGAGCTGTTCCATGTAGCACCTTATTTCCTCACACCTAGATGTTTTTTTTAATTTTTTTTTATTCTGGATTGTTTTGCTGCTTGAAGAGATTAACCCGCCTTCCGCCTCTCCAGAATGGTGTCTTCCTCTCTCACTATGAAATAAGTGGAAAAGCAACTGTACAATCGACTTTTGTTTGCCTTTTTTTATACAATTGTATCAATGGTTGGGTAATGTGACTGTATTCATATCACTGTTAATCAGTGTTGTGTCCATAGCTGACCCCACCACATCACCCCTCCCCACAGTTTTCCTTTTGGTTGCCGTCTTGTGATATAATTACCGATACCTGCCTTGTGAAAACAATTCATTCAGAGCTGCGCCACAGCGCCTCTTTCTTCCCCAAATGTATTCACCCACTCAAATGGGGGCTTGGGCGACGGAGAACACGGTATAGGAACGAGCTGCCTTATGCATCAACCAACGGTTAAAGATGTTTATTTAGCGCGCCTTGTGAGGGAAGGCGGCGCCTGCTGGTCTGTAGTCCAAGAGCTTCTTCTCCATCCCAACCTGTAACCTCCGGCTGTAGTGGAGAATCTTTATACATGTCGGCAAATACGGCCCGTGGTGTATAAACGCTACAGATCCCGGCTCTCGTGTTCCTCTTCAGCCATGAGGCCTTTGCGCCAACTCTTAATTGTTTTGCATTGTTTTCTTGTCGTTCCCCTTTGCCTTAATGCACATCATTCCCCCTCGTTCGTTTGTAGCCGCGTTCGGGACATCTCGGGTGCTCAGGAGTTGTAGCGGAGGAGGTTGAGCTGCTGCTGGACGCCGTTGTGCAGTCCGGTCTCGCCCACAGAGAACTGAGCAGCCTCTTTACCCACGACGTTCCCACAAAGAAAGCAGCTGACTAACGATGGAACATGCTCACTGGTTAATGAGAGGGGGGGTTTTTAAACGCAATGGACCAGATTTTTTTTTTTTTTATCACCTCGTACATATGGATGTAAAACTTGTTTTTGTTTTCCGATAACTATGTATTCATTCTCCATACATTACTTCACGTTGTACAGTTTCTATGAAAACACTGGCATGCTGGTGGGGTTGTATATTCTCTCATTTGTGATTGCTCTTCTCAGCCAATAAAGATTTTGCTCAACTTGGTCTCCAACCCTGGTGTTTTACAGTGCCGCTCGGTGACGTTCCTGAAACGCGTCACAGGTCCAAGTCTCTGCTTTGGCTCCACAACCAGCTTCAAAGTTTCATGTTGTGTATACAGATTATTTTACATGACAGAACCAGTCCAAAGGGACGTAGCAGTTGAGGCCTAAAATATGAATAATCTGTCTTTATGGAGGCTGCAGGCTAAAACAGTAGTTTATCTAATAATTCATTAGAAAAATACTGAAGTTGGAAAAGAAAAACAAGGCCATAATAAATTCATACCCATACTGTATTTTATACTCGGTGTACATTTGCCAAAGCAAAATAGAAATATTACATAAAAATGTATATTGAAAGGCACAGCATCAAAATACAATCTGACATGCACGTTTTCTTTAAAATGGGAGTAAACATTCAAATGATGACCCATCTGGCCTGCCTGTTGAATACTAACAGCCGTCCGTCACAGGGTGAATACTTAGCTTAGGGCTCGTAGCTTTCAGAGGTGTCCAGTCAAAAATGATGAAGCAGAATTACGGCTGACTCAAAGTACTACGGATAGAAGGGAAACGAGTCTGCACTCTCAAGCTCTTGAAAGATCTGACATTTGGAACAAACATTTTCTGTAGAAATCCCTCTGAACACGAGCTGCGACTGACTTGAGCACCAAGAGCAGTCCTTTGTACAACAGAGACCACGAATACGTCAGAACAGATGCCCCAATATACATATTAAATATACATTCAGAGGAGCGGGGAGAAGTTAGCATGTGAATTTGGTCCGCTAGTAGTCAGCCAAAATGGAAAAGCATCCACCCGAGGCTCGTCCTGAGAAACGACACCGACCACTTGGAGTTGTCTCCAAAAGGACAAGCTGAACGGGGGCTGGGATTTGGCACATTTTCAGTACAATTTTTTTCTCCTGTCATTTCATAGTAACAACCCCCTCCATCCGACTGACGCTATTCTTTTTTTCCTTAACCCCTTCAGAGGTCAAGATGGCTATCTAGCACTGTGCATGGCTTAAAGTCTCTTGATACCGATTTTATACAAAGTTTTAGACGGGAAAAGCACATTAAAATATTCAGGTTAAAAAAATACAACATTGAAGACTTAATATAAATGTGGATGTGAGCAGGAACGTCCCGTCAGTCCACAGGCGGTGCAGTTCAGCCTGTTATACAGTAGATCTGCCAAAACATAAAGGCCCGAGCGGGCTAATAACCCTGAAATCTACACTTGTTCCAGTTACTGTCGGATGTGCTATGCAGGGCTCTAATTCTGCAGTCTCCATTCACGATTTTCGTCTTCTGAGTTTGGCAAAAGAAGAAATCCAGTAATACTATTTATTTCAATGTAGGGTTTTTTTTTTGTTGACATTTCATCTCGACAGTTTGCTGATGACTCGAATGAGGGCGGCGTTCTCATCCTTGAGCCTCTGGTTGTCGGCTTTGAGGTCCCCCAGAACCTACAGAAAAGTAGTGAAAGATTTGCGTTTTTAGCTTTAACACGTTGCCAAATGCAACAGCAGAGTTCTGCTCTTTCAGCATGAAAGTGAACGTTTGACTTCATTCAAGAGAAACACGTTGTTAATGTTTGCAGCATTATTTCCCGTTGCCGTCAAGCGAGGTGGTCCAGCTCGGCAGGAAACATTGCGTGATCTTATATCTACAGAATATATATTACATTTTTTTTGTATAGGGTCACAGAAAGCGGTTTGTGGATCTTATAGTGAACGGAATCACTTGGGAATAGAGCATAGAAATGATCGCGCTAAAGTAATCAGCGATGTGGTCGTCTGTACCTTGAGCTCATCCTCCAGTTCCACCGCTTTCCTCTGGAGGGCCAACTTCTCCTGTGAACAGCGGTTTGAACAAACGGACAGTGGTTACCGGAGCACAGTGTGTTCCTGCTCCGTTCAACTAGTAGAGCCCTAAACATTAAATCCTACACTGGTTGTTAATTTGATGTACAAGCTGTTTAACTCTCAAAAACATTTGCTTCTCCACTTACTTTAAAACAGAAATATTAGGTTCTGTATATATAATACTACTGATGTATATAGAACAGGAGGTTTGTTCAGATGCAAAAATAAAACAGACTTACAAATCTCTCTAGTTCCAGGAGAGCTGGTCTGTCTGTGCTGCACTCTTGACTCTGCCAAAGATAAACGGTGTTTAAACAGCTGTAGAACAACACACCTAATGCAATCTATGGCAACTAAAACAGACACAAATCCAAACATAAAATAGTTTTACAGATGATGGGGGGGGTGCTGCTTTGGAAATGTGCAGCACCTCCAATCTTGAATGATTTTTAAAAAATCTCATCATGGCAGACAAACGAACGCCCATATAGCACAAAACACATTCTTTAAAAGGTACCTGTTGGAGTCGCTCCAGCTCCACTTTGTTTTGACTCAGCAGCAACTCCTTTTCTTGCAGCGTATCCTTAAGCGCCAGGTTTTCCTGCAGAACCTTTAAGTATAGCTAGTGGGAAATACACAAACATATTCAGACTACGACAACCTGAAGATAGAAGCTATATGTGCAGGTGGAAATATTACAGCCTGCTGCACACATGCCAAACTCAAGTCTCCCAGTGGATCATCTTTGGCCTCCAGCTTTAATTGTAAATAGCTGCTGTCCCTAACACGTCCACCGAGGGGCGCAGCGCGAGTGAGCGCATGCCACATGAAAATGATGGCGCATCATCCGCATCTCTACAGCTCGTTTGGTATCACCCCTGTTCTGACTTGTCTAGTTATCGGCCATAATTCACTTTCAGCCCCGAGGTGGGTTTTCCAGAAATATGTGAGCTTTTCTGAGCGAAAATGGTCGGACACATACCGTTCTGTAGTCAGCTGATAAGTCTCCCAGTCGACTCTCACTGCAGAGACAAACAAGATACTTTTAGAGACGGGACAGAGAACCCTTCTCACAAACATTGGTAAGATTAAGAATGTACCTTTAGTCCGTGAAAATAATACTAAATCCAACTACCGGGCCAAACCAGCAGGTGCACATACCTTAAGTATAAGTTCAGAGCAGCTACTATCAAATGGTAGAGAGGAAAAAACACTCACAAGGAAGTACTGTTACAGATTCTATCATCCAAATGATCATCCTCGTTTTCATTCTGAAAAACAAAAAGGCGCACAATGTCAGCGGCATAACACTGTTAGAACAGTTAATTTCCCCTTTAATAACTTTAAAGTTGATAAAATCAACGTATTCTTCTAAGGAGTCTGACAGTACAATTTGTATTATCTTGTAGCAGCATTTCATTAACCCTAATTTCAGCAAAAAAGACATTTTTGCTGGTCAACTTTGGCTGAATGAATGAATGTGCTACACTGTTAAGCATGGGTGTTTTTATTTGTGCTAACTATTTTATTTTAGGCCTATAGGCTGGCTACAGTTTGCATGGACTGATATATTTCTTGCCCTCTGAAGCGAATTTGTAATTTGCGATTTTGGGCTATACAAAATAAAATGAATGGAATTTCGAAATCTTCTATGACCAACTTTATTTTGGTTGTTGTCACCCCACCCTCCTCACACCTCCTAAAAATAAACAGGCTTCCTGAATGTCAAGCCTAAAGGCTCTATGTGTGAAGGTGTGCCATTATTTTGGCTCTTCTTTTTACTTTGACAACATCACACATGAAGACTTTTATTCTATTTTTAACACTGAGATCTGCTTCTCCTACCGACCTACTGACAAGTAAATAACCCTACCCTCAGAGTTTGTGTTAGTTAAGAGATATAGCTACACATCTATCAACCCTTTACAGGCCAACGGGAGGCGCCCGGTACCTCCTGCTGATTTCAAAAGTTGAATGCATCAATGTTGTGCACTTTAACAGCAAAAACAAAAAGGCTTGTCAAAGACAAAGAGGAAGTTGAATACATAACATTTTTTCTTTCATACCTCCCCGCCTGGCTGAACGATGCCAGTGGAGCGTCTCTCCCTCCTCCCTCTCCTCCTGTCCTTCACTCCGAGACGCTTCTCTCCCTCCGACTCCACGTCGGTGTCTGGAACACATAGAAGACGACAAAAAAACGCTCGTGTCAAGACGGTAACTAACCACTTCCCGTGTCAGTGTAAAGTTACAAAGAACAGAGAATTTCATGTAACCAACGTGGCTAAAAGACAAACCGTGCTCGGCAGATACATAACTGAGGCTCAGTTCAGGACTTATCAAAGCAGCCATGCCATCTATGAGCTGTATTTATCTTATTTTTCTCTGTTTCTATTTCAGATTTCTGTTCACTGAGACCATTGAGCTCAGTTAAAATGAACAAAATGCTCTTTTGCTTTGTGAGCAAATGTTTTTTTTTAAACTGACTAGGTGTATTTAACTGATCCAAACGGCTAATCTACGTAAACATGGTGTGATCGGATATGGAAACGCTCAGTTCCCCATTTAAAATAGAAAAAAGCACTATGTGTGGGAAAAAAGGCAACCAAAAAATAAGAGGAAGAAGTAAACTACCCCAAACACCATCAGTAGCAGCCCTTGCATGGAAACCTCACACTTTAAAAACTACCTGGAAGAGAACTCCACCCAAAACATACAACATGTTTATTTTTGTCAGGCTAGGGTTAGAAGTGATTCTAGCACTTCCTCCTCACTCACCCCTTTCAGCAGACGTGACGGTAACAATGGGACTGACAGGATGAATATTGCGAGGTGGTGCATCTGCAGCTTTAGGCACAGTCTTCTCTGCTTCTTTAAGGTCTGTCAGAGTCACACCCTGCCAGCACAGAGCAAAAACAAACCACTCAGAGGCCTTGTATTGCACTCCGATATGAGCAGTTTCTCTGGGAAATAACACTGTCCCAAGACTAACACAAAAAGGTATTAACTATTATCCTCAAGTGCGGGAATTATAAAGTCTTCTGTTGAGCGTATTACTTGTTATTGGTGGGAAATGAGTTTCCCCACAAAGGATTAATAAAACCTTCTAATCTAATTATGTTCACAAAACAA